CCACGCTGCACCGAGTCAAACTCCTGTCTGAACTTACCACATCGTAGGCTCCCACGAATCCTCAGCTGCGGCCACAGGGCCACTGTCTGATGTGTTGTCGTCAACTACTTTCTTTGAATCCTGTGTGAGTCTCAGTGACCAGGCAGCCGGCTCATACTCGATGCCAGACTTGAGTGTCGCGGTGTGCTTCGTGTAGCGCGGGTCGCTGTGGCCGCTGGCAATGAGATCCGGGTTTGGCGACGGCATTGCCTCCTGGCGCGGCACAAACTTGCCAATGGCGGTCATAAATTCAGAATGCAGATGGTTTGCACGCTCGCAGAATGCCCACTGCGACAGCGATGAGAACCGGGTGACAATGGGGCTGCGCTCGCCGTGGCGGAAGAACACCTGCGCCTGGATCAGCTCCAGGTAAGAGGGGTAGTGCCTCCCCATGTACTCGGGGGTCAGCTCCGGGAGCGTGGCCGCCTCCGAAAACGAGGGCCTTGTGGGACAGCAGTATCCATGCTTGGGTTCTAGATTCTAAATAGGTGCGGAAAATGTGCTGGTCAGAAAAGCACGAGCGGGCCAGCACGCCCTTTTATCACGCAGGCACTGTCTGTGCGTCGCTCGCACTGTTGAAAATCTGTGATTCGGGAAGTGGGCCAGCTTAGCATGGTAGCAGGATATGCAACTTCACATTCAGCAGCAATGTCTTTGTGCACAGATACGCCTTTTTTTCTCTTCCGGCGCTCAGCTGGTTGAATAGCTTTCTTGTGGCACAAGAAGGACAGAAATATATTTTGCAGATATTTCTTGTTCCGCTAGACATAAAATTGACATCTTGAGAAGGCAAATGTGGTATGCTGACATTCGGGCAACCCCGTGCCCTTCGCCCCATGCGCAGATCCAAATCTTCACCTGTATAGACACTGTAGGCCGGAACAGCCCTATCCTCCCTTTTTCTTCTCAGAAATTTCCAGTCATACTCATTCCATAAAGCTCATAACTACTGGACTCTCTGAAGGTTAACACGGTATAAAGTTGCAATTCCCTATTTGATGAAGATAATATTTACACAGGCAGTCGATGCTGATATCATGCATCCTTGTTTATTGCTCAGTAGACCAGAGTTGTAATGTCTCTCCAAAATGCGTTTTTGAGAATATGGTCCATTTCTTTTGCGGCCGCTGTAAAGTTGATTAGGATGTCTGTGCTAGGCGGCGGAGACGCTAAAAAGATAGCATTTGCCCCTGGGTAGTTGGGAGCCACTGTAGAGAACGCCTGAACGCCGTTGCCAAAATCAGCACCATACAACTTTCTGTGCATCATATTCGTTGTCAATGTGTAGAGACCGTACTTCATTTTGGCTGCAATGAGCGCTCCAGTATTGAATGACTCTGACTCAAGAAAGTCAACATACGAGCCAATATATGGAGATGACAGATTAGATACGACGCTATGGATCTGAGCAGCTATGTCTGCAAGGATCTGAGGCGTGATAGTATCTTTGCCATGTTTCATCGGGTTCAGAATAACCCCTGACAGCTGCGCGTTGCCAATAAAGTTTATACCCTCCATACCAAGCCGGCCGCGGAGGTCACAGGCGATTACCAATGCATGCTCGCTGTTAGCTTCCACGTCACCCTTTGAGCCCCATGCAGACCACCTTCGAGTGGTTGCTGCCACACCAAATTTCGCCTGGCCGTGGACTTTGTACACAAGTGCAGTTAAAACATCGTTAGTAGTTAGGCGTGCACCAGCTGGCATGCACTCCAGTACCTGGTTGCGGAGTCTGCTGAGCTGCTCGCGCGAAATGCGGAACAAGTGGCCGCATGTTGGAGCCATGCTTCCCAAGTAACTCAAGAGCCTGCCTCGCGTGCTGGGGCTGAGCCAGACAAGCCAGTCTGCTATACGGGACTTGTTGGATCAAGCTGCTAGCATTGACGCACAAAGTGGCTCACGCTCGCTAGGCAGATACTGAAGAATCGCTGATCTGTCAAGACATATACTGAGGGGCTCAGCCTGACGGTGGGACACCAGTGCCCGCGTTTGATCAGCCCAGCGGTTGAAGAACAGAAGAAAGCTATATCCATCTACTATGCCGTGGTTAATGTTCAGGGAGATAATGACTCCACTGTTATCCTTGAGTCGGACAACGTGGGCACTAACCAACTTTATTGTGCCAGTGGCCGCGCCCGGACAAGCAAACGCTCCAAAAGGAATCAAGTTGTCGGGCCATGTCGCCGGGTTGTACTTTGCTGATTTGATATCACGGAAGTGAATGTCCGACTGGGATTCACGGTAGTCGGGAACATTCAAGCACGTCTTGTCTACGACAGCTTCTATCCACCCACCACTCACTTGGTTAAGGTGCCCGGTCAGCAACGGGAACTCCACAACCGTTTGGTAAAAGGCCTCTTCAAGTGTCTGGGATGGCATAAAGTCGTCGGTAAGCCCGGCATTGGCATAAAAACTGATAGTGCGAATGTTGTAAGACGACAGGACGGAGTCGATCCTCTGAAGCTTGTAGACTTTGGAGTCGATGGCACTGAGTATATTGCTCATGATAAGCTCCTCTGATAATGTTCCAATAAAAGAATGGGGTGGCTATCCACGAAAAAGCTAGAGATGCGTTAATAATAGGATTCGCTTGGCTAGAGAGAAGAGATATAGTCTAGTAGCAGACCCTGAACTGGGGGCATGGTGAACTGATAGTGGCACGGCTGGGATTGTTTGTGACCTGCTACTAGCGCCATAGACAGAAATACGCTAGTCATTTGAATTATTGTTTACTACTTATTTTCTGAAATTGGACATTCGGCATAAACATAACCTCATACATAAAGCATGCGCGGGCTGGCATCTATCATAATGCAGGATTTGAGGGCCCAACATTATGCTACAAGCGATATCCATGGTGATTCCCTCGGTGGCACGTCACGGCGAGTGGTTACAGATATAATGGCAATTGAAACTAGAAAATAATTCAAAGGAAGCCTAGCTGGCAGTCAAGTTGGAGATGGGATCAACAAAGTTGGAAGGAAACACGCCGCGCCTACATTGGCCCAGTATTCGAGTCAGTGAGTTCGCCCTCCCACCAGCCGTCCGGATTGACCTGGAGCACAGAGATGATGTCACCTTCACGAATCGTCAGCTCTCTAGAGTTTTCAGCGTCGTAGTCATACATTGCCTTTCACGTATGAGATGATCTCGCGCTGGTCCTTGGTGAAGTTTGGCTCTCCATGAGCTGGCTGCTGCTGTTGCTGTTGCTGTGGTGTTGGACTGTTGTTGCTGGTGCATTGGAACCTGCTGGTGGGCAACCGAGTACGTGCTCATGACGCTAGGTCGTCCGTTGGTGGAGCTGGTGTGGCTGATATTGCTGATGGGGCGAATGCGACATTTGCGTAGGCGGGCGTGACACCATGTTCGCTGGGATAAACTGTGGCGACTGCTGAACAGGCGTCGCCGCTCGATAGACGTACTGCGGATTCTGCATGACAGAAACCGGGCGCGACCCTGGCTGTGGTGACGTCATGTTCGCCATATGGCCATTAGTAGCCATTGGCTGAGGCACCAAACGAGTTTGGCGCGCCATTCTGCTGGTACGGGCTGCTTGGTGCAGAGTTCGGGTGCTGGAACGACATCGCATATGCTGCCTGCTGCGGCTGCTGCTGCTGCTGTTGCTGAGGAGTCGGTATCTGTGTATTGACAGTGAGCGCGCCAAATTGCCCGGTTTGAGCAGTCATCGTGCCATTGAATGTGCTTGCACGCGATCGCGGTGAGCCTATGCGTGGGGGCTGGTTGCTGGCCTGCACTGGGTAGTACTGCGGCTGCGTAGCCAACAGACGAATACGAGCCGCTAATGTCGCCCATCTGGCCCGGTGTGCTTGGCCGTTGCGTCGCCATCGGCGCTGGGCTCGCAGTTCCTGCCCGATACATGCCAGCACTGCTAGTCGAACGTGGGTCCATGGCTGGGGCTCCGTTGTACATGCCGTTAACTGTTCCGCTATAAAGAGTGTCTGCAGGGCGCGAAGCAGGGGCTTGGTTACGCCGCTGTTGCGGTGATGGCTGCTGCTGCTGCTGGCTGCTGCTGCTGAGCTGGCTGCTGTTGCTGCTGCACAGTGTTGTACACGTCCGCGTTGCTCGACCGACGATAATGGGCAGCAGCACCATTGAATGAAGATCCCTGCTGCATTGACGACCTTGGACGGTCATTCCACGCTGCTTCAGCAGCAGACGCACCTGCCAGTGCCTGCATTCCCTGTGCGTGCATGGACACTGGGCGGGATGAATTGCGCACTGGCAGAGGCGGGCCGTGCTGCTGACGTGGATCCATTCCGCTGTTGCGTACTGGGCCGTGACAGAGGCTGTTGCGAGACAGACCCAGCCATGGCGCCACCATGGCTCTCAGTGGGGACACTATCCTGGCTGTTGCTTGTTGGCGTGCGATGAATTGGCCTGGTGCTCTCGGGCGTGGGTACGGCAGAGCTTACTGTTCCGAGCACTGTTGACTGTGACCGAGAGTTGCCAGAACCCGCGTCCTGCGACATTCTGTCTGCGCTAGCCCTAGCCCCTTCGGGGTCCAGCTCTGGATCCGGTCCGCCAGTGCCAAATGTCCTGATAAACGCCGAGATGTCGCTGGCCACGTCAATGCGCTCGAGGTCCTGGACGAATCTTCTCCATCGCCTCGTCATCCGTTACAAACGAGCTGGAGACCAAGGTTGGTGAATGTCCATACAATATGCTTCAGATACGAAATACGCTGCTCCTCAAGGACCTGGAAGACATCGCAGGCACTGCGCCAGACATGGTACCACTGCTGGTCGGCATCATGCAGGCGCTGGCGCACATCGACATACTCCTTCTCAGTGGCCCGCTGCTGCGCCTGTGCGCGCTCCAGCTTGTTCCGGAGCTTTGGGTCACCCATGCCATGCAGACCGTTGACCTGCAGCTCCAGGTCGCCAACTTTGCGGGTGTCGCTGCGGCGCTTGTCCTGCAGCTTCCGAATCATGCCACGCAGCTGGGACCGCTCCTCTTCGGTCTTTTGAATCACCTGAGGTCTGTGCCCGCCGTTTCCGCTTCTGGTCGTCCATGAAGCCCAGGAACGGCTTCTCGAGCTCAGTGCGCAGCTGCTTGGCCAAGTCAAGGTGTGTTTTGGCCGTGTTCTCCATCTCAACGCGCACGCACCGAAACGCATCTTTAATCGTGCCCACCTTCCTCGCACCCCAGCGCGCCACGCGACAGCTTCAGCATCTTCTTGCCCAGCTCCTCTTCGATCTCGGCGCGCTTGCTAACCATCGTCAGCAGGTCAAGGCACGACTGCTTTGCATTCTTGAGCTTTGTAGTGAGCACCGATACACACCGGCCGTCTTCGGACCAAAAGTTGTCAGCAAACCGCTCGGTGCATACAAAATCTGCGTGCATGTCGGCAGTCTCGGCTGTGGACACTGCGCCCTGCCGATCGTAATGTGTCGAGGTTGCTGCTGCCGACCGGCGCTCCTGCTGCGGCTGCCGCCGCGTCGTTGTCCTGCGAAGACGCCGAGTCCCTGCCCAGCTTGCCAAACACAAAGCTACCCAGCATGATATCAGTCAGTGCCATTAAAAGAGCGAAAATGGTATTCGGAAAAGTGTCGTAAAGAGAAGAAGGAGCGGAAAAGGCTGGAGAATGGAGCGAGCAAGACCAGCAGAGACTAACCTGTACTTCATTCGAAAAAGGGGGTCGGTGGGTTGGTGTCACTGCGTGCGGGTATGCGGTTTGGTATTTGGCGAATAATAAACAGAACCGGCAAAGTAGCGAATTGCGCTGGCTAGAAAGAAGGAGAGAACAGGCTGCCAAAATAGAGCGGACTATGTGCATCCCGAGCCGTCCCCAGGTACATGTCGCTTGATATAGTGCTGCCCGTTCAATAAAAAAAGTCTTGAGAAGGCAACACTACAGCAGCAGCCGAAAATCATGCCAAATAGCCTTTTTCGAGTTCGCGATCCGCCGTCATTGGCTGACGCAACCAACCCATCAACAAAGCGGCTGCCGCCGGCACTCGGTGGCATCAATCTGCGTGATTTGGGGCAGCATGAGCATCAGCTTGCGGCGGTACGCGGTGGGCTGGCTGGTCTGCAGCGGGCTGAACTCAAAGTAGACCGTGCGCAGCGACTGTATCGGCGCGCACTCGTCCTCGATGTTCTGGAACGACTCGAGCCTGTTGCCTGACGCCCACAGATCCTCGAGCACTGGCAGGTGCTTGATCCCCGAAATCTCCTGTCAGCTGGTTGCTGGTGACGTCGAGGATGGTCAGCTTCGTGTTGTTCTCAAGCCCTCAATCCTGGCGATGCCATTGTGGACTCAGATACAGCTCCTCCAGACGCTCCAGATCCTCAAGCCCTTCGAGTTTGGTGATACGGTTGCTCTGGATGCTCAGGATCCTCAGCCGCCTCAGACAGGGACAGATTCTCGAGCCGCGTGATCTTGTTCTTGCCCAGGTACAGCTGCTCTAGGTTGACCAGCTCATCGAGACCCTCGATCCTGCGGATGCGGTTGGCGCCCAGCTCCAGGCTTGTCAGGTTGACCAGCGGGCTCAGGTTCTCAATCGTGCTGATCTTGTTGCTGACAAAGTAGACTTCGGTAAGATTGCGCAGGGTCTCGATGTTCTCGATCCTGCGGATTTTGTTGAATGAAAAGTCTGCGCTGGTCAGGTTCACCAGCTGGTCAACGCCCTCGATGGCGTTCAGGCGGTTATCGTACAGGTCCAGCTCCTTCAGCGTGGCCAGGTCGTTAATTGACGTGATGGCCTTGATAAAGTTCTGGCGCAGGCCCAGGTACTCGACACTGTGGAATCGCGCCAGGCCCAAATTGTCCAGGCTATCTAGCCGCGAGTGCATCAGCTCGATAGCTGTCTCGCTGTCGGCGTAGTCTGCCAGCATGTCCTCCTGCTGCTCAACCACTCCGCTCTCCTCCGCCTCGCTCTCGGCCGCTGACTCGTCGGTGTGCGCGTGAATGTCGGCGATCTCTAATGGCTCTGGCATTTCAAAAAAAGAATTAAATGTGTCTGAATTGGGTCAATAAGGAGAAAAACGAACTAGGCAGTCTGCTGTTTTGGCCGCAGTGCACGTCACTTGAAGCCCAGAAAATCATCAGGTGCTGATCAGGACTCGGCACATGGCCTTTAGCCCAGGCAGGTTGGAATGGCAATGTCCTCCGCACCAGCAGCAAAAAGAGATGGCGTCTATTAAAAATATCTACAACAGATCGTAGTCGTCCAGCTTGTCGTTGTACTTCAGGATCTTGCGCTTGATCTTCGACGTGTCAACCCAGGTGATAAAGTCCTCCATGTTGCGAGTGACCAGGAACGCGGGGTCGGTAACCGTGTCGGGGCCAACACGCACATGCCCCTGCTCAATCAGCCGCGCAGCCTCAGAGATGTGCTCAGCCATCTTCAGCCTGCACAGCACAACGGGCAGACGCCGGCGGCAGAAAGCAGACACCGTCAGCTTGTCCACCTGCGACATGGTCTTGCGCGAGTTGATCACGCCGATTGCAAACAGCTTCTCCAGCAGTGCCGGTCTCGCTCTCAGCGCGCTTCGGATCCTTGGGGTCCAGCAGCGCGATTCTGTGGGCCAGCTTCTTTGTCTGCATCACAATCTTTTGGTACTTGTAGTATTCCTCGCGCTTTGTCAGGTTGTACCGCCGCATCACCTCGATCTCGCGGACGTTGTTCTCGCCGCGCCATTCGAGAAAGTCGACCTTGCGCAGGAGCTTCTTCTCGTGGTATTTGAGCTGGCGCACCATGGTGGAGAGGGAATGTGTGAAAATGCGAGAAATATGAGAAGAGTGGAGAGAAAAAAGGTGCTTGGCCCAGGATCAAGCACAGAGCAGGCAAAATTGTTGATTTTCCACTGTAATATTAAATCACTGCACTTTTTTTCTCTCTCCTTGATCAGGCAAACCGAAAAAAATATACGACCGTCTGCTCCGTTCTTCGCCTCTGCTTGTCTCAAACCTCTCGACATCTCTCGACACCTCTTCCAACTCGCGTTCTATCTACACATATACACCATGGGAAAGTCCATCCGCTCAAAGAGCAAGATCCGCAACCGCAACATTCTGCGCGAGACCGTGTTTGGACCGGCCGAGGCCGAGCGCATCAAGCGGCTGGCGGAGAAGCAGAAGGTCACAGCCGGCACACTGGCAGAGCTGATGGAGACAGACAAGCCCGAGGCGGACAAAAAGCAGAATGCAGAAGCAGAAGCAGCAGGAGACACAACAGGCTGGCACCGAGGCAGACGACAGCATGGCTGTTGACGGCAGCGAGGCCGCGCAGACAGAGTCATCAATGCGCAAGAAGCGCGGCAAGTCGCAGAAGCGTGGCATCAAGAAGATTACAGTGCGCAACAAGAAGGGCCGGATCATGTCAAAGAACGTGGTCAAGTGGACCAAGCAGAGCCGGTTCAAGAAATAGGCAGAAAAATCAGTGCATGGATTGGCATGCATACACAACTAGCCACGCCGTCATCAATAAAAATTGACAACTTGCCTGGGAGCACTTTACTCTCCACCTGCTGCCGTTCTTTCGTCTACTATAGTATTTTTTTTGTATCGCTATGAACATCTCGTACAAAGGCTATGTTGACCAGCCCAAGTTCTGGGAGTACCTGGGTGCAGAGGTTGCATCATTCCTCGAGAAGGACACGAAAGGCTTGTCCTATTCTGAGTACATTGGGCTGTACACTGCAGTCGCGGACCGCCTGTCGTGTAATACAGTGAAAGTGTACGGAATGAGCCTTAGTGGCAGTCCGGTATCATACGCATCGAACTACGACTTGGCCGAGGAGATGTACCTGCAAGTGACAGGCTTTATGACCACGTATCTCGGCCGCCAGCGCAACGAGGCAATGCATAGACAAGGCCTCCAGCTACTAGAGTTCTATCATGACACATGGAAGCACTACCACGTGGCAGGCACGGATGATGGATTCCATGTTTGGACTACTTGGTCGCGATTGGATTACGCCCGAGAAGAGCTGTGGTCGCAACGTGTATGCCATCTGCGACCTGTTCCACCAAATGTGGTACACTCATCTGCTGCTGCCCATCCATGCCCACCTAATGGACAGCATGCACATGCTGGTTAACGCCAAGCGGGAAAATGCAGTTATCGACGACGCTGTCCTGTGCAAGCTGCCCTACTGTTTTCCATCAACTCAGACCGCCCACTGTCCGCCGCGGCATCCGTTGCACGACCGGTGTGTATGGCATGCACTATGAGACGCCGTACATTACCAAGTCAGTCGAATACCATAGCCTCCGTCTGCGCAGCATGTTCAACGCGGGCAAGATATGCGAGTACATCCATAGCGTGCACGAGTTGGTCGCTGCTGAGGATTCGCTGGCTAACAGCTATTTGCTAAATGGCTCGAAGGAGAATTTGAACAGCGTGCTCAACCAAGAGCTTATCTTCAGGGTGTCAAGTCTGCTTCTCCAGACAATGCCGGAGCTCTTGAAAACAATGAGCAAGCACAACCTGCACGCACTGTTCAAGCTCCTTTCCCGAATTCACCCTGATGACGGCCTGGTGCCAATGTGCAAGCACTTTGAGTCCTATGTCATTGAGCGCATGACCGCCTCCAGCCCAGCCCGGACCAACGTCGAGAACTCGATGCGTGCGGCCGCCGAAAACACACATGCGTTTGTTACATGGCTCATTGCCGAATACGACGAGCTGGCCGCCCTGGTGACCCAGGTCTTTGATGGCGATCAACATCTATTGACCTCACTGAACGCATCATTCAAGGATGCAGTCAACTCCAACACACTTTACAAGTCGCTTGACCGCAAGGCGCCCGTGCTTATCGCCGACTACATCAGCTCGTTTCTCAAAGTTGGCAGCGCGTCGTTCAAGCAGCTTGAGTCGTCGGTGGCAGATCCCGAAGGCGAGATTGCGCTGCGTGTACGCCGAGTCATGGACCTGCTAAAGTTTGTCAGGGAAAAGGACACGTTCTTCAAGTTTTATGACCTCGAGCTGTCAAAGCGCCTGGTGGCCGAGCAAAGCATCTCGTTCAGTCTTGAAGTGACCATCGGAGGCATCATCAAAGAGGCCATTGGCGTCGCGGGGACCCTGCGGCTGAATGAAATGCTGAGTGATATCCAGGTCAGCCAGAACCTCACCAAGGAGTTTGCCCGCAACGAGCACGGCCACGGGGTCAGCGTGAATGTAAAGGTTCTTAAGGCCGTGACGTGGTCGCGCCATCTGTCTGAAAGCAACCCGCCGCTCCCGCCGATATTAGACTCGATCAGGCAGGACTTTACTGAAGTCCACAACCAGCAGCACTCTGGCCGCACACTCAGCTGGCTGTGGCAGGATTCCAAAGCCTGAGATCCGACTGTTTCTCCCGCAGGCCAAGGGGATTGCAGCTCAGAACCGGCTACACCGTCATTGTCACTATGTACCAGCTAGCGATCCTTGGTATGTTCACCGCTGAATCCGGGCCAGGCACCGGATACGATTCTGTCAAGGGACCGACGCTAACCTGCGGCCAGGTTAAGGAAGGGACAAAGATGACGGAGGAGCAGACGCTGGCCGAGCTGGACTATCTGATAAAGTCGCGCCTCTTTGTTGCTACCAACAAGGTGCTGGGCCCGTCGACCAGAGTCCGCTTTAACGACCGGTTCCAATCCAAGCAGCTGCGGGTCAATCTCGCCGAAATGCGCTGGGACCAGAAGCAGAATGAGGCCAAGGAGGCTCTGCGTGAGGTGATGGCAGACCGTCAAAACTTCCTCCGAGCCCTGATCATACGGATTATGAAGCAGAGGCAGAGGCTCTCGCATAAGGCCCTGAAGAATAAGGCGTTTGAAGAGGGGAAGAAGCGCACAGTCATCGAGTCCGTGGACTTCCGTGAAGCAATTGATTTCCTCATAGACCACGAATTCCTTGAGCGGGACGAGACTGATCAGACTTTTTATATATACCTGGCGTAGATTGGGCCAAGGACCTTTCCATCAATGCCCACTGACCGCGTGGTGCAATATGCCAACTGCCACATCTAAACACCCTGGCTGCTCTTGAGTACTGTTCTTTTGTCGACTTTTCCGTTTCGTTGACCACCCAACTCGTATTTTTTTTAGCACAAATGATCGGTTCATGGAAGGCACAGAAAGGCGATGAGGCCCGCCTTAGCATTTTTGACCCCCGCATGTACAAAACATGGAGGGTCAACGGAATGTACTACCTGCGGTTGATAGTCATAAGCACTGTTGCGCTATGGCTGCCGCTCTGCCTATTCTACGGCGCCGTGTACCGACGCAGCGTCAATGTCAACCACATCCACATCGAGGTCATCGATCTGGACATGGGTCCGATTGGCAATGCTGTAACAAACGCGGCTATGGGGGCTCTCCGCAACAACAACAACCCCACATGGCGCGTCCGCCGCGATATTCCATTCGATCCAGTCGGCTAAGGAGTGGATTAAAAACCATGGCTGGGGCGGGGTAGTTGTCAACCCAGGCGCATCAGACCGGCTGGCGCAGGCGCTGAATGGCAGGCCTGAGTACAACCCAGACGACGCACTGACAGTGATAGTTTCCAGCGGACGAAACCCAATCGGCGAGCCCCTGTTTGCCCAGCCAGCTCTACTGGAGCTAGCCTTACACGTCCAATCTAGATTCGCGATCAGGTCGCTGACTGACTTTAAGCGCTCTGGTGCAACAGCTACCCCAAACCTGAACGCGCTACTCAACCCTGTGTCGTACACCAAAATTGATGTCAGTCCTTACACGCTTCCTCTTGCACCCATCCTCTACCTACTCCCCTTCTTGGTCGGCTTTTTGTGCACAATCGGGATGCTGATTACATGGAAGACGACCACGTTCACATTCTTCCTAAAGGCTAGATTCCTGCACGTATGGACAGCGCTCCTCTCTCTTATTCTGGCGATGGGCCTGCATCATCGGCCTCTATAGGCAGCTTGGCAATATTGGCATTCAAGGGCCCAGACTACGGTGCGGAACACCAGGGACTGACATACACGGCCGGCAGGTTCTTCTCCATTTGGTTCACAACCATGGCCGTTCATTACTGCACTTGCGCTGTGGAACCTCGCGTGGTTCATGCTGCTGCCTCCAGATCTCATTGGTTTGCTCTCGGTGTCCACCGTGATTCCCAACGTTGTTTCGTGCCTGGTTCCAGTTGAGCTGACGCCGCGGTTTTTCCGCTGGTTCTACGCAACACCATTCTTCAACGGCGCCATGCTGTTCAGGTACATAATCAGCGGTGCATACAAGCGCATTGGAGAAAACGTCGGCATCATGCTAGGCGAAATTGCGATCATGGCCTGTGCTCTCGGGATTACCGCCTGGCTCAGGCAGTACATGGCTGTGAACGGCATATGCGATGTGCCCGGATTCATCCATGGCAACCCCTTTTACAACAGCCCTGTCCCCTACTACAAGGCAGAAGTCTCGGCACCAATGCTCATGGCTGAGAGGGACGACTCTGAAAGAAGAACCCTGCATATCGCCGACTCGCACAACGACGCCACCAGTGTCAAGGACGGAAATCTGGGCGTGTAGATATACATCTCCATTCTGCTTATCAATCACACAAACATCATGCACCATGATCGCTGGTATATGAATACTTTATCCATGCGGTGGATGACATATGAATGTGATTCCCAAGCTTTTTTGTCTTTTTCAGGCCGCGGAAGATTATCTGGCAGCTTGTAGAAAAATATTCGGACATGATCGTCTACAATACAAATCACCTGTTTCCTTTTTCGTATGACGATCCTCATTCGCCCAAAATTGCCTGCCGATCTGCTCTGCCAACCAAGCTGGCAGCAGGACGTCTTTTCAGCTGGAGTCCCGCTTTCCTCTTTTTTCTTTTTTCAGGTCGTTGCAGGAGTTAAATGGGTCCAAGGCTATCCCTCTCTCTTCAGGCTCCAACCCCTTTGCCCCCTCACCACCTTTGCTTGCTTTATCCCACCTATGGCACTCAGCACATTTGCCACAAAACTCGATCTTGACGATATTGTTGCGCGAGCTGTCTCGCTGGTGGATGCCATCGGCTACAAGCGTCTGGCTGGCACAGTCGTTTCGGCATATGCATCCTGGAAGCTGCTGTATGCGCTTTTTCTGTCGCCGCTCCGCAACATCCCCGGCCCATTTATCGCTCGCCTGACAGGGCTGCGGGCCATGATCAGTCTCTTTGCCGGCAACTCATGCACAGACGCCGACAGCGACTTCAAGAAATATGGCGAAATCTACGTATATGGGCCCAACACAGTCAGCATTTCGAATCCTGCGGCTAGCCGCACCATCCTTGGCTCACATGCGTTTTTGAAAACCGACTACTACAAGGGCAGCGACCTCTTTGGACGAGCAGACGACGTTCTCGAGTCGCAATCCGCATATCAACCAGCTGCGTCGCCGCCAGATGGGACCCATGTTTACCTTTGGATATCTGCACCGCATGGAGCCGACTATCATCAAATACGGCGCTGCTGCGCTGAAAACCAAGTGGGAAAGGGCCGTTGATGAGGCGGCGCAGAAGGGTGAGCAGGCGGTTGTCAATGCCCACCGCGATTTGGCCTACGCCACCTTTGACGTTACTGGCGCCCTGGCCTTTGGCCGCGACTTTAATGCCCTCAGAAACAACGACCCGACAGTGGTGCGCTGGGTGAATGACTCGTTTGGCTACTTTGGCATTTGCATGGCAGTGCCCCTGCTCAAATACAGCCCCTTCCGCCTGCTTGTCTGGCCGCTGTGGAGCAGTCTCCAGGAGCTACTGACCTTCGCCCGTGAATCTATCGAGCACCGGCGGAATGAGATTCAGGAGGGGAAGCAGACGCCCAGCGACTTGCTCGCAGCGTTCCTTGACTCGGAAGATCCAGAGTCAAAGATCCGCATGACCAGCAACCAGATCCTCGCCGAAACGATTGTGACACTCCTTGCTGGTAGTGAGACATCCTCGAACACGCTGCTGTGGACAATCCACCTGCTGCTGCTCAACCCAGTATCGATGAAGCGCGTTGTCGACGAGGTCCGGACCAAATTTGCCAAGGACCACGTGGTCACATATAGTGAGGGCCGCACCAGCCTGCCGTACTTGGAGGCATGCCTGTACGAGAGCATGCGGCTCAGACCCGTATCTGGCGGCCAGTGGCCCCGCCTTGTCCCCAAGGGTGGCATAACCGTGTGTGGCCATTTCCTGCCCGAGGGAACGGTGGTCAATCTGAACTTCTCCGGCATCCATCACCATGCCGACTGCTGGCACGAGCCCTATATGTTTACCCCTGAGCGCTTCTTGGACAACGACGAAGCCAAGCGCAAGCTGCTGACATTTAGCACCGGCGTGCGCATCTGTCCTGGAAGAAACCTGGCGTGGATGGAGATGGTGCCGATCCTGGCGAATCTCTTGAAGGACTTTGATATCAGTCTGCCTGAGGATGTTCCGTTTGGCCCCGAAATCCTCGACGAGAGCGGCTATCCCAAGGTCATGGACTCCAAGCACTACATTGTTCCTTCGCCTACCAACTCTGATCGAGACGGCCGGATCGTCATCTCCAGAGCGTAAACCCACCTCATGGTTTTTACAATATAAAGCATGGAATTGCTTGGGTATGCCCTGTAATTAAAAAAAGGCTACCCCATCATAAACGGCCCTTACTTTCATTCTACGCGGGAACCCCTGCAGCCGGATATATTCTGGAGAGCCTATGGCATGAGCGAGTACGGGCCAGCCAGGGGCGAACAGCAGGGATGTAACAGTGAGGGTGTGGATAAGGGCGAGGAGGCTTGGGTTTACTGCTTAGGCTGGTGCCCGCAACTAAAAAATGTGGGGATTTGAGGGGAAGGGGTGAGGGCTTCAGTATTTGCTCTTTATTCAGATATAAGGCTTGCTCTTTTTCTCTCTTTTGTTTCCCCACTCTAAATTCTTAGCAAACAAATTTACTGCGAAATGTTCAGCTCCACATTCAGTAATTTGGGCAAAAAACGGAAGGTGCTAAATGTATACAGCATACATTCATCTCCCTCCCCACAGTTTACCTCCTGTCCAAAAGCACCAGGAATAGACCTTTGGGAAATTTACTGGCAGCATTTTAACCGATATGGCCATTTTCCACCAAGAAGCCATATGCAGCGCCATGTTGGACCATTGTCTCTTCTGCTTTTTTGTTTCGTATCGTTCATTCTGCATTCCTTGAGCACCGCTTTCGCCATTATTCATATCTAGATTTGGAAATACGGGTCCTTAATGGCTGAGGTCAGCACAAACGTAGAGGACACTTTGTTCACTGAGGGCGATTTGTCGTCGCAGTTAGAGTTTAGCATAAATCTGGGCATGCTCTCGGACAAAGCTCCGGCACAGCAGTGTGGGCGTCCGCGGCACTCGATTAGCGGGCACAAGGCAAGATCGCTGCACAAGCTGCTCCGGCCACAAAAACACCGGCTCCGAACCACATCGATGCGCCAAGGCAATTCTACCAGGGCGTCGCAGATCCTCAGCAACCACAGCCAGTCACAGGTCCAAGCAGCCGCGCAAACGAGCCGGCACCAATGTGACAGAGTTTAGTCTGCAGCTAGGTAACTTTCCGTCGCCATTGGCGTCGTTTTCCAAGAATGACATCTGGAAGACAGACTGCGAGCAGGAGTCCAAGCCTGAGTTCGATTTTGGTAGCCTGGCCGGGATCTCTGTGCGCCAGATTGACAGCTCGGTCCGAGGTCAGCGGTCAGCTGCGAGAAACGACTGTATCGGCAGGCGCCAGGCAGCCAGCACGCCATTCCAGCCATTTGCATGGTAGCTTTGGCAATAGCGACCGCCCGTCTTCGCTCGTTCCGCAGTATAACCGCAGTTCGCGCGAAGAAACAAAGAGCACCTGCGCTTTTACTCACACCCCGTCTGAGGCTGCACCAGTGTCATTGAGGGGCTATCAGGCCACCCATCCAGCAGCTGCCGTTGGCCACATGGCGGCTGCTGGCCATGAGTCGCGGGGGAGCGCTTTCGATGCTACGGTCGGCGCAATGCCATGCTCGATTGAAGTGCCGGCTGCAGCGTCGGGCTGCGATTCTGAGGCCCCTCCCCCGCAGCGGCAGAGCAGCCTCATGTTCACAGCCGCTTGACGTCAAGGCAGTGAGCAAGCTGATTGACGCGGCCAACGACGAGGAAAGGCTGGTAGAGGAGGGGGTTTTGGTGGAACTGCCCGTGAAGCCGCAAAAGAAACTGCTCAAGAGTCTGCGCAAGATCCGTACGCTGCGCAAGAGCGTGCCTTCGTTTCGGCCACAAGCGCTACAAGATTGCGTCCAAAACTACCAAGCCATCGCAGATATTACCCAAGACGCCCGATTGCGCAGAGGGAGCCTGATGTAAAGGCAAAGGGCAGCAAGCCGATAACTGCGTCCTCGCGCGTGTGCGACAAGTCGACGCCAGCCTCGGCACCATTGCCCACGGTTCCGGGTCTCGAGCGGCTGGCCCTGCAGCAAGCCGAGCAGACAGGCGCCGCGCCGCGTCCCGCGATCGGCCACATTAGCCCAGTACGGCAGCGATGCGGCAAACCCCGGCTACGTGCCATAGCAGTGTCGCTGAAGAGCACGCGCTCCCGGCAGTTCCTGCTCAACACGCCGCTGGGCGAATTCGAAGTGCTCAAGACACTGGGGCAGGGGAGCTACGGCAAAGTCAAGCTGATGCGGTCCGCACTGACCAACGAGCAATTCGCAGTCAAGATCATCAAGCGGTACCCGCCACACAAGCACCGGCGCGGGCACCAAGAGTACCGCAAGGCCAAGACGCTCGACCGGCGGGTGGTCCGCGAAGCCAACTTGGCAGCAATCCTGGGCCAGCTCCACCCGCACATTGTGCCGCTGCATGACTTCCGCGTCACCGATACCCATTTCTATCTGTTCTACGCGTTCGTCAATGGCGTCACGCTTGCCGAGCGCGTGGGCACACATGGGCTGAGCGAGAAGGAGGCGAGGGCGATTTTCAAGCCGGTTGTTGAGACAATCAATTTCTGCCACCAGTACTCGGTCATCCACCGCGACATCAAGCTCGAGAACGTGCTCATCGACTACGTCGACGATGCAGAGAAGGCGCGGCCGTTCATGGACCGGCAGCCATACATTGTGCAGCCAGCGCTCAGATGTTGCAACGGGAGGCAAGGGAGGCACTGGCGGGCTCTGGGCGCCGGTCCTGGAGGGCATGATTGGGCGCAAGACCAGCGGGCCGAATGGGGAAGAAGCCAACGAGCTTCCATCGCCGGCGGGCGTCCAAGGACATGGGCATTGACTACCGCACCGCGTCGGTGTTTGACGGATGCGTCAAGATCATCGACTTTGGGCTGGCGAACTTCTTCGACGGCATCTCGTTGATGGAGACATTCTGCGGCAGCCTTCCATATACTGCGCCGGAGATCCTGCGCGGCGACGCGTATGTGGGACCGGAAATCGACGTGTGGTCACTGGGCGTGCTTCTGTATGTCATGCTTACGGGCCAGTTCCCATTCGAGGACCCAGCGCAGCCCAAGAACTTTGACAAGATCATGGCTGGAGACTTTTCGCTGCGCACAAACATGAGCCATGACCTGCAGGAGCTGCTAGTCAGGATGCTGGAGCCCAACGCCAAGCGCCGCATCTCCATGCAGGGCATCTTGCAACACCCGTGGCTACTGGGCGGCGGCCAGGAGGATTCGGCAGCCCGGCCGATGCCCAGCACAATGACCATGGTGGAACTGGACAGGCACTGGGTCCCAAGGCCCGGCATCTGCTGCCCGCACCACCCGTTCCCGATCACCGACGCCATCCACGACCGCCGCACGCTCCTGCTGCCAGGCCCGCACATCAACGCGCTGATTGCTCGCGAAGTGGCCACATGCCTGGACCGCAGTCTGGACGACGTCATGCGGATCCTGGAAACGGCCATGGAGAATGGCGAGCCGCACGACCGCATGCGGCTCAGCGCCTTGCAGGAGCCGCTGGCTGGCCAGGTTTTGCGCTGGCCCAATGCCCTGCGGAGCGTAGGCCGCGGCAGCGTAATCGAGGTGGCCAACTCGCCGGTGGTGTCGGTGTATGCGCTGGTTGCGCAGCAGATCGACATGCGCCGGTACTACCTGGAGCTGCCCATTGTCGAGCGAGCGGACGGCCCAAAGCGCCAGTCCCTTTGCCACTGCGCAAGCCGGGGATTACCAATAGACGAACGCAACGACCGTGCGCTGCAGGAGGAGCTGGCGCCGCTGCAACCCAGGCGCCAGCACAACCTGTTCCACAGGCTGTCGTCGCAGCTCAGCACAACGCTTGGCCACTCGGCCAGCGCTTCCCAGCGGGTCTCGCTGCCGGCAAAGATTCATTCAACAGTGCCTTTGACTAGATCAAACAGCAAGCACAGCGACCGCCGCTGGTCGATGTTCCAGATGGCCGGCCAGCCAAAAGACATAAAGCACCAAATCTCCGACCCGGAGCCGCAGCAGCCGCTAGAACCGCTGAATCTCCGCAGCATCGGCGTCATGGAGGACATGACGTCGCGCATTGCCTTGCCAAATGACCTTACTGGAATTCCGCCCGAGACCGTGCTGGGGCTGGTCTCGCGGCTTCTGAATCTGCACATGATCGCACACACTTTTGTCGAGACACGCAGAATGCCCGTGCACAAGGCACTCAACATGAGCATGTTCTCGCTCAAGACCATTGCCGCCATGATGACTTCGGTCAAGACCCGCGCCCAGCATACTGCTCAGGACATGGACCTTGAGACGCAGGCCAGCGACAGCATTTATGTCGACGCGCCCAGCGTCATCAACGAGTCGATTGCCAATGCGTCGGAGCCCCTGTGCTCAGAGGATATCCCCGTGGTGCTCGATTTAGAGACCCAGGACAATCCGCACGAGCCGCGCCACCACAACATCAGATCCTTTTTCTCCTACATGGTGCCCAGGGGCCTGCGCTCCATGACCGATGACCGGCGGCAGGCCTCCCAGTATTGCAGCAAGCTGAGCAAAGAGCCCCCTAGCGACCGGTCGGGGCTTGGCAGAATCCTCGGGCCGCGCAGGAAGAACTCCATGGCTCCCAGTATGCCAATGCTCAAGCGTTGCAACTCCACCAGCGACTCGCCCGACGGCCGGCTGGTCGGCGACCTGTATCAGGAGCAGATGGGCGTGCCGGACATTACCACCACGGTGCCGGTGCAGTATGCGACGCCGGTGATTTTCGCCCAGTACTCGCCGTCGCTCAACAGGTGGCGCGAGACCGAGGTCGTCGAGTACTACAGCTGCTCGGTCCGCATCGAGCTGGTCCGCATCGGCGGCTGCGAGTCCCGCCACCGCTACGCGCTTTTGATTGACCGCATGACCGGACATAAGGGCAAGTTCTCCTTGTTCCGTATGTTCTTGCGGCGCATGATATCGGCGCTGCCAGGGCTTGGAGCCCGAGCAGTTCGCCCCACATACCCAGACACGACCCGCAGATCACAGTCGTCTAGAACAGAAATTATATTTTCCCTTGGCCATAAAGCTTATATTTCACAGCCCTGACATTATCTCCACCAGCTGTGCCCGCGCCCGCGCTGCAGCCGTATGTGCCGCGTAGCTCCATGTCAGATGGATGGCGCCGCGGCCGTACCCGTCGTAGCGGAACCACTGCTCGTACATGGTATGGTCGCGCGAGGTGTGTCTAGGCGACTCGGCCCATATATCTGTCGCCAATAGCCAGCAGCTGGCTCAGCATCGCCTGGAACTCGCTTGACCTGGTAGATACCTGGGCCCGAAACCGGCAGGTTCAGAATCTCCTGCCAGTTCATGCGTCGCCAGGAACCCTCTGCATGGCTGTGAACGCAATGCCAAGGCGGTAGTGGTACTCAGGCCATGGCCGAAGTGGCCAGCGACCACGGATTCCCCATGGACGTGCCGTCGCCATTATACACGTCCTCGGGGTACCGCCCGATGGCTACACCGATGGGCACACTAATGCCACTGATGTCGGTGCTGACCACGCTGTTGATCGGATACAAGCTCTCAAACGCCTCAACGAGCCTGCTCACCGTGGCCATCATCTGCACCGGAGGCCACCGAGTATTTGGAGTCGGTGTTGCCGAAATGCAGTGCGGCCAGAAGCACCTGCGTGTCCAGATTGGACTGCTTGCTTGCGAGGCCGCCAGGACCAGTCCAGGGTGGTCAATAGATGGCCGCGCCTGGCATCCCAGAACCGCCCCAGATCCCGCTCCAGCGCTCTCGCCTGCCCTCGGTACTTGATATAGCCATTTGGTGTCGCCCAGGACTGCGCTGCCAACTCAGCTGCCGTCCAGAAGCGCCCGCCACTGCGCCATGCGCGTGTAGAAATGCGCCCCACGGGTCTCCTCCCAGATATCGCAGGTCCTGGTATCCTGCCACATTTCGGCAATATACTCCAGATCCGTCTTAATAACGGACTTGGCCTGGCTGCTGTACAGATAATCAATGGGCTGGCTACGGTCGCGCAGGTACCCAGCGTACTTTGTCAGCATATATGCGCGGATCGCCGGCCCGTCCGTCTGCGCATTGCACCAGCTGCCGGTAAATGCGCTGCCGTCCATGTGGAACTTGGCTTCGCCCAGTCCGTACCTGAGGCCCGGCAGTGACTGCAGGTGTCCGGGTGAACCTCACGTAATCATCGATCCTCTGCTGCACCGTGTCGCCCATGGTCTGGTTTAGCAAAAGCCAGGAGAACATTTCGTTCATTACCAGCGCAGAGTCGCGCGTCCACGCGTAATAGTAGTCGGGGTGGTGGCGGGAGGGCGAGGCGCAGACGGCGCCAGGCAGCGCCGAGGGGTCGTCTGCAAAGGGCGCTATGTTTGAGAGAATCCGGCGCTTGGAGAACTGCGTCTGGCTGCTTATCCAGCTTTGCAGAGGCTCATTGGCTGATTGCATTGTATGCATTGGGTGCTGCCGTGTATCGCCTGGATAGGTCCGCTGTGCAAGATATGCAGGCTAGGAACAATACAAGAACGCGTTGGACAATCATTTCGCAGTAATATGGAGAATAAAATGTTCTAGTTGCCAAAAAAAAACTATCTGGATATATGACCAGCGCGAGAAAAAAATAGAGACAGAAAGTGAAGCTGGCCTTGCCTTTATACTGTTTGGAATGGATCCCCTCCAGGAGTGGAGTCCAGTTTTTATTCATGTACCATGAATCACGCAGCTCGAAAGAGGGGGTGGAAATTTCCCTTCCCAGACCACATGGGTGGTCATTGCACCTCCACCATGTGCAGCAATAAGGGCGAGGGACGGTTAGCGTGATTTCTGCCCAGCAGCCACACGTGAATGCCGGCGACGCACAGCCTTGTATCCTTCCAGCAACCGCTCAATCTCGGGCTTGCTAAGGTCGGAGCCACCGGGCTTCACCGACTGCATCCAGTAGTCAGCTGGCTGCACCGCGGCACCGCCCGCCGACGACCAATTGCCGGGAGCATTTCCACCAGCCCACGTCTGCACCGACGAACTGTCGGCGTTACTCCCCGGCGACGCAATGGCCGCCTGCGTAGCAGCCTCAGATGCGCGCAGAGCCGCCAGCTGCTGCAAGATCACTGACGAGTTCTCCAAGCTGGCGCTGCGGCCAGCTGACTCCATCGCATGTGACTTTTCCAATGCACTGCCCAAGTCACTGGGTGGCAGGGCGGCCCCGGCGTCATTGGCCGCCTGCTGGCTCGACACCGAGAGCAGCCGCATTAGCTCCGCCAGATCCTGCGCCGAGATCCCAGCCACATTCGACAGAAGGCTACGCGCCCTCCCGCCCGCCGCCTGCGATGCATCCCCCGCGGGCGCCGCAGATGCTGCATCCAAGGGCTGCTGCACTGCTGCGTGGTCTGCAGGCCGCGTCTGGCCCGCATAGTAGCTGTGGTAGTGGTAGTGGAAGTGCGGCTCCAATGTGCGCTGCTGCTCCGACTCGTCGCCCGGCCGCACGCCAAACCCACCCATGGGCCGAGCCGGCATCAGCTGGCCAGGGAAGGGCAGCATGGCAACTGAGCTCAAGCGGTTCCTCAGGATGGCAAACGCCGAGCTCTGCGGCAAAAGCATCAGCAGCCCGTACAGTGCGCGCAGCAGATGCGGATACTGCATGCCATCCAATAGCTGCAGCCGGAGATAGGAAAACACCGGCGACTCGATCAGCTGCACCAGCTTGTCGAGCTGCACCAGGAAGCTCACCGTCAGGTCCTGCGCCTGCTGCCCGAATATGCCGATCAGCTCGGTCGCCTGTCTCGTAGTGCTGCGACAGCAGACACAGCGTCAGGCAGGCCGCCGGGTTGTGGCTCCAGGTCCGGAACAGAGCCGTGAAGAGCCGGTGGCTGCGCTGGTTCACCTGCACGTCGTGCTGCACGCGCTGCACTGCCGCCGTCACCACATTCTTGGCCTGCTCCGCCTCAATCATCCGCCGCCGCTGCTGCGGGCCCGGCCGCCGCCGGTCGCCGCGCAGTGCCCCGGCGCTGCCGGTCCGCGATCCCCCGATGCTGCGCCCACGGCTGGTCGCGTTGCGCATCAGCTTCGCTGGCTTCTGCAATGGCGCGTCCAGGCTGCTCTGGCTGGTGCCGCGCCGGCGACTCGCAGCCAGGCTTGGCTGGCGGCTCGACAAGTCGGCTTGGCCGGCGGTTTCGCCCTGGTCCATTACGCCCGGGTGCGCACCTGCCGCTTTTCTCCAGCGACGCCAGCGCTGGCATGGTCAGCGGCATGCTTGGGTTGTACTGCCGCAGCAGAAGCCGCAGACCCTCGGTCTCGGGCTGCCGTAACCAGGATCCAGCTCAGATGCTGCACCATCACGCTGACAAACTCGAGGTCCGCCAGGCTCGCCTGCTCAAGGTGGCTCGCCCCGTCGCCCTCTACTTCCTCGCCCTCAGCCTCCTCGCCCTGCTCCAGCACACTCTCCTCTCCCGTCGCTGCTGGAATCGCTGCTGGAATCCACCGACTCGTTCTCGCCTGCCTGCATCTCCACAGACTCCCTATTTACCAAGCCGCGCGACGGGTCCCAAGAGGATGCAGACACGACGCCAAACCTCGGCATGGCCAGCAGCTTCGCCAGCAGACAAAACACCAGCTCGGGCTCCAGCACAACACACAGCTGCCTCACCATCAATGCTGCCCGCGTCTCCAGCAATACCCGACTAGTGGCAAACATCTGCAGAAGGCTGCCCAGGAATCTTGACAAGTACGGCATTGCCTGCGGGTCCACATTGATGCCATTGGCTGGCTGCCCCAAGCTCTGCCGCATCGCTGGTCTGCGAGTACTGCGAGATCTGCGCAAACAGCTCCAGGTCCAGCTTGATCACCTGCTCGCTCGAGTCGCTCAGCATCTTCAAAAGAACCGGGAAACTCATGTCGTCGGGCGTCAGGATCCGCCACGGCGCCTTGCGGTGTAGCAGCAGCAGCCAGCGCATCCCAGCCACCTTGGTCTGCTCATGCACGTTCTTGGCAAACAGCTCCATGATCGCTGTCGCCGCATACTCGTAGTTGAATGGCTCAACCACCACCTCCTCATACTCCTCGGGCATATCCACACCGTACCCTCATTGCCACCTCTGGGCGTCTGCGCTGCCCGCTTTGCGTTTTGCTCAGCCGCCACTGTGGCCGGAGACCCCGCAGTCTCACTGGCAGCCACTGCGTTGCTCTGGGCCGGCTGCACCGGCTCCAGCGGCGACAGCGGAGTGGACATTGACTCCCTGCGATCCCGTCCCGCCCCGCCGCCTACCGGCACTGCTGGCGGCGGTGACTGCGCCAGCCGCTTATCCACTCCTTGCGGGCCTGGCGTCGTGACCCGCGACGGCGCCATCGACACCACTGGCGAAACAGTTGATGCATGCAAAAGCGACTCTGCCCGCGACCTCGTTGCCGCATGGCCTGGAACCGACCCCACTGAAGTCATAGAAGCCGCCGGCGATTTGGGCCGCGTCACATTATTCACCGCCGCAACCGTCGACGTCACTGGCGGCAGCGGTCGGGCCAGCCGCGGCAGATGGTCCCCTGATTCCTTGACTATGCCCGCCGGCTCTGTTTTGGGCTCGCATTCCGGCTGCCGCCGCCGTGCCCGCCGCTCCCGTGCAGGCGCCGGTGCTTCGCTGACCAGATCATACAGCCGGCGGCTCGCGTCCTCCGCGGTATGCCGCAGAACCGACACTGGATGCGACACCGATGGCAGCAGCGCATTGATTAATGTTGGCACAAACCCGATCATGACCTCGGGGCAGATCCATGTGAACTCGTACACCCAGTGCAAGGCAATGCCCTGGATTTCCTGGTCGTTCGACTCCAGGTGCGGAATCAGGATATTCACGCAAGCCGCAAAGTCTATCGCCACGCTGACCCCCGGCACCAATGCGCTCTCCTCGCGCAATGCCCGGATTTTGCTCCGCCGCGCCTGCCATCCGCAGCTCCCCGCTCGCATCATTCAGCTGTCCGTGCACCAGCGCCGACGAAACAAGCGAGGCCGAGCCGGCATTCCGATGCCTGCCTATCAGCAAGCCCAGCCCTGATCCGCCCCCATTGCCTGCGCAGAAATTTCTCACCGAAGGGCTGGATCCGGCCGCATACGCCCTGGCCGGTAGCGCGCCGGTGACTGATGGCGCCCGCGACGATTGCTGCGAAATGCTGTGCTGCGAACTAAACGACCCAGACGCATGCGGCCTCCGGTACGACGACGCTACCCGGCCCTCCACATGCACGTCGCTCTGCATTGTGCTTGACCGGACCCGCGCCGTGTTCAGCTGCTGCTCGCCTGCATCCCCCCACGCCATTTCGTCCTCTGCATGCATTGCCCCGTCGAACCGCTGCAACTCCACGCACTCGCGGATCTCATGCAGCAACTCCCCCAGGACGCTCTGCGTTTTCGTCCGCACGTCGTCGTTCGGGTCGCTCAGGAACCGGATCAGTCCGTCCAGGAACTCCGGCAGGTACTCGATCAGGTCCAGCCCCGGGACCGAGTCCAGAACCCGAATCCACTCTATCAGATACAGCCGCGTCGAGGGCTTATACGTGTGCATCCGCTCTGCCAGCAGGGGGATGAAGTTCTCCAGCGAGAACGCCAGCCGCGGGGATCGCAGCGCCGCCTGGTCGGCATCCAGCGCCGGGCTGGTTATGCGGGCCTGGTCTACTGCTGCCGACTGGTCTGGAGCATGGGCAATCGCGATTGGCTCCACAGACAGCGCTGCTGCCGGCTCAGCAATCCCCGAGATGTTCAGCCCAGCATGGACATCTGCGTCCTCGCCGACATTCGCCTGCCCCGCCATCCCAGCAACCTCCTCGGCGTCATACCAGTCCAGACACGTGGCCGCCTGCTCTGCCACAATATCCTTGATCAGCCTATCCAGGTAGTCCGCGCCATTCTTCACAATCCTGACCGAATCTGCGGTGACCCTGGCCAGCCCATCAAAGATCTCATTGAACCACCGCAATATGTGGCCCCGGCTCACCTTGGCCACATTATACAGCGACTCGCACGCAAAATACCGCACCTTGCTCTCGCCGTCCGACATTGCCGAGATTATCGGCAGGATCATTTGCGGCAGAAACTGCGGAATATTCACATGCGTCAGGGCCGTCGACACCGACCCCAGTGCCACCAGCCCGCCGATTCGCGAGGACTCGCGCTCAGAGGTTGCGAAATCCGTCGTCAGCTCGGCGATTATCTGGTATATTATCTGGTCGTCATCGGCGTCCAACGCGGATCGCACCTGTTGCTCGATTTTCAGCGTTGCTGCCCGTTGCTTGTCGTACAGTTTGTCCGACAGCGCCTTGCCTACTGCCGGCGGGATTACTGATGTTGCCTTGACCGGCATTTGTCTGAATTGAGTAAAAAACGAAGTAGTAAAAGAAGCAACAGAAATGTGCTGAGTGTTTCTGCGCTCATGCTTTTTGTCCCATGCTTTGACGTATAGTAAGGTGCCGGCTCGCCAGATGAGCTGCGGCTCGGTATATATGCGCGAATGCTGACATAGGCCCTCCCTTGCCTGGTGCCAAGAACCAGCATTTGGAAGGGACCACAAGCACTGTGGCTTGTGCCATGTATGTAGAATACATATGCTTTTATGTTCGACTGTTTATTTTTTTGCTCCGCTGTGGGCAGACTGCAAGTGAAAACGATTGTAATTCTTTGGCATTGTTTCTCTCGCGTTCTTGCTATAAGAAGGGACCGGGATACCACGAAGGCGTTTTGTAAACATCTACAACAATATTGCCTTTTGGCTTTTTGTCGCAAACATCAAAACAACATCAGAAGAGGCGCCTGAAGTAGCCCTGGGCCATTTTCCTGTTCAAATATGCTCTGCCTTGCACCCGCGCATATCGCACGTCAAATGTATCTGAATCCTTAGTCTATTCTTAGTTTCCTTCTTTCCTCTCTCCTCTCCCCTCCGTAATTTTTCCATCTTCAATCTCTCTCCTCTATTCTTGTTTCCCTTCATCCCCGTTGCCAGCATTTTGTCATCCCTTCCTCCCCACATTACCCAGCCATCCCCTTTCCAGTAGCAATTTAAATAATAATTATGACCCCCGCATTGCAGGTATCTCTGATTCGCAACCAATTCGCTGTCGAGTGCGGCGGCGTTCTCATCGACCCATCCACCAATGAAGTCTGCCTGCTATTCTACCCAGACACCTCCGAATGGCGCCTGCCCATCGGCAAGCCCGACGCAATGTCGGCCGACCGCAGTCCCTCCCTGGACTACCATCCGGCCGAGCACAGCGTGGCCGGCTGCGAGCCCTACGCCCACGCGGCCCAGCGCCAGCTGACCGCCATAACCGGATACAAATGCAGCCACCTGCATCCAGCCGTCCTGGCCCACGCGCCCGCCAACCCCTGCGCCTACATGGGCAGCCATATGGTCGAGCCCCTGGCTCTAAGCATCGAGCAGCGCACAGCGGCATGCCCGGCAATCGAAGCAGACGACGAAATGCCCCTGGTGGAGCGCAGCCGCTCCACCGGCCCGCGCAATAACCAGATGAAAACGAGCTTCCGGCACGCCAGTTCCATGAGCGCCCTGCGCCACCAGTCCCTGGACACCGACGATTTTCGGCGCCCGGCCGCCCACGAGCAGTACGTGATGACGTATTATTACCTGGCGTGGCTGACACAGAGCCGACTCGAAAGCGACATTGCAAAAAACCTGGATGACCGCCGCGACAGCCATTCCAACCTACGCCAGCTGGCCAGGCTGCCTGTGGCCGAGGTGACCTGGTTCAAGATGGACACAGCCGCGCAAGTCCTCACCCATGCATCGGATAAGACCGCCTTGCGCGAGGCCATTGCGCGCCTGGCCAGCTGCGCTCCGCCACAGCCGCCCTTTGCTTACTCGTCCATTCATCATGGCGCAAGGCGACAGTGCCTTGAAGTCCAGCCTCAAGGGTGCCGGTACCGCCAGCAAGGCTGATATGACCGTGTCATCCAGCTCGTCGTCGGTGTCGGAGGAGACTGCCAAGGGGGAAATCTCTGGAGGGCCGCTGAGCCGCGTTTTGACGCCGACCCGCAACATGGATCTGGTCCGCAAAGCGGCCAATACTTTGGGCAAGCGCGGCGGTCTGCTGAAGCCAAAGCAGCGGTCGGTGAGCCAGACTACGGCGGCTGCGGAGCCCGAGAAGAAGTCCAGCGAAATTAGGTTCAGTAGCGTGCAGCGCCGACTCCAGCCCGGCGGCCGAGGAAGCGGTGGTCCTGAAGAAGGCGCCATTGCCACGCGTGCTGTCCATCTTTTACAAGTTTGTCGGTGGTTCTGCAGCATAAAGCAAGACAGGATACCTGCTAGAAGCACTCTTTTCTTTCACAACCTTAGCGCCTTTTAGCTCTGTGAGTTGGTCTGCTTAATTATTTCGGGAAAGCTGAAGCATTTGATTTTGACTGGCACTTTATCGTTTAGGTGGACTGAAATAGCCAGGGGGAAGAGAATTACACTTAGTTCAAAATACAAACACGATATGGAGGGAAAAGAAAAACAGCAGAGGTAACGGCTTTTGGTTTAGAAGCGAGGGACCTGCTCCTGGCTGAGGTGGTGCTCATCGAACACCTTGTCGTTGTGTCCAGACAGCGACTCCTCGTCAAAGGCCATAGTGCCGTCGCCAAAGTACGCAATGTCCTCGGGCGACCACTTGTCGGGGTTGCCAACACGCGACCAGCGGTAGCCGAACGCAATGTAGACGATGAGGCCGATGCCCAGCCAGATGAACAGACGGTAGATGGTAGGGCCACCCGACAGGACCAGCAGGACCAGGGCAATAGCGGCACCGGGAATGGGGATGACAAACGGACCGAACGGGACAATGAAGCCACGGCCCATGTGCGGGTGCGTGTAGCGCATGACAATGACACCGATGTTGACCAGAATGAACGCCAGCAGAGTACCGACCGAGGTCATGTCTCCGAGAATATCGACCGGCAGGAAGGCAGCAAGCACAGCGCACACAATGCCAGACACCGATGGTTGGCACGTAGGGAGTCTTGAACTTGGGGTGCAGGCGGCCAAAGATACGCGGGAACAGGCCGTCGCGCGCCATGGTGAAGAAGATACGCGGCTGACTCATCAGCATAATGAGGATAACCGAGGTCAGACCGGCGACAGCTCCGATGTCGATGAGGATACGGAGCCACTTGGTGTTCGGGTGGGCCTCCAGGGCAAACGAGATGGGTGCTGCCTGGCCCTTCAGGTCCTTGTACGAGACTAGTGCCGGTCAGAACAGCGCACACACCAGATGTACAGAGGCCGTGCAGACTGCCAGCGATGCGCAGATACCCCACGGCAGGTCCTTCTGCGGGTCCTTGGCCTCCTGGGCAGCAGTCGAAACAGCGTCGAAACCAATGTAGGCGAAGAAGACACGCTGCGCGCCCTTGAACAGACCCTTGGCACCGAATGAGTTACCATCGCGGGGCGGCAGGAACGGCTTGTAGTTGCTGCGGTCAATGTACTTGATGCCGCCAAAGATGAATAGCTAGCACGACAACTGAGCTTGATGACAACTACAACCTTGTTGACCCACGACGACTGCTTGATACCGATGACAAGGACGGTGCTGACAAACAGGATGATGCAGATAGCCGGAATATCGATGTACTTGCCCTCGACAACCTTGAATGTGAGCTCCTTGTTGTCCCACGTCAGGGGCGAGCCGGTGATAGCGGGCTTGGAGGTCACTCCGAAGGCGTCTCTGAACAGCATCTGCACATACGCGCTCCACCCGACGGCGACAGTGGCGGCTCCGACGAGGTACTCGAGGATAAGATCCCAGCCGACAATCCAGGCGAGGAACTCGCCTAGCGTCGCGTACGTGTATGTGTACGCCGAGCCAGAGAATGGGCACCATCGAGGCCAGCTCCGAGTAACTGAAGGCAGAGAGGCCAGATGCAAAACCCGCGATGATGAAGCTGACGATAATTGCGGGTCCCGCATCCTCGGCGGCAGCGATTCCGGTCAGCACGAAAATACCAGTACCGATAATGGCACCGATACCGATGGCGATGAGATCCAGGCGGGACAGCGTGCGGTTCATCTGTGTGCGCTGGCCCTCGCGCAGAATCTGCTCGATGGGCTTGCGCGCAGTCATGCGGTTCCAGATATGCCTCCAGCCGGTTGCTTGAACTTCGGCCATGGTTGAGGTTTCTGTCTTAAAGGTCAGTTAAGAGAAAAGTGGGGGATACTTCCAAAAGGGAACCTATATGAGAGACAGGCGTTTGGAAGTGTGGAATAGAAAAGAAGTACTGGATGTATGCTATATGCACCAGCAATAGACTACGTAAGTCAAAGTATTAATAGGAAGAGTATAGTGGAGAAGAGAAAAATTAGGGCGCAAGAGGTGGCGAACAAACTGAGAGAGTCTTTGGTCCTGGCGAGCAGGGCTTTTACGAGACTATTTATCTGCTTTCTCCTCTCCCGAGAAGAAACAAATGGCCTGGTAGCCAAGAGCTGCACAGCTGCATCTGACAGCTGGGCGGCACGCAGAGAAAGGGGGAGGTGGTGGGTCGCCGGGCTGCAGCGTGTTCGGGAACAACGGGCGCGGAAGGGCGCTTGACAGCAACAGCAAAATTTTTTATTTGTCCTCTGGGCTAGATGATTTCTCACATATACATGCATTAGCTTTTTGTCAAGTCCCAAGAGGAGCAAAAATAATCGCTGGGCAGCAAATAGCTGTGCAAGGACTTGCAGATCCTGCAGTCGGCGCTGGCCGAGCAAACAGGAATGGCGTGCCGAAAAGAAGAAGCAAAAATAGTTTTTTTTGCCCACACTTTCCCCCCGCTTGCGCTGCCCTAATTTGCCTGGAACTGCTTTTCATGTGCACACATGACAAGCCAGCGCCGCGCCGGCTGATGGAACTGGCCGCTGTAGCGCGACTCGATTGACGGTCCTTCCCCCAGAGCACGCTGTTGCAGGCGGGGCAATCGGCTCACGGCCATTGGCATATCGGAGGCAAGGGGGGGTGGAGTAGATCCATGTTAGAGCGGCACCAGACCAGGGCCGCCCGTGTTATCAGAAAGCGAGAAATCGCCCTGCTATTGCGAAATTTCCAGGTGCAGCTCGCCAGCTCCTGCGCAAAAGGCATCGCCGAGGTCCTACTCTTCTATTTGTCGATCAATTCATCCTCCACCTAATATCTCCTGTCTATAAATGGTATGTCAACAAAGCGCTCCTATGTCCCTTGTGCACAGCCTTGCCAACGCTTTTGGCATTCGTGCGTGGTCTCAAGATAACAGGTGCAGCCATTGTTTTTGTTCGCTCCCCGGCTCCTTCTGCGGTTGGGGGGAAGGGGGACCTGGCAAATCGCTGTGCATTTTGCAAACATTGTCAAACATAATGACGATTATATGAAGAGGTAGCGCGGGGAGGGGCCGCTCATCTTCGGCATGCCTGTGCATTTCTCGGCGGCATGGGTGGCTACATCTTCACTGGGCAGAGAAGAAATCACTGCTGCTTGCTCGCCCCCGTGTGCTGCTGGCGCAAAAAGCTCCTTGCATCAAGCAGCCTAATAGGCGTGTTCAGCGTGTGACACTCATGTGCTTGGCTGATTTTTTTTCGCCGACTCCGTACGCATCGGTTAGTAAAAACGGCGCCAAGAGTCTATCGTCACCAAGAGTCTTGTTCGCCATAAAGGCTTGCCCCGCCATGAAGTCTTGCTCGCGAATTGGCTGGACGAAAAATATGCCGTTTCCAGCTTGTGAAAGAAAAACAGGCTCTCGTGTAGGATCTGCTATATCGGGAATGAATGGAGAGGATCCAGGCTAATTATCCGCTTTAGTACCATCCCTGTCGGTTCCAGATAGGTGGTGGGGGAGGAGCTGCCTTGCCCTGTGATGTTGGGTCGGTGCTCGTTCTAACTAGCGGACAAGCTCCCCCTTTTTGGCTCAACCCTTGCGACTCCGCTTTCTCTCCTTTCCTCCACCAGCTACACGCCGATATGAACGAGATTGCGCACCTCCTTTTGCCTTTCCCAGAAGGCTGCATGCCACATGCTGGTGCTGATATTGAGCGAAACTTCTACTATTCCTGGGGCTGCAGCGATCTTGCTGTAGCCTTCTGGATCCAGCATTGGAAAGGCATTCAGCTGATTAGATGCTTGGCAGGCGTGACACCAGCAGTGGCCGCCATGGTTCATTCAGCCATAGCCACAGCCCCATGCATCCGCTCCCCACCACGAGGCACCCGCCTTTTCCGCACATCCTCCACTCGCCAATGGGCCAGCTCACTTGCTCCCAAATGGCGCCACGGCCAGCATAGCTTGCGGAATCTCACGCCCCCATCCTATGTCCAAGCGTATGTAATACTCCTATGTGTCCCGCCTTGCATGCAGCCAGGACGACTTCCTGCTGCCCAGCAGGCTCCCAGCATCATGTCGGCCGCCTACTTTTGTTGACACAAAGTATGCCCGTCCCCCAATCCTTCTCGAACCTCTTTCTGATTGCCAAGTGCGAATAAGAAAAACAACGAACCAGTCTGTTCCTTTCCGCAGAGCACTCCACCCGTATGCATGACGACAGTCCTTATCTCTGCCTCCGCTCACCTATGGCCTGCGGTGCCATGAGGAAGACCTGCCTGCTGACCTGATGCTTAGTGGACTTTCTCACGCATGCATGGAATGCGGCATGGACGTAGCCCTGGCAGCATCCCTTCGTCCTTCGTGTGCGCTTGTGGCGCATTACCAGACACCACAGGACTAAGACCCAGCACCGGCAGGCAAAAGGAAGGGTGCCAGTGTGTAGCTACTCGCCTCGGATCCACGGTGGTACGGCTGATTCCAGCTCTTGTGCTGAAAAGGGAGCGATCTTCTCAGTGTATAGTTGGCGACTGGGCCGGAGCGACCACGGCGCACCACATGTTCAGGCAACTGGGTTTGGAAGATAGCATGCAAGGCGATACGTTACACAGCATCGAGTGCCATAGGCGATCCACCTTTGGCACCCGACCCGGTACCCCATGACGCAGAACAAGTGAGCTGCCAAATATAGGCACCGAACCGTCCGCCATTCTCGGCGGCCTGGGTCACAGGGTGCGCCATTCTGGGGGCAGCTCGCACCAAAAGCAGATCGCCAGCATCAAGTGATGCTGCAAATCACACCCTTGCCACCGGCCATTTTCTGCGCTGCTGATTTCTTGTGGGCGTTTTCGTTCAACCGCATCCCCGTGGGCACAGCAGGTGATCCTGTCGCTAATGCGTGCACAAATCACGTACCGATCAACGGAGACACACTGCCAGCGCGCACAACGTTATCCAACGCTGCACCATCCCTACCCCCAACCTCTTCACTGCGGTGGCATATACAACGCAACAGCATTCTGGTTGTTTTTGCCACACCTTTGCTCGGCTAACTCTCGCTCCTACCATGCACACTACTGTGGCACCGATCATGAATAAGGCTGCTTACAGCCCACGCTGCTCCTCCGTTCCGCGAGTAGTACTGTCTTTTTCCAAAGATTTTACTGCAACACACTTCTGTAATAGACTAAGACTTCTGGGTTACTGCCCAGTTTACCCAGCGCCACTACACGTCACTTATGTGTGACACCCAGAACGTTGGTCAAAAGCCAGCTAATTCAGCCGAAGCTGCTGACTTGGCGTGCTGGGAGCAAAGTTCAGATGAAATATAGTCCAGCAGCCTTGCACGACTCCTGATATAAAAAGCGGAGCCCTCATCACTCGTTAGCCTGGAATCCTCACAAACCCAGCATTGCATTCCGCTCCATCCAACCCATCTATCCTACCTACCCACGCTTCAACGCCCGCCCTCGCTTCGACCATGCGCTTCATCTCCTTCGCCACCGTCTGTGCCATTGGCATGTCCCCGATTCTCGCAGCTCCTGCCTTGAGTAGCTTCCTTGCCATGCCGGGAGTTGGTGGTAATCCTGCTATCCCTGTAACGCCAGCCGACTCTGTCACCCCTGATGTGACTAGGTATTTCAGTACCACTCCCCCCAAGTACTGGACAAGTGGCAACCAATTGTCGTCTACCTCAACCACGACGGTGAGTGAACCAGGCACTACTACTAGCAAGGAAACATCCACCTCTGCCGGCGCCAGCGGAACGACGAGCAAGACCACCACCCATACCAACACTTATTCTTCAGCCAGCCAGCCAACTGACCCGGGTGCTAGTAACCTCTATACCGCGACGACTCCAACCAGTACTACTACTGAACACCAAAAGCCAACCAAGTGCCTCACCCAGGACCACCCCAGCCTCGTCTACCCCACAGACCACCAGCACTGAATCCGCCACTCCTGTTATTAATGATTCCTACTACCAGACCTCATCGACCAAAGCCGCCACCTCTATCCAGCCTGGGTGTGAGCAATCCCATTCATCTGGCAATGAATCATCCACCAGCGTTGAGTCGTCGGCCCCGCATTACATTGCTACCTCTCCGCCAGCCAGTTCTCCCCACGCACCCATCTATTCTGCAAGCGCTGCTCCTCCTGTCCCAACGTCACATGTGGATGACGTCACTGTCTAACCCTCTATTTTTGCGTGATGACTATGCCGTTGCTCCATCCTTTCGGCCATTTTACCTTGCATTTCAGCTTTTAATGCTCCAATTCTTCTGGGCTTGTTTCGCAAAATAAATCCATTCCGCTGCAAAAACGTGGCCTGGGCGAACAAACTACAACCATGCCGTGTGCTCCGCTCGTAATTTGGCCTAGCCCTCCAGATTTTATCGCACTGCTTATATTTAATTTATTAGCAGCTTATGTTTTAAGAGACATTTACTGGAGCTCACCAACACAAGCTGTTTGCTTTAGGTGTATTTTGCCCTGTGCAAGAACGCATTTGTTATCATATGCATCTTCCTCCTCGTCCATTGCGATGAAGCAGAGGCAACATTCTTGACAGTAGGCTAAATGAAATATACATTACCGATATGGGTTATGACAAAGCAAGGACACTGGGCATTTGCAGACTAGTATTTTTCGCACCGTTCTGCAATACATCAATATCGAACATGCGATTCTTGGAAAGAGGATGATGCCAGTTTATATATTCCTGCTCCTTAGACAACAGCCACGAAGAGCAACCAACTCAGTCCCGGACGGACCAGACCAACCTTGGGCCCAGCTGTGGGGTGTGAGAATGCATCTGGTACCGGTGAACCGGGTGAAGAAGCCTAGCCGGACTCCTGAATAAATCCACCATTGCCTTTCCAATGACCGCTAGTGGCTGGCAGAGGCCTAATTGCCGCTAACTCTATGTGCCCAGGGTAGCGAGTCTGTTCGGCTGTGTGCACTAGTCCTGCATTAGCCGGAGTGTGGGTGAGAATGTCGGCATCCTACCGAATTGGCGTTCTTCTGGGATGTCCCTTGTAAGGCGTTGGTCTGGTAGTGTAGTAATCGCATATGCCTGATCAATATGCGCGATTAGATCTACAATCGCCAACGTTTGTAGCACATTCCGGCCATTAGCCATACTGCATCGCTAGTTGAGTGCATGAAATCGCCGGCTCGATGATATCCTTGGAGCACGTTTCACAATGGAATACCTCTGATCGAACGTCCCTGATGTTATGCTACACTGCCGGCCCTTTATTAAACCCTTTGCTCAAGCACCTACTGTTTCAGTAAAATGCTAGTGTTACTCGCCTGTATATATCCGGTACCAATTTTAGCTGCGCACCAGTTGCGGGTCACCAGTTACAACGTTGTTCGCATAACCTGCGTGGCAGCATGCAACTGAAATAATGCCGTGCTTATTGTGTTGATATCTGGCAAACACAAAGCATGGCCCTGGTATAAAAGGCGGCGGGTAGGAGCCAATTCTCTAGTTTGTTCCATACGCTCAATTCCTCACTGCTGTTCTCCTCAAACAACTCTACCATTCAGCCCATAGATATCTCCAGCACAGTCCATGCATCTGATTCCGCTTGCTATCTTTGCTGCCACTGCGGCTATTGCAGTCAATGGTGCCCGTCTTCTCACTAGCCACTTGGTGACGCCAGGCATCCTCCACAAATGCCGTTGCAGCCGCTGCATCGGAATCTCGGCCCATTCCTAGCTATATTCGATTCAATGCTATTCCGTATTCCACAGCCAGTGGCCAAGCAACCTCTGTTTTGACCGCATTGCCTACCAGCAAACCCCCAAAGACATCAAAGCCCGCGCAAAGCAGAAAGCGAAAAGCCAACTGTAAGGTCATCAACTGCCAGTACCAATATGGCGACTGATGCGCCTACTTTTGCTACTGCCAAACCTGCGATTCCTGCTGTCGATGTAGTAGCCATTAGTCCTATGCCATCGTCCACCAACTCCAAACCTGTGTCGTCGCCCCCTTATGCAGCTCAGGTAATTGGCTCACCAGTGGCGCCAATATATGGTGCAAAGAAAGGGTACTAGCAGTGCTGCAAGTGTCGGTCACAGTGTCCTGTTCCATTATCGCAGGTCGAACCAGTTTGTCTTTCAGCAGCCTTTTTACTCAATTATTACGAATATGCGTCTGCAAAATGTTTTCAACACGCTTCATGGCGGATCTTGTGGACTCACGCAGCTGCGTCAGTGATTCTTGCTGCGCGTCTATGCGCTTCATTTGCTGACCAAGGATGTCTAGCACATACCGGCATGTCTGCTCAGGGTTGTCCATGCTGATGCCACCTGCCATTACTGGAGTCTGGGCCACAACCATAGGTGAGCCTGCTAGCATTGGTCCGGATGTGGGCACCGCAGTCTGGCTAACACTGGTGGAGCTGGCGCGATGCATGGGCGGCACTGGTGGTGCTTGAGGCTGTGCAGTATTCTGAGTGAGCTGGCCGCTATATGGTGCGCGGTGTGATGGTGGCGAATACCGGGTGTAGGGGTGATGATGTGTTGGTTGCTGGAGTTGGATAGTAGGAGAACGATGGAGGATCCGTGGCGCCCAGGGATGGTCTGTGAGCTATGACGCAGCATTGGCGGTGCTTGTGACGGACCTTGCTGGAGTCTGAGATGTGGCTCCTGCTGAAGGTTGCTGGCGGGAACGAGCTGCTTATTTTGTGCTGATGCTGATGCTGATGCTGATGCTGATGCTGGTGTTGATACTGGTGGACTCCGCGCGGAGGTGACTGGGTTCTGTGCACACCTTGCATGCTTGAATCTGACAGCCGGTGGTGTGATGTACCTCTGGTACCCACCGAACCTGCAGACTGCGACACAGACTCGTCGTATACCTGGCGCATAGCGTGGGCGCCTGTTGCAATCGACAGACCAAGACCTGCATTTGACGGAGTTGGTTGGGCGGCTGTGGCTGCCATCTCTGCAAACTGAGGGTCGCCATCGACGATGTTGGCAACTTCCTTGAAAAAGTCAAAGGTCCAGCGCGCCTGCGCCTTTTTCCTTGTTATGGACGACAACGTCCTTGTAGTCGCTGAGAACCTTGCCCCACCGGTCCTATATAGATTTAGCTGCGTTTAGTATACAGGCTGTGCATGCGTGTGCAGAACGAGGCGTGTGAGCGCGAGCCTATGCACGAGGTTAGTGCCAGCAAAATATCACCAAGCCAGACTAGGCTGGCCAAATTGGACAATTGTATGGATAGTGGATCCGCTCAATAGTGGTAGGATTATGCCTGTCCAACCCGTGCTCAATGCCAGCACTCCACCCGTCCCTCAAATCATGAATTGAAAGCGCCACACGAAAAGCCATGTGCTAGCTTTGCTGGTGTAGTCTGGGTATCTGTGGGAAAGGGACGAGATGACAAGGGTGTCGCCCGGTCAGCTAGCAGGACAACGATGCCAGTGCTGGACCCAGGGAGCCGCTGTGGACACCGATTGTAGTACGTGTGTATGCTGCTGTGGGCGAAATAGACAGGCAGCATTGCAAGCAACAGATGCCACCAGGCGAGCAAGGAAGGCTCCTCAGAGAGAGCTGGGGCGAATAAAAGATTGTAGATCATGTGAGGCATACTGGCGCTCTAGGTAAATCGCCGCTGCCAAGTCGGACTCCAGCTGGGCAGCAAGCTTGCCGATGAGATCCACCTCCATTCCCACTCGCTCCAGAGTGATCTGCCATCCCCTCCAGAGAGAATCTGCAGAATATTCAGACCAAGAAGAGCGACGCTGCAGTGCATGCAGATGGTAGCATCTTGAGGATGCAACAGGATGACCGCGGGCATAAGCCAAAAAAAAACAGAAGAGACGCGCGCTGATGATTTTCAACATACCACGAGATGCGTGCTGTCGCCATGGGGAAGGAATGAAGGCCCAAAGGCAGCGACAGACAGCACGAGGACGAAGCACGCTCAGCCTGTCAGGCCTCTCGCAGCGTGGTGATCAGCGCGCAGTATGACAGTAGTTCACAGGCGCTTTCAATTGGCGCTCGCTGGTTCCCAGAAAGTTGGTAGTAGGCGGGGACAGAGGCGGGTCCCAAATGAGAGTTGGATCGGCTCCGCGTATGGCTAGAATCATTTACAGTGCGCAACGGCGAATTATTTTAGAAAATGGCGATTGCTGCTGTAGAATGGGAATGTGGATCGATAGGAAGCTGAAATGACAGCGTAGTAATGACCTAAATGGGGATTGCAGTTCATGGACAGACTCGAGTGGATGAAGATCCAAGCAGCTACCGAGTGAAAACACACAAAGAGGGGCTGGGGCTGAGGCTGAGGCTGAGGCTGAAGCGAGGATGCATTCCGCCTATTGCTAGCCGGGGGCGTACTTCGGCCTTAGGCTAGCTGGCGGCGCCCTGCGGCGGGGCTTTGCAAACACACCCCTCCTTCCCAACAATTGCTGGGCTGTGCACGGTAATTGTGCCAGGACGGGGCAAGGATGGGGCGAGTGACACGGCAGGATATCCGACAAGACAAATGGCTTGGAATAATCGCTGATTCAAAAGGCCGTTGCCACGAACAACAACAGCAGCAACAGCAAGAGAAAAGAACTGGCAGCTATGTCGAGACAAGCCCTTCTAGCCAAATTTAGCCAAGCCTGAGGCTGGGAATTGAAGTGGCAGATAGTGGGAGGTGGTGTAGAATGCCATCCCGTGGATCAAAAAGCGCTAGCCGGCAACAATGCTTTGTGGATGGGAGCGGCATGGAATGGGAGGAGACGCCCAGATTCACTCGCATCAAGTGACGTGCGCCATATTCGGAAACTGCAAAAGCAGTGTCTCGATGTCACTGAATGCAAAGGAGAAAACGAAAACAGCTTGCTGCTGCAAACAGTCGGCAGCGGGCACGGCCATACGAGGCAGGGGAGGAGCGGTAGGGGGAGGATGTGGGAGACTGAAAGAGAGCCAGCAAACAATGCTTACCGCACACCTGGGTTGTGTTATACCCGTCTGAGAGTGCAAAAGGTAGGTGCGAGCGATGCGCTTTTGGCCATTCGGCAGTAGCTCAACGGAAGCTGATGGCCTGTTTCTCTTTCTTCTGCTGATCAATGATGTTGTTTGGGATACATACCTGCGAGGCTTTCTTTGACCTGCCTGGAAACTGGCTGGAGTGCTCCTTGTGGATTGTATGCCACACATTGCTGCGCTCCTGGTTTGTTTTACAGCGCTTAAGCGAATCGTAGTGGCGGCCAATCGCCCGCACAAGAGACAGAGTCTCCTCACGACTCCAGTTCCTCGCCACCTTGATTGTCTCGCCTGCGCTTGTCGTTCCATCATCCAACATGCTGCTATTGTGGACTGTGCTGGATGGCCGGGCATGGGGCGAGTTTCCCGAATGTGATGATGACATTGGCGATGCGCGTACCGTCGGAGCAAGGTCGGCCGGCTCGCGGAACGCTCCTGGCTGGTGCTGGTGCTGCTGGTTGTGGTACCGGATACTGGAGCTCAGTAGTGGCTGCTGCTGCTGTTGCTGTTTCTGTTGTTGCTGATAAGCAGAGGGCAGCGGCTGGCCTGGGCTGGTGAATGGTCGCGGGTGTGTTGATGACGAAGTGGTGGGGCCTGGGCTGGAAAGCGGATGGCTGAAGGACTGTTGCTGCTGATGCTGTTGCTGCTGTTGTTGCGTGATGCCAGCCTGTGGAGGCTGTGGCCCAGATGGCACATAGCTCCGGTCCATGTGGTTGGTGGCACCGCTTGATACAGCACTGTTGAATTCAGGTATGCTTCGAATGGGTGGAAGGGCAGCATTGGTGCGCTGCGGGTTGACCGAATCGTCCGCCATTGAGAGGTCGAGTGACCTTTTGCGGTAGGCCATGTCTGTCATATGGGAGTACCTGGGTAATATATACGAGATAAGAGGGATAGATTGTATGAAAGGGCGGGTCGGAGAATTCCAGGCAGCCGGAGAACCGCACCTTTATGAAAGATATCAAATGAATTCTATGCAACAGACGCACTAGAATGTACCAAATAGAAGTACAGGGTAAGGCGTGAAATGGGAGTGGAAGCAAACAAATAGAGGAGAGGAATAAAAAAAGGGTGCGTGTGATGTGTATGTATCTCGACTCTGGGGCAAAGGTGCAAGCAATCCCGACGTGGACTTTGCGCCCTTTTTATTGTGAGCCCGGTAACGGCAGCAGACGAGAGAGTAAAAAGGGGAAGAGGCCGATGACAGTGGAGAAAATGATGTGCAGGTCGTCGGGTGGAAGAGGGGGTGGTGAGAAAGAGGGGGGGGGTCGATTAGCGCTGGTGCAAATCAGGCAGCGCGGGCCAAGCGGGCCAGCTGGAAAAAGGACGCGATGGAGAAGAGCAGCTAAAAGGGGGTGTGGGGGTGGGTCAGACGAGCGGGTTCTGCAGGGGGGTTAAAAAACGACGTACAATATGCGGGCCAGCAAAGCGAACATTGAAAACATAAAGGCCATGGGTTTAGTGAAGCTGGAAATGCAAACTAGCGGCACGCCAAAGAGCTGGACTGCCGCCTCTTGTTTCTGGTCAGGCACGGCTCAGGAAGGAAATAGCAGCAGCTGGTACGTAAGGAAAGCAGGGGCAGATTGGCGGCTGGGAAGAAGCAGCACAAGTAGTGGCAGTATTGCCTCAACTGATGTGCTCCTCTTTCCATCTCGCCTGCCCAGAAAGGAGGCGATTCACGGCAGGTGGGCTCGTGTGTGAATGAGGTGAAGCAAGTGTCACGCTGGTTTTGTGGTGAGAAAAGGGGAACTCGCTTTGGCTTGGCTTGGCTTGGTGTAGAGAGGGGGTGCACCCTCCTGACCTCGAGAACTATCCTTGAAGTGGAACCCAATGGGAACACCTGTATGCAACTGCATACAGCCGACATTGACCGAAGATGGCTCAAAAGAGGCAAAAATCCGACGCGTGTGTGCTCTAGCAACGGGAGGCTGTATACACCCCCGTCTGGCAGATGGCTGTTGCACATGGAAATAGGGTTCTATTCTCGTCTGCCTTTGTGCCATTTTTGGGATCCAACAGCACGCTGTCCATATTTGGGCTATCTCACGTTGCACGGGCAAATGGGAGAGAGTCAGCACTCTCATTTTCCCTGCCTTCTTTTGTTTCTCAAAGCGCCATTGCCTGTAACAAAAATAACATGTGGGGACGGAACACAGATACATTTAGTTGCTGGCGAAAAACAAGCCACTTGTATTCCAGCATGCCTGTGCAGATTGCTCTGTTGTTGACATTTCCCCCTTACAAGATTGTCCACAGAGAGCAGGGGCAGAGTTAGAAATGACAACACTTGGGCTCCCGGGTAGATATTGCACAGACAATTAGAGTTTGAGTGAAGACCCTATTGACAGGTGACAAAACGGAAGGAAGAAAATAATACTAGCCAAAGCGGAATGTTTCCTGAGAACGCCACATCACTTGTTTCGACGCTAGGCGACAAAACATGCAGTGCAGAGCTGCTGGTCTCGTTCTGGAGGACAGGCAGTGTGCGATGGGAGAGAGAACATAGCTCGCACACTCGGCTGTGTGGAAAGAGGCAAAGGGTGCTTGAAACGAGAGATTTGCGGCCACCCAAACCAGCCAGAAATACTTGGCAGCGTAGTCTGTGCCACTGGGATCCCATCCGACAAAAATAAAAAACACTGGCTCCGTAAAGCATATCAGCGCAGATGCTGCTTCTTCGTGCCATGGAGTTCGCTGTGGAGGGCCCATGCTAGTGCCTACCTCCAACAAAAGGAGATCCCCGCCAGGAGTAGCTATATGCGCAGCGAATGACAGTTGAAAGGTACACTATGGATGTGTATGATCTACCGCTCTGGCCTTTTGCTGGGCAGCATGGGGGCTTCTGGTCGACAACCTCCGGGGTGAAGTGCCCAGGTGGTTTGAAAGAAAATAGCCAAAGCCCGCACTGCTCTACAATGGCGATGGCTTAATTATTTCTGTCATCATGCTCGACATATCGGCAGCCTGTGGTTTGTCAGCGATAAGGCATTCTCTCCGCTGAACATCGGTTGGAACCGCAAATCCAAGTGCAGGTTTATTGCGAGCTTAGCATGCCGAGATCGCCTGCCCGGTGTTCTAGCAGGCTCGCCATTGCCAGGCAGCAGGAGCGGATGGGAGCGACGAAGGGGAACCCATGACCTCCAGCGGCCAGAACGAAGGTGAGGGAAATCGTTTTTCAGCTCACAGTAGGCAAAAATCGACACCGGATTCCCATGGCTGCACATCGTCGCTTGCAAGGTGTATAGCAGGAAATATGCCGTTTGCTCCACAGTGGGAGATGTGCAGCAGGCAAGGCAGGGGATTGCTGCGTGTGCCAGAAGGGCTCTGCTGAAATGAAGCAGCTACTGGGAGGGGCTCCGATTTTTGCGCTGTCTGTCGAGAACAAGCCAGGTTATCAGACATGTGCAGTTTATTTTCTCCGAATATGCCAAACCTCCCATCTGCTCCAGCGAGTCACATGTGCATGCCCTCAGCGCATACACACATGAAAACAATGCCGGCGAGAATTCGCGAGGCGCCTTGTCTGTTGGCCATGGTCATAATGCTGTATGTCGCCGCGGCACTGGGTCGCGTGCCCATCTGCATTATGTCACCTCCTGCCATTCGCTGTTGTTCCTGTTTCAGACGCCGAGGGTAATATGCGAACAAGGCGAGGGTTAGGGATGTGGGCTGTCTGTGCGAGTTCCCCAAAATCTCTTGGCAGATTCCACTCCCGGCATGCATGGCATTGCACACCCAGGATGCAGAGAAGCAATACGCAAAAGGTGGGAGAGGGGTGGCCAAGGTCATGCATGCGCAAGACGACACCCCCAAAGTCAAAATTACTAGGGAGCGTGTAGTCAGCAGTGTGGGCAATGCCAGGCTCTGGCCAACCGCATCCCCGCACTGCATATCCAGCAGTGGAATGAGATAAGCAAAGGGGGGAGAGAAAAACCACTGGGGCAGACGCGCTGAGCTGCACAGAATGCATGTCACAATTTCCCCCTTTGGTAATCGGGGGAGGAGGAGCTGGTAAGCTGCAAAGGACCAGCTCATGTGTCCACTCGCTCCAGAGCGGTGGATTGTATCGGCATGTACGGGTGCAGCACGGCCAGGTATGGTCAGAGGTATGTAGATTGTTTTGTTGCCAATCTCAATACACCCTCGCCACTTTCCCGCTGCCACTTTTCAGATATTTTTCGCCAACAGGAAACGTTTTTCGTTTTGGAGAACCGGGTGTATCCATTGCATATCCGCTGAGATCCACTGAGAGTACTTCCGGGCCAGATGCCTTTGCCCTAGTATTTTGGCGCTATGTCTGGAAAGAGACATCCACACAGAAAATCTGGTTCCATAAATATCAGGCATCCGATCACTGCTCCTTTGGCTGAGAAATGTACACGGGCGCACACGATTTTTGGGGAATGGACAATAAGCACGGATCCTATCATTCCTTCTACACCCGCTTTCTCATACACTCACACACCCTTCGCATCATACATAGCCAATACACAGCCAGCACGGGGCAGCAATAGCTTGTATGAACCAGAGCAAGCGCAAATACGACGACAGCAGAGCCAGCGACAGCGAAATGGATGATGCAAAATACATACGGATTGACGGCGCTGGGGATGCACAGGCGCAGCGAGTCAAGGCGCTGAGCAATGCCGAGCAAGTGGCGGCGCATTACAATTCGCGGCGCGAGCTTGGTGTCCAAGGTCGACTGCATACGGCAATTACTGGACTTCGTATATTCAACAACTGGGTCAAGTCCATCATTATCCGCCAAAACACGTTCCGCGGGTGCAAGGTGCTTGACCTCGGGTGTGGAAAGGGTGGCGACCTTCGCAAGTGGAGCTTCAGCAACATTGGCGAGTACGTGGGCATGGGTAAGGATCGCTGCTTTGTCAAAGGTGGCCGAGCTGTGGGAAGGCTGAACTGTTTGCAGCCTCGCCAGCCGTTTATTCTCAAGTTTGTTGTTGCACATTATGTCTCACACATGCAGATATTTTTGCTTCCTTGTGTAGATATTGCTGGCGTATCTGTCAACCAGGCGCACAAGCGCTATCTGGAAATGAAGAAGCCGATATTCCCTGCGCGCTTCTATGTGCAGGACTGCTACGGGGTACGTATCGAGGTTGGTTGAGACAAGCCTCGCTTATCAGGGGTATATATGTTGGGCTGCTTTTGTCGCCTCAAGCGCACACCGGTCTTTTGTATTTGCGCCGATTGTTTTGCCAGCTCACTATTGGAGTAGGCGAAATATTTTAAAATTAGGCTTGTTGTTCCTTTATTAGGGACATTTCGCACATGGCCCTTGTTTTGCAGGCTTGCTTTCCTATTTCTTTGACAGCAGCAGCCTGCTTGTCTGCAGTGTTTGTGCCAGATAACATATGCATATGCTGATCCCAGTCCCTTCTCAGCGCTGGACGCTTGAGTACATGGCATTGTCACGCACTGGACTACAAATATCTGCAGCAGATTGTGACATTTGCATACGCTTCTGCGCCTCCCTCCCTCTCCTCCGTTGTACAAGGTGTATCTGGCTTTATGGCTAGGGGCAGCGAGATGAGCCAGCACACTCAACGTATTTTTTTGCCTTTTCCCTTTTAGGAGCCGCTTGAAAAGACGCTCCAGCCGCCCGACTACCAGGCTGACGTTATCAGCGCCCAGTTCTGCCTGCACTATGCATTCGAGTCCGAAAAGAAGGCGCGGCAGATGATGCACAATGTGTCCTCACATCTGGCGTCGGGTGGCAGGTTCATCTTCACCATTCCGAACGCCAACTGGCTCATCAAAAAGCTGCGCAGCAGCAGCGACAACACATTCGGCAACTCAGTTTACCGTGTTGAGTTCCAGCGGCGCGAGCCGATCACCCGGTTCGGCTTCCCGTACTCGTTCACTCTGGACGAGGCGGTTGAGGACTGCACAGAGTACATTGTGCACTTCCCCTCGCTGGTCAAGCTTGCCGAGGAGCACGGGATGCGGCTGGTGTCCAGAGTGCCGTTCCACGAGTTCTATGCCAGCATGGTCAATGACCCGAATAACGTCCGGCTGCTTGAGCGCATGGGGGTGGTCACCAGCGACCGGCCGGCACTGACTGACGATGAATGGGAGGCAGTCGGCATTTACATGGCTGTCACTCTGGAGAAAGCTTGAGTAGCGTGACTCTAGCGACGTTTATTCGGTTAATACAGTAATGTATGAGAGAAAAAAGTTGGCGGTACGGCTGTGAGCAGCATTTTGCTCGGAGCTCCCCCTTTTCTCTCCAGTGAGGAGGGGGCGAAGGAAGATAAAGGTTGGCTTGGGCGCAGAGCAATGGGTGGGCAGCGCTACGCTATGTACACAGATAAGGGAGCGCAGCCAAAACAAGTGGCCGGCTGGAGGGCGGCGCTGTTACTCACGAACAGGCCAGAAGCCGTTGTGGACGTCGATTGTATGGTCGCCGCACTCCTTGTACGTGTCAAAGACCTGATCGCAGTATGTGCAGATAAAGCCGACCTTCGCGGCCATGTTGACCAGACGAGCTAGGGCGTTGTTTCTCCGGTTTGCGTTGCACATTGCGAATGGCTGATGGTGAATTGGAGGGGTTTAGAAACTAATGAGCTAGTAAAAAGAGTAGGAGGGAAAGAAAGCGACACCTGCAATTAATTTAAACTGACTCTAGCCCACGCTCCGGTAAAAGTACCCAAGATGGGGCAGCCTGTGCACCCATTGGCTGCGGGGAACCAGCGCGGGGATGCAATCTGGAAGGCACGGGTAGCGTGACCCTCTGAGAAGTGCCAATGCAGCAGGGTCAGACGCGATCATGGACCATGCTCCTTGCAGCTCGGAGAAGAGCCCGAGCACCACCGACCCTAGTCAGCAGCTTCATGGACCCGGGTCAGTTGAGTGCCGCGGTTGGCAGCACTGTTTTCTATGACTGGACTAGAGATGCAGACCAAAGATCGCCGAGCACAGGATACTCAAAGGGCCCTCAGCCAAGACTGCCAATGGAATACTGCGCTCTGCCTACGCAGAAATTAACGGCACTTTTGAGCTGGAGGGGTGGCATTCAGACATTATGAAAAGAAAAGCATTATATTCAGAAAAAAAATCAAACCTTACATGCCAGGGAGTCTGCCAAGGCCGGCAAGTCCACCAGGGAAGCCGCCACCGGGAGCCTGACCCGGGGCCCCAGCGGGACGAGGAGCCTGGCCCGGAGCACCACCAGGACGGGGAGCCTGGCCTGGAGCACCGCCAGGACGAGGAGCCTGGCCTGGAACGCCACCAGGACGAGGAGCCTGTCCGGGAGCACCACCAGGACGAGGAGCCTGTCCGGGAGCACCAGCAGGGCGGGGAGCAGGACCAGCAGGACCAGCAGGGCGCTGAGGGCTAGCAGGCTTCTTTTGAGGTGCCGGCTGCTGCTGCTGCTGGGGCTTGGGCGGGGGGCTAGCACCAAGCAGCTCAGGCAGACCGCCAACGAATGGAATGGGCTTAAGCAGGCGCGTCAGATAGCTGCCTACGCTCTCACCGGCACCTGGAAGCGGAATTCCATACTCGGGAACCGGGGTCGACATCGCAACAGCGAAAAGGGCCACAAAAATGGCGAGGAAGGTAAAGACTGAACGGGCCTGCATTTTACTGGTTGGAAATGAGAGACGTGAATAGGTAGGTGATGCGGATGCCAATTAAACAACGTGTGGGTGAAGGACCAGATATAGGGTATTGTGGAGGGTGATGATATATGGATGGTGTAGGCGGGAAAGGGGACAAGGTCTGCGGAAAAGGCGGGTGTTGAGAGCAAGCGATGGGGGAAGGAGGAGAGGGAGGAGAGCAGGCGAATATAAGGTGGTCTAAGCGTAGCCTGGACTGAGGGGGACTGCGTACGTGTAGGTGGAGAGGAAACGGAAAAGGATTGAATACACGAGTCTAGAAAACTTTCGATGAATGGGTGGGCGATAGGTGGTTCCCGCTATTCTTTTAAGCCCAAAACACGACTATTGGCAGACACAAAGGGAATATCTTTGCTCTCACAAACAACATATACCGCATAATGCATATGACGAAAACGCCATCAATTGTTCGATCTCTATATGGCTGGCGCCACAAACAACTTTGTATGTGCTAGAGCGCCTGGCACTGTGAGCGGACCAGGGACCATGTTGGCCACTAATATCAGCGGCCCGGCCTGTTATAGTGCATCCTGTCTCTACTGCGACTGGGTTTATGGTCGCTACTTGCACCTTATGGCCATGCCTGGTCTAGCGCCACAATGGTCCAGTTCCCTTCGTTCTTTTCCTGGACCATTTCCACAGAATGGCCATCTATCAGGTATAGTAAACGACCACTTTCGATGTTGACAAAGCGGACCACTGTGGCTGGTCTTGTTTGCGATACGATATAATAGCTCACATGCCATTGTTCCAAACGCTCCTTCATAATATGAAGCAGTGTTGCCAAGGTTTTCCGCTCTCCATCAACAAGGCAAGCACAAAGCCATGGGAACAAGCCCAGCATGCTACTAGCTCTATCGTGCAGCAAGAGGCCGCTGTTTTAAAGAATACAAAAGCATACGCAATGGAGAGAATCCCTAAATTCGTCCCTCCCCATGTCTAGGCTGCGCGTGCATCGCTATGGGGAGCAGACCAGCACGCGATCGTGTTGTTCATGCGTACCAATAGCGAGATGTAGTCAGACCGATATTATGCGACAGCAGTCCACAAGGACTTTGCAGTACTGCGCATTTTTGCATGACAAACAGCAGTGCAGGAGCTGTCTGCCAGATATCGATTATACAAGTGGTTCGAAATGACATTATGCAGGTCCTGTAGATTTAATGAATTTGCTTAACCAGAAGTCAACCCAAAAATTAAACATCGCTCAATACACTACTTGCCACCGACGCCAAGCATGGTGGGCAGGCCGCCTACGAATGGCACGTTAGAGACCAAGCGCTGGAAATAGCCGAATAGTGTCTCTCCTGGGCCGGGCAGAGGCACAACTGGGCCATCGTCGGGTGAAGCAACCGGTGCGGCAGCCGCCAAGGCGATCAGAACGAGCAGAACAGAGGAACATGCTAAGGATCTTCATGGCTGAGGCGGATGTTATCAAGGACAGGGCGGAGTCGTTAATGAGGGGATGTGGAAAAGTTAGAGTCAGAGATTACGGTGGGCTGGCTATGAGGTTGGGTAAAGGGTGAGAGACAGCGGCGAGGAGGAGGGAGGGTTGCGGTTTAAGGTTGGCTTAAATGGAGGGCAGCTGAGGAAACAGAAAGAGGGGTGGTGTGCGAATGCTCGAGCTCTCGACCTCCGTCTTGCTACTCTTTTGAGGGAGTGTTTGTATCTCGCTGAATGCGCTGCTTTAACAATGCAGACGTGGCTGAAATGACACCAAAGCAGCAGTGCGGTTCGGGTTAGCAGGGGGTGGTGCGAGTCATATTGAGCCGAGCCGTATGTAGCCATCATGCCGTGATTTGCGAGTTGCATGTCGTGTCAGGTTGGACTGAACGGGCTTTGGTTTAGCGGCATGACTGCGCGTTAGGGAACTGCATCGGCGCTCTTTTGGAGAAAAGGAAAGCTTTTGCCATGAACTGGCACGATATGCGTCTGGCATCAAGGCCTTGGCATCTAAAAGCCATGTATCCTGGCCATCATAATTAGTAATCTGTAGGTGCGAGGTGCGGAGCAGGCGCCGATCAATGTGTGGGCTGCGCTACACAACAAATGGTGGTCGCATATGCACTATTCATTCACACGGATTTTCCACACATTTTTTTCCTGGCAAAGCTGTTTTTTTTTTTGCCAAGACGATGATTGAGCTGGGGAGCTTTTATTTTTGTTCCTTGCCTTCTCCTTGTTCCGCTCTCCCAGCCTTCTATTTTCGCACTTGTATTTTTTTACTTTTATTCCGAAGCCACTCGCAAATGCAGGTCCACGCAGCCGACATTCGGAAGGGCATAAAGGAGGAGGAGTTTCCTGTGCTCAACGAGGCAGCAGCCCTCGCAGGCACATCCTCGCAGGCGGCCGCTCCGCCGCCTTACTCACCGTTCGACCCAACCGATATTTCATTCCCAGACACCCAGCCCTCGGCCCCGCCTGTCCCACCGCAGCAACAGGCAGCAGCAGCAATCTCAACTGTCTCAGCTGTCTGGGCATCAGCAACAGCAGCCAGCAGAATCAGAATACCAGTCCCTCAGCTCCAACGAGTACTACCACCCAGCCAGCTTCCCAGGGCTACCAGGTGGTCCGCATTGCTAATGGGGAAGGGGAGAGCCTTCTTCCCCGCGTGCGCTCGGCACAAGATGCATCTGGCGATCTGCGTCCGCTGGCCACTGACGTCCACTTCCACCATCAGGGGCAGCGCAGGCACTCGCTCCAGCGCCGTCGCGTCCTCCACAGGGGGCGCGGGTGCCTGTCGCGCTGCTGCTGCCAGATATTCTCATGCTGCTGCTTCCTGGTGGGTCTGGCCTTCATCATTGTTCTCTTCTCAATCGCGGTGATGATTGCACGCCAAGTGTTCCCGCCAGGCGGGGACTGGAATTGCTCGAATCTGATGATCCAGAAGAACGAGACCTTTGCTTTTGGGCTCAGCCGGTCGCTATACATTGAGAGTGTCGAGGGCATGTCGATCTCAACCGTGAATTTGCTAAAGAGCAGCAAGCTCCGATACCATTGATCGTCAATGTGGTCGCTGAGGCTGGCAAGAGCAACACCAGGAACAAGATCGCCTTTGTCGTTGGATGATACTAGCGAGAACCAGGAGACTCATGGTTCGCGTCAACCGTCCCTCTTGGGAGTGGCCGCGCGACTGTGTGCGCATTACTCTAAACATTGCTGTGCCGCCGCACATTGGTCCTGCTGCCATGCCGCTGCTACACGTGGTGACATCGACAGGGTCAGCTCAGGCGCTGGATTTGGCGGCAATTCCAGTAAAGGATCTTGACATTCAGATCCATAACGGCCCAATCCAGCTGCGGTCGCTGTCTGTTCTAAGAGACATCCATGTCGTGTCATCCAACGGACGCATCAGCATCAATGATGTGCGGGCTCCAGGTACCAGCACAGTGGAGTCCTCAAACGGGGCACTGGTTGTTGACAGGACTCACGTCAGAGTACATCCATGCCAAGACCTCCAACGCTGTGGTGCGTGCCTCACACATCAGCGGCAGCAAGGAGCTGACTATCCGTACAGCGAACGGCAATATTGCTCTCGAGTCAATCGATGTTGATAGCTTCTCCGCAGCTGACGACCAACGCTGGGGTGCGGGGCCACGCCCGTATCAGGCAGTGGACGCCACGGTGCACACATCCAACGGTAACATCGAGGATATACCTTCCAAGGCGCCTGGCCCTGCTCCTAAGACTATTGAGGCATCCTCTTCAAACTCGCGTGTGGAGCTGACGCTGAGCCAGATCCGCGGCACCTTCGATGTCAAGACCTCCAATGCACGCGCTCAGGTCGAGGGCTCTGATGACGTGCTGAAGTTTGAGCGGAACTCGAGCTCGCGCAAGATGGGCGTGTATGGCAGGGCTAAGGGCGGGAACGTTACCGTAACTTCAAGCAACGGCCAGGCATCCTTGATTTTTGACGATACTCTGTGGGATCATTAAGTTTCAGCGTGCTTTTTATGTTTCAAATCACAAAGTTGGTATTCTACGAGTAACTGCGGTTATTGATACAATGGCAAGCGCTTTATTCACGGTATGGCTTCCAAAGTATTGCAGACTCAGGCTCTGCTACTGCCCCTGGTACGATATTGCATGTCTGTCCGATGAATGTGTGAAACATTTGGCGTGGAGAAGCAGGATCTAAACAGTTCCCAGGAACACAGGGGCTGGCTGTATCCCAAGGCGTGTGTGAATTAATCATGCATTGTCTATAATATTATCCACCCCACTGCCCCCACATAGTTTTGGATTCTTTCTCTCGCATGATTAGGGATACACAGACGAGGCGCTACTTGGTTATATACATATGGGGTGCTGCTCGACAGGACCATCTTTTGCAATTCATAATCTGGTTAGGTCTTATTGAATCTCGCATCTCTCGTAGCCGTATTCTTTTTCTCGTTTTTGCTCTGTCATTTTTAATATTTCTAATTCCTTCTATTTTGCGCTCGTATCTTTTTAACCCTGTTAAGCCATTTAGGATACCAAAGAAAAGAAGCCACTCTGTTTGATACTAAGTAATAAGCAGCCACATTAACCTGACAACCATGGCAAACGGTCTCCCTAAAAGAGACAAGCGTGCCCAGCTCCTGACCCCGCTGTTCATTGCGATTCTCTCCTTGACATTCAGCGCCAATGCCGATGTCTATGACTTTGATTCCAACGCAGCGCCAGGTTTCCAAAGCCAGAACGACCTGAATTGGATCCAGAACGTGAATGCGTCCGCTGGCTACGGCCCCCAGATGACCCCAGCCTCGCCGCAATCCCAGCCCACAGCAGCACCGCAAGCTCCTACGCCCACACCACAAGCCTCTACGCCCACACCACAGGCCTCTACGCCCGCATCGCCTCAGAAGAACAGCGGGCTCCGCCGCAATAATGCCTACGGCAATTTTGGCTTAGGATGATGATGACTATGATGGATCTCCGCCCCCAGTTGTCAACATCATTGGCATTCCTTCAGCCACCACAGCCACACCCTCTTTGACCACCCGTAGTTCCAATGCCAACTCAGCACCTTCATCAAGGGCCTTCAACGAGGACACAGAGGAAGAAGAGGACCTGCTTCCTGCCCGCTCACGCAAGCGCCGCAGACCCCGTGATACTCGTGCCAGACGCGGAAACCGCGATCGCCGCAGATCCCTTCCGCGCAATGGCATTCGTGATGACATGGAGGACCCGCTCGACGATGATCTTGGCCCCACCCAGGAGCCTGGATGGGATGATGGTGATGATTCATGGGATCATGGCGATGGTGGTGAGCGCGGCCACAAGTTCCAGCAGCCACAGTAGAGGCAACTGGTGGCTATAACGGTGGGCGGTGGCTATAACGGTGGAGGCGGTGGCTATAATGGTGGAGGCGGTGGACATAACGGCGGCGGTGGGTACTCAGGTAACCCTTCTCCACCTAATGAATACTACGGTGGACCTCCTCCTAGGCCTATCGGATACTGTGCTGGCCCTCCTCTCCCACCGCCTAGTTATTCTGCAGGCCCTGTGCCCTATGGTGGAGGTGGAGGGGTGGAGGCGGGCGGTGGTTATAACGGGTGGAGGGCGGTGGTGCCTATTCCAGTGGTGGAGGCGATTACGGCGGCGGAGGAGGATACCAAGCGACAGTTCCTCCTACTCCAAGCTATTCGAGCGGTGGAGGGTACAATGACGGAGGAGGTGCTGGTTATAATGGCGGTGGCGGTGGCGGCGGCGGTGGGTTACCAAGGGACTACTCCACCTGCTCCTATCTATTCGAGCAGTGGTGGAGGATGTGGGAGCAGCGGAGGTGGTGGCCATGGTGGTGGCGGAGGGTGCGGCGGCGGCGGCGGCGGCGGCGGCGGAGGAGGAGGAGGGTACGGTGGTGGTGGTGGTGGTGGTGGCGGTGGATACCAAGCAACTATTCCACCTACCCAAGGCTACTCAAGCGGTGGAGGGTATGGTGATGGTGGTGGCGGTGGTGGGTACCAAGGGGCTCCTCCTCCTGTTCCTAACTATTCAAGCAGCAGTGGTGGTTACAATGGAGGTGGAGGTGGAGGTGGAGGTGATGGTTACCAAGGGACCGCTCCTCCTGTTCCTAATTACTCAAGCAGCGGTGGTAGCTACAATGGAGGTGGAGGTGGGGCGGTGGTGGTTACAGTAGCGGTGGAGGTGGGGGCGGTGGTGGTGGTGGTGGCGGTTATAACGGCAGCGGCGGCGGCGGCGGTGGTGGCTATCAGAGTGGTCCTGCTCCTAACTACTCTAGTGGAGGCGGCGGTAGTTATCAGGGGACCGGACCGCCACCTGGTGGTTGGCAGGCATCTTCTACAGCTGGCTATGGTTCCACAACACAGGTTGTCGCAACAGTTGTGTACTCAGCTGTCAGCATCGTTGGACCGAATGGGTCTACATACGGCGGTGCGACCACGTCAAAGCCTACCAGCAGTGGAACCAGTAACTACAGGCGCGGACAGATTGTGTTCCCCGACAACGGCACAGGCAACATCATCCTTGCGACCCCCACGCAGGACGCCGCAGCAGCGCTTGATGCTCTTACCGCTCCGCTCGCTGGCACGCAGATACCCCAGACATCTCTTATGGAGATTGTAGTGCCGACCGTCGTGCAGACGCTGCCGCAAACTGGCACGCAAACGTTTGTGTCTCCTGCTATGCAGACCATGTTTGCTCCTGGAGCACAGCAGCTTCTTAGTAAAAGCGGTTCACTTTTTGCTGCTCAGATGGGTCATACCTCCACTGGGGGGCTAGGTCGGATCGGAGGTACGTTTCGACCCGGGGCTACAGCTCCCAACTTGGTTGTTGGAGCAGGAGCCAAATATCCTCCGCTAGAAACCTCGCTGATTAAAGGACCCAATGGCCAGGTCATCGCTGGCCGTACACAGCCGCTAACGACTCTACTAGTGACTCCACTAACGACTCCACTGACAAACCCGCTGACAACTCCGCTGACGAACCCGCTGACGAACCCACGTTTGCCGTTGGCTGGCGCTAGTAGTTTAGCTGGGATCAGCCCGCTTGTTTCTGGTGGTCCGCTGGCGGTTTCAGTTACTGGCAATCCATTGGCAGTTCCAGTTGCCGGCAATCCGCTGGTTCCAGCTACGGTACCAGAACCTGCAGCACCAGAACCTGCAGTACCAGAGCTTGCAGCACCAGCACTTGCAGCACCAGCACCAGCATTTGCAGCACAAACACTTGCAGCACAAGCACATGCAGCACAAACGCTTGTAGCACAAGCACTTTCAGCACAAGCACATGCAGTACCAACCCCTGCAGCACCAATCCTTGCAATGGACGCAGCGGCAGCAGGTTCGATTGACTCTCAAGACAATCTTGTGCCTCGCGTTGCACGTCCCCCACGTGTTGGTGCCACTGATCTAAACATCAACGGGCCAGTCGCCGGAGCCACTAGGCATCCTCGCGGCGCCGTTGAACCGCGCACACAAGGGGCTGCACCGCGCCGGCCTGAGGTTGGCATGACCACCAGCTCTGCCGAGCCGCAGGAGACCACAGTCGCTACTCAGTCGACCTCGTTTGGCCGAGGCTTTGGCGGTCGCGTCAGGGGTGGAGGCAGCCGTGCTCCCCGTTTCAGCAACGACATTGACGACTGGGCCGTTATGCTGCGGCCGACCAAGACAGCGCATCTGCCCGAGCTGCTGACCAAGCCGATCATCACGCCCCCAGGCCTGCTGATGCCTGAGGACAGCGATGAGGGTATGTCGCCGAATGTTGTTCGCGTTGATCCACTGGCACCTGGTGGTATCGATTTTTATCCAGTTCCCCTGGCCAATATGGAGTCAGCGCCCGAGAAGCCAGACCGCATTGCTGAGGATGTGTGGAAGTTGGTGGAGAGCCTGACCCTTGAGGAAAAGGTCGGGCAGATGACGCAGGTCCATATCGGCATGCTCATAGGCAGTGACGGCACGCTGAACCGTACTGCCGCGGAGTATTGGATCAACAAGGTCAAGGTTGGCTCTATTTACGACACACCGGGCAACCGTGGTGGCAAATATGCGTGGTATGCCCCCCAGACACTGGCAAATATAACCAACACTATCCAGGAGCTGGCGCTGGCCAAGGGGTCTCGTGTTCCGGTCCTTTTCGGAATGGACTCGGTTCGCGGCGCCAACTATGTCAAGGGTGCGGCCATGTTCCCGGCGGGTATTGGACTGGCTGCCACATTCCAGCCCATGTACGCCTACGAGGCCGGCCGTGTCGCTGCCAAGGACACCCGTGCCTCTGGGTACCAGTGGGCATTCGCGCCGAGTGCCGATCTCAACGTCGAAAAGCGCTGGTCCCAGAACTACCGCAGCTTTGGCGAGGATCCGGCACTTCTGTCCGAGATGGTCCGGTACTCGGTTCGCGGCTACCAGGGTGATTACAAGTCTGACCGTACACGAGTTGCCACATGTGTCAAGCATTTCATCGGTGCCTCGTATCCCTTCAACGGCAAAGAACGTAGTACGCAGTTTATCCCAGACAACATCCTGTTTGAGTATTATCTGCCAGGATTCGAGGCTGCTCTGAACTCAGGCGCAACAACGTTGATGGAGAGCCTGAGCAATCTCAACGGCGAGGCCTTGGTCGAGTCATCCTTCTACCTGAAAAAGCTTCTTCGCGACAAACTCCAGTTCCGTGGTGTTATGCTCACCGACTACGAGGAGGTCAGGTCGCAAGCCCTGGACTTCCACACTGCAGCCAACTTCACCGATGCTGTGTATCTGACCCTGAACAACACCTCGGTTGATATGAGCGCGGCGACTAGCGATGCGGAGTTTACCCTTGATACCTTGGATCTGGTGCGCGGCGGCGGTATCCACGAAGACCGCATCACCGAGTCTGTTGCACGTATCCTGCAGCTCAAGAAGGACCTGGGGATGTTTGAGACGCCGTTCGCGGATCCAAACCTATTCACGGCGGTCGGTGCCAAACAGGACATCGAGCTGGCGCGCAATGCTGTGCGTGAGTCGATCACTCTACTGAAGAATGCAAACAACGTGCTGCCACTCAAGGACGATGACCGTGTGCTGTTTATTGGCCCGCATCTGAACTCAACCCATCTGCTGGGCGGGGGCTGGAACATCCACCGTCAGGGTCCGACGGAGATCGAGGGTGATGCCATCTACCAGGGCTTGGGTGACACGATCATGTCTGGTATCGAGTCAATCACCAAGCACCGCCCTGTGTTCATGGAGGGTTTCAGCGCCACAGGCTCCGAGCTCCAGGAGGACATACTGCAGAGCATCATAGATATCGCCAAGCAGGCCGAGAAGGTTGTTATTGGTCTCGGCGAGTCCAACTACGCCGATGACCAGGGTGACGTCGACGACATGTCGCTACCTGAGCCCCAGATCGAGCTGGTACGCAGGATCTCGCAGGCTGTCGACAGGCCCATCGTCGCTATCCTCGTCGAGGGCCGCCCACGTTTGCTCAAGGATGTTGCTGAGCTCGCCGACGGTATCGTCAATGCCTACCTGCCTGGTATGTATGGTGGTGTTCCTATTGCCGAGGTCCTCTACGGCAAGATCAGCCCCTCAGGACGTCAGCCGTTCTCGTATCCAAAACACGAATACCAGGCACGCGACACCATCTGGCAGGGCATGTGGAACGAGTATGCCCCGCAGTATCCTTTCGGCTTCGGACTGGGCTACTCCACCATGGTGTACTCGAATATTTCAGTTGACTCGACCGATCTGCGGCCTGGCAAGCCCATTACTGTTCGCCTCTCGATCCAGAACACTGGCCCGTTCGACCAGCGTGAGGCGGTCTTGCTGTACACAACACAGAGCTTCCGTACTGGTTACCAGCCCGAGCTGTTCCGTCTGCGTCGCTTCAACAAGGTCGAGATCAGGTCGGGAACTCTAACCGAGGTTTCATTCACGCTCACTGCCGAGGAGCTCGCCTACTACAACCGCGATCTGGTCAAGGTCATTGATCCCTCACCAGTTAATATCACCATTAACGCCCTGACCCCTCAGGAGAGAACCATTTCCATCAGACTGTCGGTCTAATACCTCTCATTTGTTGCTAAGCAAGCCTAGATAGCTTGTTTGTGCTCCATTTTCATTCATTTTCTTTTGCTCATCTCATTTCATCTAGCTTTCTTCACTTGTTCTTTTTGCGAGACTCATTGACCTACCAACCAACCAACCAACCAGCCTATCGTTCTATTTCTATCCTTGAATATATATCCTATTATTTTAATTAAACAGTGACATTCCAGGGGCTGACAGTGATGCACATCATTCTGTACAGCTGGCAGCGTCAACTGCCACCATTCCACAAAAGCACATACTTTGAGCTGCTGTCCAGATAGCTACACTATTACATGCTGAAACTCCAGCCACGAAGATGCTGCAGCTATATGTATACATTGCTGCGTTAAGAGTGCGGCCGGACTTTGCATTACAAACTTGTTTTGTGAGAGTGGCAGGACCCAGTATCCTCATGTATGCTACTGCTCTATATTGCCACACTGCACGCTATCCAATGAACTGTTTGGCATGTGGTCCTTTTCCAGACAAAAGCAGGATATATTTGGAAATCAATTAATTCAGGGGTGAGGCATGCAGCTGGCACGGGTATGTCTCCAAGACCACACGCCAGTGACGTAGGCTCGTCTTTACTCCTTCAACGTGCAAGACAGGATAAACGGATGTGCATGGTGCTACTTTTTACAGATGCAGCTGTAGATGCCGTGCTGCCGCTGGGTACAAGCGGAGCAGCGACTCGAGGTCGGCTCTGGGCATTGGGAGTATATCGTTCGACGCCACAGCTCTACTTGGGCTCACGTCATCGGAAACAATGATGCATTGGCTCCGCTGGTTCAGCACGTCTCGCATGCGCTGCGGGTACAGGTCGCAGTTCTCGGTGAACACTGGCGAATGGCGCAAAAGATCTTGAAGGCGGGTCCGCAGAGGAGCAGAGTTGTTGGTGGCGAGGCTCTGGCGAATCCAGTCTCTATGGGTGTCGACCACACTGAAGGAGGAACGGTCAGAGTCCGAGTCTACTGGGACTGGCGACATATAGTGTAGAATGAAGAAAGTAGTAAAATAAACAAAAGAAAAGGGCTAGAGCAGAAGAAAAAGGCGAAAAAGGGGACGGGCGCCTTGGAAATGTGCTGGCTGTAAAAAGGGGGTCATAATTCCATGCTCAGCAGTGTAATGCCGCGAGCTGCCAGCTGAAGCTATGAAAGGGGAAGAGGAGAATGCTGCCGCATAAATTGCCACCCTGGTCTGTTCGGCAAACGTCACTCTCCGTGAAGCTGATGCCGAACGCACTGCCTCTAAATATTTGTCCAATTCCCCATTCGTCAGTCTTCGACGAGGGTTGGCTCGTCGAGCCTGTCCGGATGACCCAATTCTTTCCCGTACGTTCCTTATTTGCAAGTCTGGTCTCATGACTACACAGGAACAGGGCGATTAGGCCAGTGGCAACTGAGCTCAGTGCACTGCGGACATCCAATTCGACCATGCAGATCCAGAGGCACGTGGTGAGATTGATAGCGGTGACCGATGATTGCGCAGACTAGAACTAAGGTTCCGGTCGAGTGGATCACGCACCAAGCCCTGGTACATTCTTTCGGGCCTCTCTTTCCATCCTGCCTGGCTCCAATGCACAGAGTTTTGTAAAGAAAAAGCTGGCTACTTCCACCTGTGCTAGTCTAGAATAGTTACGCAAATACCACAGCATATTATGTGCTAGTAGTGCCACTGCCGTATGGTGCAGTAGAACATGCGTCTCTTGCACCATCGCTGATGATAGGTATTGGATGTCTGGATCTCATGGCGTACACACTGAAGCAGGGGGCGGAGAGAGTATAGCAAGGGGGGCTTTATTGATTCGGCATAGCAGGGCGGAATTAAAGTGCTACAAGCAGTGTTGAAACGAGATTCCGAGCAGTCAGTGCTCAGGTCGGCTGGCCATGTTTCCGTAGCACCCCCGGCTCTCTCAGACGCAGCTCGAGTTGTGTGATTGTAGCTGCAGCGGGTCCCGTATCTATTTGTTTCCTGCTAGCTGTGTGGCGGTGGCAAACTGGTTAGTAAACCAGATCTTCACCTAGTAGCTGCTGATAAGGGTGGATCCACACCAGCGGCCACTGCCTGGAGAGAATTCTTAGATATATTTTTGTTGGCTGTCAAGTGTGCCAACCATTGATGCAGCAGTCAATATACACCAGGTACTAGAATTGCTCTGCTCGCGATGCGAGCTCGGCTGCTAGTCAGCATGGGTTGACATGTCGATAAGAGCATCACGGCGAACTGGTCATTTGAACGTGTCGGATGGTTGTTGGTGCAATGTTGATCATGGACATCTCCCACCTTGGTGGCCTGCTCAGCGTAGGCGCTTCAGCGCTGGCTCGCTGCTGCTGGCAACAGAATCGACTGCTGCTGCACGCCTCTTGCGCGACCTCTTTGTTGCAGGGGTGGTGCCAGAAGCATCGGCAACAATGGCCGTAAAGCGATGGAACCGTTCAGGAATACTGCCTGAATCACAGAGTGACTGGAAAATGAGTCTGAAGTTTAGAACTGCTGCGAGATCGCGGTTCAAGAGCCGAGACGAATAGGCTCGCCTGTATTGTGCCATGGCCTGCTTACATGATTCACTTGTACAGCGGAGAAGGCCATGGCACTTCACAGTTGGGTTCTTCGATCTCTGGTAGGGCCGCGGATTGGGAACATGCCGGAATGTCTGCAGGAACTTTTCGCAGCAGAACGGGCACATCGACGATGTCCGGAATTCGTCGATCAGATAGACTTCAAAGCCATGGTGCTTGAACTTGTCGCGCCATTCCTTGCCACGAATCGGCGCATGGTGTCGGGCCATCGGCGCACTCCAATTGCCCATGACCAGCACTGGATCTGGACCGAACTTGCTCCGGAGTTTCGCGGCAAGCCTGTGGTCTGCACGGGCCTGGTTCATGAATGAATCAAGGCGCAGCTTGCGGTGAAGCGGGTACACCTTGGGACTGGTACTGACACCTGGATGGGCCTTCCAGCGCCTTTGGTGCTGCTTGTTTGACTTAGTGGGCTGCTGCTCTGGTAACCTTCGCGCTGTCATCGTGCTGGCATAAAATGGTGCTAGGATACACCGCACAGATGCACGGGCAGCAACGTAGGCACGGAATTTTGCTGGGCTAAGGGTCCGGCAGCAGTGCTTGGAAAGCTCTGCCTCTGCTCTGCGGACAGCATCTTCTGGGACTTGATCCTTTGTAGCCCGACGAATCCTGTCATAGTGGCGCAGCTTGAGCTCCTTATTGCGCTGCTGCCGTGTGTAGCGGTAGAGCATCTTTTCACCCTCTTTCCCATTGCTGCTATTTTCGTGCATCATATACAGTAAATCGCCCCGACCTGGATCGATGAATACACAGCGGCCTTTCAGATTCTGCAGCTCTGGCTGTGGGATCTGGTGGATATAGCGACAGTCAGCTGTAGCATCGCCTCCTGCAGCATCGCCTCCCGCAGCATCAGCATCTACTGCACCATCAGCCTTGGGTACCTTGTCTTGCAACAAAATGCATATCGTTACACCATCTGTTGTCGCCATTCCGTGGAATTTTCTATCATCATGCGCCTTAAATGGCTTTGATGTTAGATCTGCGACCCGGCCCCACACATCCCACACAGATTGTGTGATCCCTTGGACCGGGTCGTGTGCACAGACTGGGGGTGCTGGTGCATATGCATTATTAAGTGCTGCAACAGTGTCTACTGCTGCCGCCGATGCAGCAGCAAGTGAATCAACCGCTACTGCTGCAGTTGTGTTGGACACTAGTCGATTGACTACATGGTTAGTCCTAAATCGGCAAGTCACTGTGAGAAAAATCCTAACTCGCCAACTCACCAACTATATGACTCTGAACTTCTCGCTAGAAGTACTTTTCTTTTTCTTTTTTTTTTATCGGTGTAGCCGCTTAGTATTTTCTCATTTCTTGTTTATAAAGCTTCGCGTATAGCGCCTCAGTTTACTTCAAGTTGCTGCAGTTGCTGCAGCGGCCTCTGTTTCATCTGATGGCATCTTCGCTGCTTCGCATGCAGCCTTCTTGACCAGTTTTTCGCCCTTTTCTGCTGCTTTCCTTGTCTCTGCCGTTGCCCTCTTTGCTGCGTTGATCTCTGTAACCTGCTCGCATGTTTTCGAAATAAACACCTGCTTGATTATTTGCTTGTCTAACCGTACATGGCCTGGGATCCATGATGTCCGCAGTGGCAAGCAAATAATCAAGCAGGCGTTTATTTCGAAAACATGCGAGCAGGTTACAGAGATCAACGCATCAAAGAGGGCAATGGCAGAGACAAGGAAAGCAGCAGAAAAGGGCGAAAAACTGGCCAAGAAGGCTGCACACGAAGCAGCGAAGATGCCATCAGATGAAACAGAGGCCGCTGCAGCAGTTCTAGACTTCAGACTCGTTTTCCAGTCACTCTGTGATTCAGGCAGTATTCCTGAACGGTTCCGTCACTCTACAGCCATTGCTGCCGATGCTTCTGGCACCACCCCTGCAACAAAGAGGTCGCGCAAGAGGCGTGCAGCAGCAGTCGATTCTGTTGCCAGCAGCAGCGAGCCAGCGCTGAAGCGCCTACGCTGAGCAGGCCACCAAGGTGGGAGATGTCCATGATCAACATTGCACCAACAACCATCCGACACGTTCAAATGACCGGTTCGCCGTGATGCTCTTATCGACATGTCAACCCATGCTGACTAGCAGCCGAGCTCGCATCGCGAGCAGAGTATTTCTAGTACATTTATATTGGTTTCCGCTGGAAGATATAGTAAGTGTAGTGTGAGCCATTCGGCTATGCAAATATAAGTGAACTGAAACTCTAGTCCCGGAACACGCTAAACGGGCGCTCCTGCTGTTGGGCAGGTGTGCTAGGTTGTGCAAACCGACCACCACCAAGCTCCGCTTGAAGCTCATGCATTTGACTGTCCAAATTGCCAAACTCGCCAATATTTTCAGTATGTGGCTCCTCATCTTCGTCGTCCTCGCCATCTTCATCTTCATCGTCATCATCAAGACCCATGAAATGGCTGTTGGTATCAGTAGGCGATTTGGGGAACCGTGGCGTGATGTTCCCCAGATCTTTGACGGCTATTGACAGGCGCTTGCGCACGGGTGTATGTGCCACAGGGTCCTCGGAGTGCTGCTCATCGTCGTCGGTGTGATTGTTACCAGCATCAGCGTCCCTCTCGCTCTCTATATCAAGCTCTCCACGAAGCAGCAGCGCTGTAGAGCTGCCAATCGATGACAGCCCCGTGAATCCGGTGACTCCCGTCAGCTCAGCGCCACTGCCTGACAGATAGCCTGATGCATTGGCAGTATGTCCAGGGGTTTGTGGATAAGCCGAATTCGAGACAGGCCTCTGTGCGGGGGTAAGTAAATTGCTCCTACCAACAAAACGCGCGCGGCCGTGTGCTGGTGTTGAGTAGTATAAGCCGCTGGGCTTGTCCTTTGATCCGTACACACCCTGGTGCATATCAGCATTGTTTGCATCTACAACATCGCTGACAGCCGATGGCGAATCTGAAAACACAGCGAATCTTTTTCCAAGCGGGGCTGGTGTGGATGCTGCATCTGCTGATGACACAAAAAGAGGAGAGGGGTCTGAGTCAAGAATCGGCGATAGCGACGGGTGAAGGGGCGAACTATCTTTGAACACAGATACCCGTCGCGCTATTGGTGTTTTTGAAATTAGCGGTGCACCACCTTCATCCACGCTACTCGTCCTAAAGTGGGGCTGGCTTCGACGAACCACACCAACTGTAGCAGCACCCGACAACGGCCGTGACTGACTGCGCGCAGCCAAGGGTGTGGCCTTCGCCTTTGGACTCATCAGGTCCGGCTGAGTAAACGAGTGCACTCCCCTCAGCATCAGTGTCGGTGGGTCATTCTCGTCTTTTGCTATGCGCGAGCTGGCATCAGCATTGTCCTGGAATGACCGAAAGCGTGTCGAGCGCGTCGAGCTTGGGATCACGGCCGGCTTCTCTGCAAGGCCCTCTGGCATGATATTCGGCGCAACTGGCCCCATGGTGAACTGGTAGTCGTCGTCAACCACGCTGGATATTTTTCTCAATTTGGTCTTGGCCTGCAGCCCTTGCAGGCTCTCCGAGTCCGAGTCCGAGTCCGACATGTCGTTCCAAATCTCCAACATACCTTCCTGGGCTGCACGGGTATTGATTGTTGGAGAAGATGCCGCAGCCTTCCGCTTTCCGAGCAATGATGGCGAGGCCGACTCATCTGCGATACCATCGTCCTCATCGTCCTCGTCGTCCTCGCCATCATTATAGTCATCATCGTTCAGCGGGATATTGCTACGCTGTAAAGCCTCGCGTCCCAATTTTGTAGCAGATACTGCCACGCGCTCCGCTTCTATCGCCTTCAGTTTCCGCTGTTCATCCTCATGCCACGCCTCGTAGTCAAACGCATATCTGGCTAGCTGCGCACGGGCTTCCTCCGCGCACTGTGGCACGTCGCCACCATGTGGAAACAACATATAGGCAGGCATCACCATCCTTTCTGGGTTCTTTCCAGCCAGCTGTTTGGATTTGCCCTTTACCATGTGCCGAGTCCTGTTTGTTGACGGTGTATCCAAATTGTCAAAAGAGTTGAGTAGATTCTCAACCGTCGTATGCGCCGCTTGGCTACGGCTACGCCGGGGGGTGAGGGCCGAGCTGACACAACCCACAGGCTCTGTCGTATCTAATATCTGCGCCGATGCAGCCGAAAAGGCATCGCCAGTGTCGTCACAAAACACAGCGAACTTTTCAACCGCTGGCGTTCCAGGTGTACCATCTCTCAGAGTCCGGCGCTGTTCCAATGTCTGTCCGCGCCAACTGGTTGCCTCAGGCATATTCTCCTTGCGTCGCCACTCATCTGAACCAACATCGCGCCAAGGCGTCGCGTCATCGCTGTGGCTGTTTTCGCTGTTAACCGACATAGAACCTGCATGGCTGCCGCCTGGATCGGAGAACACTGCAATTCGCGAATTTGGGCGTAGAGTTGTGTTCCGCTGCTGTTGCTGGTGCTGGTCTGGTAGGCCGCGGTGCGATGCAGATAGAGTATTTGCGGCAACAGACCGTGTAGCCCGACTGGATCGTTTTGTTCCAAGCATTGTGCGCTCCGCGTTTCCATGGCTGCCAGCAATGCCCCGTCCGCTCTGCTGTTGGTGGTGTTCGTGGTGTTCGTGGTGTTGGTGCTGTTCCCGCTCAATATTCTGCATGGTACGCGCCATGACCCTGCGCTGAAACTCGACATGCCTCCGCTCAAGCCGAGCTAACGGCTGTGCCTTTCGCGCAATGCCCAGCTGGAAAATCTTGTCCGCACGAGGAGTTTTCCCTCGAGACTCCAAAAGCTTTGCATACTCCTCGTACAAGACTGCTAGCGAATCGCCAATTTTGTTAGAGAGCAGGTATTGGAACACTGCTTCTTGGCCGTCATGAATCAGTCCGGTATACCATAGCCACATTTTCACGTACCGCGCATCATTGCGATACCGCTCCTGGCCGCGGAATAGAGTCAGTGGGGCCTCCACCAGCTTTATGATTGCCTGGTGGCCAGATGCCTGCGGAAACACCTCGAACAGCCACTGGATATACCGATAGTACACATCTAACGGATCCTCGGTTTCGACCGGATCAATCGCAGAAATCTCAGCCTGAAACTGCGCATTCTGGGCCTGCAACCTTCCAGTCACCTTAATCTCTGACGGGCTGTTGTGCTGCTCTGCAGCCTGCTGCTGTGGCGGCTCAGAACTCAGGGGTCGTGCAGGCTGCAAGCTCTGCCGGGCCATGCTGTTTAGGGGCTCAGGATTGGTGTTTTCCTCATCTGCTGTTGGCACAGGAGTGCCATAGAGCATGGCAAGAGTACTGGCTGCGCGGCCGCGGCGAAGCGGCTGGATGTTTTCCTTCTGGTGTTCGAAGGCTGCAAAGTCCACTATCCTGCTGGGTGGGCCACTGCTGTTCAGCTGCTCCTCTGGCAGCGGTGCATTGGTCTCGGAGAATGGAGAGGAATTAGGCTCAGACATCGAATAAGTACAGGGGAAGCTGAGCGAAAACCAACGCGGAAGTTGCGCAGGAATCGAGCTTAGTCCTAGTGTCAACAGCAGCTCTGATCCGAGTTGATTCTCCTGATCAGTGGCTTGATGCGTTGCAGCCAAAGCCAGCCGCAGTGGTGTTAAGCGATGATGATTGCTCCTTGCTTTACTGTTCCGATTCCTTCTGCATTCACCTCAGCTCTACTTTTCAAGAATGCCTAGCAAAAAGAAAAAGACCAAGGTCGTGCGCGACCCGAGTGCTTATGCAACAGTCAGTATGCCGTCAAGAACGGCAACGAGAGCGGCAGCGAAGACTGAAGCTGCTACAGCAGCAACAGCGGGTGACGCAGCTGGGATCATTGCAGAGAACCCGGCCCTGCCGCCCATAGAGGCGATGATAGCAAACGACAGAGCCACTGAAACGGAGGGGCAGGCGGATCAAAGCGACAGCAATTGCGATATTGCCGGCTGGGTCTCGCTGAGCCTGGCGCAAACTCAGGCGGAGTCACGGGTCAACAAGGAGCTACAGCTGAAGGACCGCATGCCTGCAAAGGGGCCTGCTGTTGTTCTCAGCGAAAAGAGTGAGCAAATGATTATCGACAAGATCCGGTCTGGCGAACTGGAGCTGCCAGTTCCCGATGTCGAACAGTTGGTTGATGCCAAGGACTGGACCCGGTCGATCAACTTTGTATTTGAGACGCTGGTCAAATATGGCTTCAACGAGGACGATGTTCGTGAGGCAATGCAGGCAACCAAGGGTGCTGGTGATATCCTCGATATGCTGTCATGGCTGTGCTTCCATGTACCAGCAGATCGGCTGCCGGTGGACATGAGGGACAAGCTGGAGTTTGATCAACTTGAGATCAACAAAGGGGTCGTTGAAACAGACAGCGGGAATGACGTTTCTGAGTCCATGAGTGCTGTAGATCCGTTACCGCAGCCTGTACCAGAACTTGATCCTGAGCCTGAGCCTGAGCCTGAGCCTGAGCCTGAGCCTGAACCTGAGCCTGAGCCTGAGGTAAAGTCAGCAGAATTCATTGACAATGTTGCTGGCGCGCAAGATAGTGAGCCCGAGGCGAGTGATGCGGATGGCGACGGCTTTTTGGCTCGTGCGATGGAAAGTCTTGGGCTTGATGGATATGATGCGGATGCCTATGACAGCGACGAAGACCCTGGAATTGTACACGCACGGCGCAGTGTACGTCGGGCAGCAATGGAGGAGTGGGCCGATTACCTGCGCACCAACAACCAGCGCAACCGCTATGGCAGCTATCTTGCAAAGCTATCAGACATGGTCAATAAGGAGGCGAAAGCGCTGGCAGAGATCCAGGACGATTGGCTGTTCGATGGAGCGCAGGCTGCAGCAGAATACGACCGGATCTGGCCCCAATACCACAATGCGTTGCTGGATGAAATATGCGCGTTCAAGGACCATGAGGTCGAGAGGGAGGCTGTCGACATGGCCAGGATGCAGGCAAATGCTGCTGTTGAGGAGAAGAGGCTGGCAAAGAACGTGAATACCTCGGCGAAGCAAGAGACTGATTTCTTTGCCGATAACGCAGATAGCAATTGTGATAGCGGCAGCGAAATAGGGCTCGGCTTCGGCTTCGGCGATAGTGATGCTGAGGCAGATGATAGCGCACCGATTGCCTCAGCCAGCTCAGTACGAATCGTCGAAACTGCTCCGCCTGCAGGCTGGGCTGGCGCTAGCATGAGAGATCTCGTTACTGAATCTGTACATCGAATTGATAGCCAGGCGGCGATAAAGTACAGCAGTGGTTTGCGTGGGTCAGGCTATGTTTCGAGTCTGACAGTAACGTGGTCCACACCAGGAATCGCGTCATCCCGGTCCGATGCTAGTGCACTAAGAGCGATTCCTCTTGATCCACAGCCATGCATAGCATTCCACGGCCAGTCACAGGTGTATGAAATGCCTGGCGGTGTTTTTGGCAGGACGCGGCGCGATGCCGAAGACTATGTGGCTCTTGTCTATCTCTTCGCGCAGGCACACTCTCCACAGCTTGCCCACCGTCTGCCGCCATCTTTGCGGAGCGAGTGGGACACGTGGGACGCTCATATTCGCGAAGCTGAGCGTGCTAAGGCCGCTGCTCAGACGACGAGCAGGGTCGATTTTCTTCGCCAACTGCGCAGCCAGTATGTGGAGATGGCAACAGCAAGCTTGGCTGCCGATGCACCCGAAAAGAGCGGCGAGAAGAAGGTCAGCTGGTCGCAGCAAGAGCACTATGCTAAGAAAGCCATGCGGATACGCGCAGCCAGATGGACACGTAATGTCATCCCGGAGCGCCAGAGTACCGACAAGTGGAAGTCCAAGTATGCAGCGACCCAGGCAGCGCTGCCGGCCTGCCAGTACATGCAAACCATAGCTGACGCATTGGCTGGCTCACAGACAGTGGTAATCCGTGGAGCCACGGGCTGCGGCAAGACCACCCAGGTGCCGCAGATTGCCCTGCGGCTGCTACTGTCGGCAAAGTACAAAGGTGGGCGTATCTTGTGTACGCAGCCGCGCCGGATATCTGCTACATCTATCTCTCAGCGCGTCTCTCTGGAAGTTGGGGACGGGCAGCTTGGAACCAAAGATTCGCTGGTCGGATTCCAGGTGCGACTTAACGCGCGTGCAGTTGACGAGAACCCGCTTGTATTCTGCACCACGGGCGTGCTGTTGCGCATGCTGGTTGAGAATCCAAAGCTAGCAGGTATCAGCTGTGTGATCTGTGACGAGGTGCAGGAACGCACTCTGGAGCTTGACTACCTGCTAATCGTCTTGCGTCGGCTGTTGGCCAGGCGGCCTGATCTAAAGGTCATCTTGATGAGTGCAACCATCGACACCAGCATCTTCACCTACTACTTTGACAGCTGCCCGGTGGTCGACATCCCTGGCCGAACATTCCCTGTCACCAACATGTATCTGGAGAACGTCATCCAGATGTCTGGATATGTGCTTGATAGTCAGAGTTTCTTCGCTGAGAGGCCCAAATATGTGGACCAGAACAACCAGTCGTTTTCGTTCAACGTAACTACGCGCGGTGGAAACTTGGCGAGGCATGATGTGGATGTGTCGTTCGATGAGACTCGCGTATCGTTTGCCAGTAGCAGCGACTATAACCGAGAGCAATCGCTAGAGGACCCCTCGTATGTCTCGGTGGCAGCGTGGTCGACAGTATCAAAAATGCGCACAGATGTCGTCAACTTGGAGCTGATCCACCACCTGATCCGCTGCATCTGCAGCGGCGCTGATGATGTGTTCCAGGATATGTGCGCCAAGTTTGATGTTTCTGAGGGCGCCATCCTGGTATTCCTGCCTGGAATTTTCGAGATCCGCAAGCTGCACGGAATGCTAGGCAGCGACAGCTCCATCAACCACATCGCCAGCATCGTTCCCTTGCACTCTGCGTTGTCCAACGAGACCTGCCCTGGAACGACCAAGACGTATACAGATGTTGCGTTTGAAATCTTCCCCGAGGGCAGGCGCAAGGTAGTGCTCGCCACCAACATCGCAGAAACCGGCATCACCATCCCGGATGTCACTATTGTGATTGACTCGGGTGTTGCCAACCAGGCAATCTGGGACAAGAAGCGGCGGATGACCAGAATCGAGACTGCCACAGTCAGCAAGGCCAATGTCAAACAGCGCAGCGGGCGTGCAGGCCGTGTGCAAAAGGGGCTGACGCTCTGCCTGTTCAGCAGCAAGCAGCACGCGCTTATGCCAGAGTATGAGGCCCCCGAGATGCATCGTCTGCCACTGATCGGGATTTCTATGATGGTGAAGATGCACGGATTCAACGATATCTCGGGGTTCCTCGCTGAAGCCATCGATCCGCCACTGCAGTCGTCAGTAGCACAGGCTATACATGAGCTCAAGGAGGCAGGTGCCCTCGATGAGGCCGAAGAGCTGACACCCATTGGCAGGCATCTCTGCTACTTTGCCTGTTGACCTGTCCATTGGCAAGATGCTAATCGTTGGAACGATGCTCAACTGTATGGACCCCGTGCTCACCCTTGCTGCAGCTATGTCGCTCGGCAAGCCCATGCTCATTCGCCCATTTGACCCTGACGAGCGCGTCTCAGCCAGTGCTGCACACGCCAAATACCGAAAGTACAAATGGCTTGCATACGCGGATGACAGGCAGGCGTCTGATCTGCTGGTTGCTGCTGTCTGCGTATGAGGACTGGCGAAAGGCTGCGTCCGCTCCAGGCAGAACTCGTCGGCAGCTGCATGACTTTTGCAAGAAGAACTGGATCAACAGGGATGCTATGGATGCGCTCGAAGATTACCGCGAGCAGTACCTCCGCATGCTGCATGATCTCAACCTGGTCCGAATCCAACGCAGCGAGCACAACAAACACGTGCCATTGAGCCATTTGATCCGGCCCAGGGCCGGACGATGTTCCCGGATTCAGGGGCGGGTTCACTGAACCACCTGCGAATACCAACGTGAATGGCACAAACGTCAACATCATCTATGCTGCCATCATCGCCGGGATTCGACCACATTGTGATGCCAGCTGCAAGCTGGACACGGGTTTGAAATTGCCCAAGTCGCTGTTGCCAGGAAGGTGCGTGGTGTTGGCCATGCGATTCAGATCGAGGAACGCGGGCGCGTCTCTACACGGCCTGTCGTCATCGACCGCTCCTCAGTCAATGCCTCCCCCGACCACCCGCTAACGTCCCGGAATGCAATCGTTGCCGCCAACCTATCCGGATCCGGCGATGCAACATTCGCCAACATGTCGACAAGGGTTAACCTAGCTGGCGTCGCTCTGTTTGCCCGATCGCTGGACCTACTGGCCCAAGGCGAAGCTGCTGACCATCAACCGGTGGATCGACTGGCAAGTGCTTTGCAAAGACAGCTCTTGTCTTGGTGCTGATGCGCAACAGTGCTGCAAGAGATTATGAATTTCCGGGTCGCCAGTCCGCTGGCTAAGTTGCCGGACCGTCTTGCTCGCTGGCAAACTGCCATTGTCGAGACCATACGCAATGAGGACGCTTAGCAATAAACTACCATTATAAATGCTCATAAATAGCTGCTAGAGCTTGGGCCTTGAGCTGCTGGCTACGCTTTGCCGCCTCGCGCTCGCGCAGCACCCGACGCAGAATCTTTCCGGAGACTGACTTTGGAATCTCTTTGACGATAGCAACACCACCACGCAGCTTCTTGTAATATGCAACCCTGTCGTCGACCCACTCTCTCACGTCCATTGCAATCCCAGGCTTACTGTGCTCTGGACGAACCACGACGAATGCCTTGGGTATTTCCGTCGCCAGCTTGGCATCGGGTATCGCCAATGACCGCTGCAGTCCAAAACGGCCGGGTGGTCAAGCAAGAGTCCTTCGAGCTCGGCAGGGGGCAACCTGGAAGCCATTGTACTTGATGAGCTCCTTCTTGCGATCAGTGACAAAGTAGTATCCGGAGCTATCGACGTATCCGATGTCTCCTGTGTGGCAGGAAGCCGTCGCTATCAATAGCTTCACGGGTCGCCTGCGGGTTATTTAGATAGCCTATCATGACATTGGGCCCACGGATGCATATCTCGCCCTGCTGTCCAGCACCCAACTCTTTGCCGCCATCGTCGACAATCTTGCACTCCATCGATGCCAGCAACACGCCAGCAGAACCCACAGGTGTGCCATGAATCTGTGAGCGGTGCGTCACTGGCGACGCCTCCGACAGGCCGTACGCGTTAGTGATGACACAGCCTGCAGCCCGAGTCCCCTCGTCTTGCAGCTCACGGCCCAGCGGCGCTGCTCCGCAGTTCAGGTACACGAGGCTCGACAAGTCGTAGTTTTTGACGTACTGGGCTCTTTGCCAGGAGAAGCACAGGCAGGCGGCACCAGATGAGCAAACGTCGGTCTGTACTGCTGCGTCCAATGCGCAGAATTCCTCTACATCGAACCTGCGCATCACCACCTGCGTATAGCCCTTGGCAACACATGCCAGCAGTGTCATTCGTCAATGCATAGCAGTGGAAGTAGGGCAGAACCGCAATCGTCGCCCGCGGCTTCCGCTCACGCTCCGCCTCGGCAATCACCGGGTCGTTTGCTGTCGCTGCTGAGGTCTTGCAGGATGTTGGCAATGATGTTGCTGTGCGACAGCTGCACGCCCTTGGGCAGGCCCTGCGTACCAGAACTGAACACGACAAGCGCCGGCGTGGTTGTTGCCTGCTTCTTCGTTGCAATATAGGCGTGCGGGAACGGCCTTGACGAACACGCCCTCCTAAAGTTGTCCTCATTGCCGTCGATAGTCATAATGTGGCTGTCGGCCAACTCTATGGTTCGCCTGTTCAAGGCCCTGTCGCACAGTGGCCAGAGCGCCCATGGTCGTGACAACCGCCTTGGTTTGGGTCATGCGGAACTGGTGCGCCAATTCTGATGACGTGTTCAGCGGATTGGTCGTGACGCAGACGCACCCAGCCATATGCGTGCCAAGCACCAGGATACCGTAAAACGCCGTGTTAGGCAAGACTAGGGCTACATGGTCCTGGGGCTTGAGCCGGAGCTTGTTGACCAGCCCGGCCGCGAACGTCGAGGCCATGTGCTTTAGTTCCGCGTAGCTAATGATGACATCATCGTCAATGTATGCGGGCAGATCGGGCTGCGTTCCAAACACAGAGTGCTGTTCAGCATAGGAGAACAGGAACGTCGGCAAGTCCAACGGCGGGACAGTAATGTCAGCGTGTGGTGAGGTGAAAACCATCTGGAAAGAGGATAGAAAAGAGCAATGCTTGGAGTAGGGTGTGGTGGAGAAAGAGAAAGGAACAGGCGGGCGAGTTCCTTTTATATGCACTGGCAGCTGCTTTGCAGGCAGTGAATGGCACAATGATGCTGCAAGTAGCACATGTCGAAAAGAATACGTGCAGTGGATGAATGATTTTTGTTTCTTTTTTTTTTTCTTCTCAATGCGCCTCACATAATGCTGCCAACGACCCTGCTCTGCACCGCCGCCACCGCTTGTCGATGCCTAAGCCATTGACCACCCGTGTGGTGTTCGGCCGGGAGGTTAGCGCCAGCTGCTAAGCAGACTTGTGGTTGGAGTGGTCTGTGAGAGATTAGGCTCGGCAAACGCGGACTACCAATTAACCCCCCTTTCCTCCGCAGCTGCCCGTCTATGCATACTGGGTTGGCCACATGATCCTGCAAGTCTGCCTGGCACGGTCCCCCTGCCGGCGCTATTCAGCTTGCACCTGCAGCACACGCTGCTGCTGCTCTTTGCAATGCTCGGCACAAATGGCGAATTCCGTTGGCAAAAAGGCGAATGGAGATTTGCTTCTCTTAGCACTACTCCACTATTCCTGCCCTTTGGTACATATCCTTGCTTATCGCGATTGCTGCCAATCCAGGCTATTTTCGCTGCTCGTCAAACATTGCTGGTGGTACGTAGTTGGCGTGGCTAGAGCTGCTTGGATTCATGAATATTCCATTGCACAGTAGACCCTGTTTAGTGCCTACAACTATGTGTTTGCCATCCTCGGGGTAATAAAAAATATATCGATCCAAACCTCGTAGACAGCCGCTACGCGCTATCGCTGGACCCGTCGCTGAATCCGTGCTGCTCGGTCACTTCGTTTACCAGGGCCTTGGTTAGGGAGCCCATGCTCACGTCTAGGTATCTGGCCAGGAATGCGCCGATCTGTGTGTTTTCATAGCTGCCGCGCAAACCGCCTGCACCGGCGCCGTAGGCATATAAACCAACGTCAGCACCAGTGTGTCCGCCCGTGGTCCAGCCAATGTGAGCTCGCGCCGAAACAGTCTGGCCAACCATCCTCTTGCAGAGCTTTGTCGGTGATGTTGCTGCGCTTAGGATATTCAAGACCTCGCCATCGCCAGCGTCGCTAATGCCAAGATAGTTTGGAAGAACTGAATTGACAACATGATCGCGCAGCTTGTCTGATGACATGCGCTTCATCTCGCTGCAGATGAGTTCTGCCGATTTTCTTACCGGCGCCAGCACCTCAGGGTGCCACTCGTACTGTGGATCAATCCCTAGGGTCAGCCCACCAGTCTCGTGGTCCGATGTGCTTACCAGCAATGTGTCCGAATGGGAATCGACAAACTTGCGCACTGCTGCTACTGCCTCCCAGTACTGCAGAATGTCACGTAAATGCGTTGCCGGGTCGTTGTCGTGTCCAGCCATATCAATACGGGCTCCCTCGATCATAATAAAGAATCCCGGACCATCCTGGCTGTTGCGGTCCAGGATTTGGAGTGCTTTGGTGGTCATTTCAGCCAGCGATGGCTGCTCTTTCTCATCGCGATCAATCTCAAATGACATGTGACTCTCTGCAAATAGCCCCAGGACGGGTAGACGGACACTGGCAGTATCCAAAGAGTCAAACGCATCTCGGTCTGCGAGACGGGTGTATCCTGCACGTTTCGCCAGCTCCAAAACATCAATCTCATCCGACCGACACCCATCGTCGTGGCTCTTGGGCAAAAACTGGCACCGCCCACCACCAAACATCAGGTCAACGCTATGGGTGATTGTATTGTTACCGATCTCCTGCAGTGCGATCAGGTCCTCCATGCCCCGATTAGCCACATGTGCTGCAAATGCGGCGGGTGTTGCATGGGTGATGCGGGCTGTTGACACCAATCCAGTCCTGTATCCTTTGGACTTTGCTGCCTCGAGCACAGTGCCGCATGGCTTCTTGTCGCTGGTAATTCCAATGCCGCCGTTGTAGCTTTTGGTGCCGCAGGAAAATGCCGTTGCACCAGCACCTGAATCTGTGACCAGTGAGCTGCTCGAGCGCGTTCGCGATGTGCCGACTAGCATTGTGTCCATGGTGCTGGCCCAATTCATAGTGTCTTCGTTTCCATACCTCATGAATTCGCGCGCCATAGCCTCGGATGTCATGCCGAAGCCGTCAGAGATCATAAAGATAAGATTTTTGCGCTTCTGGGCATGGACTGACAATGGATATGCCAGCAGCATGAGCGATATCGCCTGTAGTCGTGCAAATTTCATTTCAGGTATGAGGCAAAATAGTTTATAGGTCGTCTATGTGTGGTGACTGTTCTAGCAAAAGCAGAGCAGGTATTTAAAGCTGACTCCTTTCACTGCCTCGATGTACTGAACCCCTTGCTTGCTGTCCCTCATGGTGCTGGTGGACAAGCAGGCCGGAGAACTTGGGCTGCAGAATCCAAATACTCGTGGGCAAATAACACCAATCGCAAAGGAATAGATGCGGGGGGTGCTCATACCTGAGACCAAAACTGCATGCCGCTGGGATGAAGTGCGGAGGAGGATAGAGCCACATACATGTACTGCGAAAAACAGCATAAAGGTCGGTTTAGAGGCGCTCAAGCACCTGCTGCGGATCCGCCTCCAACTGCACTGTGGCCTGGAATGTCAGGGTGCGTGTACGGGTTGATTGCAACCACAACAGGCGAGGGCTCAATGCGTCTGCGCAGGTATCTGTCCCAGAACGCCATGTCCTCGGCCTTGAGCGTCAGCTCAACCTGCTTAGTCTGGCCAGCCTTGACCTCGACCTTTTTCAAAAGCAGCGCAGACGGTAGTTGTCAGGAGCATAGCCAAAGCGGTACGTCTGGTGGGTGAACAGCATCACGGGTTCCTTTTGATCGTACGTGCCCGTGTTGGTAAGGGAAACCGAAACAGTGATTGGGGATCCGATCTCGAGCGTGGTGCTCGACACCGTGACGTTCGAGTACTTGATGGTCGAGTAGCCAAGACCGAAGCCGAACTGCCACTGCGGCTTGTACGGCACATAGGACGCTTGCCAGATGGTGTGGCTAGCCTGCGATGAATGGGCCGGGTATGTGTACGGTAGACGGCCTGATGGGTTCACCTTGCCGTACAGAATCTCAGCAATCGGAAGACCGCCATACGATCCCGGAAGATATGCGTTGACGATGGCATTTGGAGTCATTAGCGATGCTGCCGAGGAGACGGGGGCGTCCTTGGACCAGCACAGTGACTACGGGCTTGCCCGACAGCGTAGCGACGCTGCTAACCAGGTCAATGTGAGCCTGCGGCAGAGTCAGCTCGTCGATGTTGCCAAAGTTTTCGGCGTACGTGCGTTCGCCTAAACCAATAACAACCTTGTCGGCCTTCTTCGCGGCGGCGATGACGCCGTCCCAGTCGTACCTTGTCGTGCCATCAATATCAACGGCCGGCATGTAGCTAGGCTCTGACCCCGTCACCTGCTTGATCCCAGTGAGCACAGTATCCGCAAAGCCCTGGTACACGGCGTCGCCCTCCTTTTTCGGACGGCCCCTGCCAGTGCACATTCCAGCCGCCGCCCATGTAGCGAGACGAGTTGAGGGTCGGGCCCAGGAACAGCACGCTTTCAGAGGTCTTGAGCGGCAGAACGCTGTTCTCGTTTTTCAGCAGCGTGATTGACTCGCGTGCGGTGTCGCGGCCCGATTCAATGTCCTGTGCTGAGCCAACAGTCTTTTGCAGCTCCTTGTCGGCGTACGGGTTCTCGAAGAGGCCCAGATCCTTCTTTGCCTGCAGAATACGGGCCACCGACTGATCGATGCGGCGCTCCTGACACCTTGCCGCTTCTGACCAGCGCAAGTGTGATATTGCTGAATGACGCGTCATCAGCAACCATCGACATATCGGTCGACGTGCGCAAAATAGCACCCTCGACAGCCTGTTCGGGATCGCGTGCTGTCATATATATCGTCGCTTGCGACAAGATCTCTCCCCAGTCAGTGACCATGAAGCCCTTGAAGCCCAGGTGCTCGCGAAGCAGGGTCTGCAGGTAAAAGTTTGACAGCATCACAGTCTCGCCGCTGACCGCACCGTAGCTCTCCATGGCAGTGGCTGAGCCAGCATCGATGGCCGCTTTGAATGACGGGACGTAGTACTCGAGCAGCTCGTGGTCGGCTACGTGGCGGTCAGCACGGTCCGAGCCGTCAAACGGGTTGCCGTATGCAATAAAGTGCTTCATGCAGGCAGCAACGCGCGAGCGGATCAGTCTTGTAGTCGCCCTGGAAATCCGCGCACCGAGCTGTACGCCATCTGCGAGGACAGGAAGGGGTCCTCGCCAAAGTTCTCGTACGTGCGCGACCAGAACTTGTTGACGCCAATGTCCAATACTGGCGCAAACGCCCAGTGGGCACCAGCAGCGCGAGTGTCCTTGGCAGCGACACGGCCGGCATCATAGGCGAACTGCGGATTGAATGTCGCAGCAGTGGCGATTCCCGCCGGGAAAATGACTGCGCCCTTGACATAGTTTGCGCCGCGCACCGAGTCGAGCCCCCAGATGACGGGGATCTTGGCACCCTTCTTGGTAGCAATCTCCTGGACTGCGTCAGTGAGCTCGGCAAACTTCTCAGCCGAGTACCACTGGTAGATGCCATCGTGGTTGCCGGGCGACTCGAGGAACGAGCCAATCCTTCCATTTGTCAATCCAGTACTCGACTGCGGTCCGGTTGAGCTTCCCGTTGCAGTCAATGATCTGGCCAACCTCGATTTGGGTCATCTGGCCGATCTTCTCCTCGAGCGTCAGGCCACGGACCATCTGGATGATGTCCTTGTCGATTTTGCCTGGTGCCTGAACTACGCTGCTCTCGGGCTGGTACGAGTACGACTTTACGGGGTTTAGCATGACTGGGTCGGGGATTTGTACCTTATCCCACGTGCACTTGTCTGAGGGCAAGGCGGTACTTGCTGGAAGCTCATCGGTGCCAGATGATGAGTAACCAGCGCTGGGAACAGCTACGGTCCCCGACGGCACGGGTGTGCCCGTGGGAGTGACGGTGGTCTGTACGGCAGAGGCGGAATCGGCAGAGTTGGAGGTGTAGGGGCTGCTGTCTGGCTGAGTTGCAGGCGCGGTATTGGTGCCGGAGGCTGGAACTGAGGCGCTTGCATCGCCTGCCACGCTTGAATAGTCTGCCATTGCAGTTATGGCCAGCGAGGAAAGTGCCAGATAAAGGAGTGGTGCGTATTTCATCTGGTGGTGCGTCGGACGGTGTATTCGGATATTAAAGCAAGCAAGAGGTGGTAAAGAGAGGATGGGAGACAAACGATATGGAGTGCTGGACAGAGAAAAAGCTACAAGGACCAAGCTGTTGTGTGAAACTAAGCAGCAAGGCGCTCCATGGGGTGGCGTTTTATATGCACCAGATTAGGAGACCAAGGACGCAAAACAACAAAGCGCTGGGTTTGGGTGGAAGCGGACTCAATATTGCTGCTAATACGAGCAGGTTCAGATAATAGAGACGGGAAAAATAGCGATTGAGAAAGACCGGCATTGAAGGGGGAGGCAAACAGGCAGCGCCGATCTGCTACTGCTGTCGGTTTTCGCTACTCTTCTGACGAGAATATAAACAAAAAGTGTTGTAGGGATGATTGCGCATGCACGCGTTGCATGGGTCGGGCACTGCTTTTGTTGTCCGTCTGTCTCAGCTAACGTACCCGGGGGTAGAGGAGGTGCTGCAGGTGATGGCATTGGCCATTGGATGGCTGAGGGGAGGGCGCCAGGATCCTCATCAAGTGCCAGTGCACTAGCGCAGAATCTTCTTTTTTTTGAAACAGGAATATAGCTGCTAAATCTGCCTGAGCCACGATGGGCGCGTGACGATGGATAATCTTCATGGCCACAGTACGTGTATTTCTAGTCCGAGAGATGTAGTGTCTGGCAATCCCCCACCCTTGGCGTGTGCGAGGAAGGATGTCTGGCAAGTGTCAGCCAGATACCGAACTCCGCAAATAACGGGAAACAGGGCACGGGGAAATGGCAGCAATCCATGCACAGCATCAGCAAGCCGGTAGCTCACCCACACAGACCCGCAGGCATTCTAGAAGGAAAGAAAGGAAGCTCAAACCTGTATTCACAGGTGGAGAGGCAAGAGAGATGATGTACTGGCACCTGTGCACACCGAGCTGGATCACCTGTGGCCCGGCTCAGGGCGCAAATGCAAGGGGCTTCTCTGTTTCCGTCTTCCGATGGAACCACCAGCAGTGTTTGGACGCTTACAATGAGGTTCATAACAACAAACGCCACTGATGTCATCCGAACATTGATAATGTTGTGATAAGTAGGTGGGTTGGATACACAGCTTGTGAATGAGATGGATCTCCTGCGAGTATAAAAGAGAGCGAGGCCATTGCGGGACAACCTCGGCAAACTCGTCTTGTAAATACCCAGCTCTTCTCCCTTACTTGAAGTAACCCCCTATCCGGAATCGATGGCATTCGGCCGCTCTTCCTTAACTTTCAACATTATCTCGGCTAGGGTATTGACAAAGCTGCATTAGAGACAGCATAAGAAGGCGCAAACAGGTCAAGTACGATATGCTTTACTTATCAGCGAATCAGGAGATGTAGACTGCAATTTGGGGCGTGAGTCTATGAATATGTAGAGCAAGCAGATTGTGTATGGCCACACCATATTGTCAATGCAGATGTGGCGGCTACTCAAATTCCTCCCCATGCTATCACTGCCAGCCCTGTATATGGGTGTACGCAACCTCACAGCTATAGATTTGAGCACATGTGCAATGATCTTGGCTGTGGTTTGGTGGACAATTCTAGCGAGACATCTCTTTTCCTTCATCGCATACCCTCTATCACTGGGAAATATCACTGCACCAGGGTAGACAAGAGAGCTGATTGCATTCACAAAAGTCTAAAAGCCTACATACTAATATCGATGCAATGAATGAGATAACGCAGTGTGCCGAAATAGGAGACGAGCGGGTGCCTATGCATGACGTATTTTCCACAGGCCTGCACCAGCGCTACATGTATACGCAGTCGGAATGCTCCAGCGGCCTCAGCACGATCTCCTCACTCTCCCGCTACTCCCTGCCTTACAAGCTGATGCACACGCAGCATTTAGAGCTAGGTGACGTAAAGCAGGCGCTCTCAGTGTGCGCTTGTTTTGTCGTCACGGGCCTGGGTGCAGGGCTGCCGCTAGTCTACGGGCTTCTAGAGGACAACCTTGAGCTGCTGTTTGGATTCCGAGAGCGCCCTCCATGGGACTGGCAGCGGTCGCGCACTAGCATCTTGATTGGAGCAATGCAGTTTGCCAGCTACTTTGCTGTTTGCCGAATGGCCGTGTGGGCGCAATGCCGGATGGGCGTGCGTGTGATGGTTGCGCTGGGCGCGCTAGCCACAGCTGGTGGGTTGATGGCTGCCAGCTATGCAGAGCAAATTCTGGCAGCTGTGTCTGGCGTATATGCTGGTAGGCGCAGGCACGTCAGTGAGCGCACATGCAGCTGGTCGGCCACGGGTGGGTGCGGCAGGGGTTGGTGCAGCGGCCATGGGTGTTTTGTGGCAGCATTTGGCGGTGTATACGTCGCCAGGAAGGGCACTGCGATGGACAGCGCTGGCGTGCGCAGGCACGCAGGTGCTGATGGTGCCATTTCTGTTCGCACCTGTGTGGCCTGCCAGTATCGAGGCGTGCTACGCTAAAGGAGTCATTGGAGACCAGACGGCCTAGTGACTGCGGGAATGCACAGGCCCCCAGTGCGCTGCGATTATCTGTGGACTGGCGGCAGGCTGCTAGTCTTTTCGGCCTGCTCTTGCACAGCATGATGTATCTGCTGCCATTCGTGTTTCTTCCTGGCTATGTCACCACCCAGCTCCCTGTTACACACCATTTGTCGGCTGCGCTGCCGGTGTCTGTGATTGGCCTGGGGATGGCGGTCGGCGGATGCAGCGCGCAGCCGTTGCGGACATGGTCTGGCGTGCAGCCCAGCGTGGTGCGGTGCGGGGCGCGGCTGGGTCTGTCACTGGCGGTCTGGTGCCTGTGGCTGCCGGCGGGCAGCAGCTGGGGCATGGTGTGCGGGTTCAGCGCCGTGTATGGGCTGTGTCTGGGCGTGACAGGTGATGCATGTGTGCGGAATACGTGGGCCAATGTCGCGGTGGTGGCAGGCGTGGCGGTGGGGGTGCCGGTGGGCAGCTGGCTGTTTGTAGGCGTCGGCAGTGGCGTGTACTATATGCCACTGGTCACGTTCACTGCGGCTGGTCTGCTTTTGACGGCTGTGTGCGACGCGGTAAGCTCTGCGTGAGGCTGCTGCAGAATACCAGCATCCGAGTCAGGTGCTTTTCGATATAATATGTGACTCAGACATCGCGCAGGCGCATTTTGGAAATAGCTGGCTCACGCTTGGGGCCGACGAAAAAAATTTTATTTCGAAGGACCGATCTGGGCGTGCACCCAAACATTTTCTGTTCCCTGTTCTTCTCTTTGTTTCCACTAAAAGCATTGGCAGATTTGCTCTATTCTTATTCCAAAATGAGTACTCTTACATTAGCGCAGAAAGGCTCGCCCCACCCGTACAGTAAGTAGCCGGCAGCCTTAGGAGGACAGGAATGCCTTTCTTGACGCCTGTCGCCATGTGTTCTGACTCGCATATCTGGTGTAGTTGCTGCGTCGCTGGCTGAGTTTGTGAATGCCTCCAAGGCTGCCACATACGCCGTGTCGTGGATCGAGGGCAGCAGCGCCAAGGACGGCGACAAGAAGGCCAGCGCCCTGCTGACGACCTCCGGCGGCGAGGTGGTTGGCGAGACTGCCACCATTGCGTCGATTGTGTCGGCGCACAGCGACCTGATCACGGCGTCTGACAGCAAGTGGCTGGACTTTGCGCAGGGCTCCCTGGGCGGCAACGACTTCAAGGCGCTCGAGGCGGCACTGGCTGAGCTTGACCACCACCTGGTGATGCGCTCGTTTGTGGCGGGATATGCGCTGAGCGGCAGTGATGCGGCGGTGTGGGGAGCGCTGAAGGCGTCGATGATGTTCCAGCGGAACCTGAAGCAGAAGGCGGAGATGCTGCCGGACCACGTCATCCGGTGGTACAACCACATCTCGTCGCTGGAGTTTGCGCAGCGCGTGGTGGCCGGGCACCAGAACGTGCACAAGAAGGAGAAGAAGGGCGAGCAGGGCTCGTTTGAGCTCGGGTTCAAGGGCCTGGAGCACGGCAAGGTTGTGACGCGCTTCCCGCCCGAGCCCAGCGGCTACCTGCACATTGGCCACGCGAAGGCGGCGCTGCTGAACGACTACATTGCGCGGTCGAACGGCGGCAAGCTTCTGATCCGCTTCGACGACACGAACCCGAACAAGGAGAAGGTCGAGTTCGAGGAGTCGATCATCGAGGACCTGCGCCTGCTGGGCATCAAGGGCGATGCGCTGACGCACACGAGCGACTACTTCCAGCTTATCTACGACTACGCAATCAAGATGATCAACAAGGGCCTGGCCTATGCCGACGACACCGACCAGGAGACGATGCGCGCCGAGCGCATGGACGGCATTGCGAGCAAGTGCCGCGACCAGTCGGTGGAGGAGAACCTGCGCCGGTTCAAGGAGATGACGGAGGCGACCGAGTTTGGGCAGACGTGCTGCCTGCGCGCCAAGATGAGCGTCGACAGCAAGAACAAGGCGCTGCGTGATCCGGTGATCTACCGGTGCAACCTGACGCCGCACCACCGCACAGGGTCGGCGTGGAAGGTGTACCCGACCTACGACTTTTGCTGCCCGATCGTGGACTCGATCGAGGGCGTGACGCACGCCTTGCGCTCGATGGAGTACCGTGACCGCAACCCGCAGTACGAGTGGTTCTTCCCGGCGCTGGAGCTGCGGCCGGTGCAGATCCTCGACTTCTCGCGCATGAACTTTGTCTACACGCTCCTGTCGAAGCGCAAGCTGCAGTGGTTTGTTGACAAGGGCCTGGTGGGCGGCTGGGACGACCCGCGCTTCCCGACGGTGCGTGGCATCCGCCGCCGCGGCATGACCATCGAGGCGCTGCGCCAGTACGTACTGATGCAGGGCGCGTCGCAGAAGAACATGCTGCTGGAGTGGGACAAGATCTGGTCGCTCAACAAGAAGGTCATTGATCCTGTTGCCCCACGCCACACCAGCCTGATCAAGCAGGGCCTGGTGCCTGTGACGCTCACGGGCGGCCCCGCCGAGCCGCTTGTCAAGCAGATGCTGAAGCACAAGAAGAACAAGGAGCTCGGCACCAAGCCGACCGTGTTCTCGTCGCAGCTGCTCGTGGAGCAGGCCGATGCTGCGTCGTTCGAGCTCGGCGAGGAGATCACGCTGATGGACTGGGGCAACGCCGTGGTTGAGGAGATCAAGAAGGACGGGGAGACTGTCGGTGCGCTGACGCTGCGCCTGCACCTGGAGGGCGATGTCAAGGCGACCAAGAAGAAGATCACATGGCTGGGCCAGGACCCCGCCGTGCCGGCCACCGAGGCCGTGCTGGTGGACTACGACTACCTGATCACGAAGAAGAAGCTTGAGGAGGACGACTCGGTCGAGGACATCTTGACGCCCGTCAGCGAGTTCAAGGAGACCGCGCTGGTGGACGCGAGCGTCGCCGAGCTGCCGCGCGAGTCGATCATCCAGCTGGAGCGCCGCGGGTACTACATTGTGGACAAGACGCTGAAGGACGGCGCGCTGACCCTGATTCGCATTCCGGACGGCAAGGCGAGCACCATGGCGAGCAAGCACAAGGAGGAGCCTGGTGCCAAGAAGGCCAAGAAGGAGAAGGATACCGGCAAGGGCAGCCCGTGGTCGAAGGGCAACATGTCCAAGCCGGCCAAGAAGGACGCAGATGCATCGCTGAATCTGCCCAAGCCCAAGCAGGTCGTCGATATGTACGAGACTAAGCCTGTGTACGGCGAGGTGCCGGTGGACGCCGCGGGCAAGGCCTCGGACATGTACGAGACCAGCAGGATCTACTAAACGCTCATATACAGTCCCGCTGAATAAAACGTAGTGAGGAAAGAGCCTCCACATTGCGGTAGCTTGTCTGCCATATCCAGCCAGCACAAGCTCCATGTGCCGGATCCATAGACTGTAGCCCCCCAGACCATCGTCTGCCCGCCAGGCTGGCCGGTCTCTGGCCAGCAGCGAAAATAGGCCACGATCAACTGGAGAGCGCGTTTACTTCCACCCCTCCCTGCCCAATCACCGCTGCCCAGCATGTCGGGTTAGGAATAAATCATGCATCGGGCGTTGAACTTGGCGGGCCACCCAGTCTCTGTCCCCTTGCCTTTCTTTTTTTCTTCTTCCATACCTTTTCCCAATTCACATCTGAACTGAAAATGCGGTTCCTGGTAGCAGGCAGCCTGTACACGCTCTCGCTGCTGGCAGCAGCCAGCGGGCTCGTGCACACCAACCTAATCCGCACGGTGGACCTGACCTCAGCGCCGTTCATTCGCGAGCAAATCGGAGCGGTGGTGCAGAATGAGCACGCCAGCAAGCAATACAAATCCTACACGATCGCCGTGCCTGCCTCCAAGCACGCCCACCTGGCGTCACTGACCGTGCATGAGCGCAAGTCGGGCGTGGAGCTGCCAACGGTGCCATTGGATTTTGACACAAAGCGCAATGCGTATCTGTACCGGGCCACGCTGCGCGCGCCATTGGCGCCCAACGACAAGCTGAGCCTGAACGTGGACATGACATTGAGCCGATTCGTGTCGGCGAAGCCCGCGGTCATGGAGCCTGCGGACGACCAGCAGTGGGTGTGGGAGGATCGTGCGCTGGTGCCGTCGGTGTATGAGACACGGAAGCAGAAGACGGTGGTGAATGCGCCAAGGGTGACGCGGCATACAGGCGTGCTGCAGCGCAAGTCGGTGGTGTTTGGGCCCTTTAACGCGACGGCGGAGGATGGGCCGGCAGAGGTTGCGTTTAGGAGCAACAAGGAGCAGGCAGCGGCGGTGCATCGGCGCGAGTATTTCGTGAGCCATCTGGGCGACGACCTGAATGTGCTGGAGCACTACCAGCTGAAGAGCCTGGCGCCGCGCCCGCCGCAGTACGACAAGGTGCGCGAGACGATCGCAAAGTTCATGCGGACCCGCGACAACTTCATCAAGACGCTTCTGGTGCCTGTGCCGGTGACCGCCCGGGACATGTACTATGTTGACGAGATCGGCAACGTGTCGACTTCGGCCGTGACCAGTCCGCGCGAGGCACATGGCCAGGAGTTCCGGATCCTGCAGCTGAAGCCGCGGTACCCGCTGTCGGGCGGCGACCAGTACACGTGGTGGCACGGCTACAGCCTGCCACTGCATGCGTATCTGAGGAGGCAGGGCGCGCGGCATTTCCTGAAGGTGCCGTTTATCGGCCATATTGCGGCGTCGGCCAGCGGCAAGAGCGAGCTGACCGTCGACATGGCTGTGGCGGAGAACGTCGCGGTTGAGTCGTACGAGTTGCATGTGACGCTGCCCGAGGGCGCTACCGACATCGATGTCAGGGCGCCGGTGCGTGCCGAGATTGCGTACGAGCCGACCTGGTATTACTTGGACTCGACGGGCCGCACCACTGTGGTGGTGAGCACCGGGAATGTTGCGCCAGGCGACCTGGGCGATGTGCTGGTGATGTATTCGTACTCGGCAGTGGCCGTGTGGCAGAAGCCGGCGGTGGTGGCGCTGATGGTGTTTGGTGTGTTCGCCGTGGCCATGGCGGTGGGCAGGGTCCGGTTCGGGCTGGCGCAGGCGGCCAACAAGAAGAAGAGCGCATAAGAGATGTCTTTTTCACACAAAAATTATATATCATTTTTAGTGTCTTTCCAGCCCCTCATGCACATGATGGCAGATCATGTAGTCACGCCGGCTCCTGTATGACGAAACCGCCCCCTCCAACCATGTCATCCAGTGGGCCATTACAAGAGAGTACTCTCAGCTCTATAAAGCTCCCCCCTTTCTCTTCTACAATGTCGCAGACTACTTCCTTTGCCAGTGTTTCGGCCCCACCACTCACACTCTCAGCATCTCCCAGTGCCCTATCCAAGGGCGGCCGCCCAAACACCACGCTCATCGCGCTCTTTGTCGTTATTGGCATTCTGTTCCTCACTGGCAGTGTCTGGGCCGCCATAATATTCCGCGGCAAACTACGCCCGCCGTCGGTACATGCCCGAGGCCGCACTGAACTGCGCAACAAACGGCCTGTGCTCACCGTCCCTATGTTCGACATGCTGCGCGTCCGCCCTATTACATTTTTCAAGCGTGCTTTCGATGACTGCGCAATCTGCCTTTGCGCGATGAACGGGCAGGTGGTGCTGCTGCCCTGCAATCACGCGTTTCATAAAATGTGCGCTAGGGGGTGGCTGCTGGAGCAGTCGGAGGAGTGTCCGCTATGTAAACGGTCGGTTAGAGTTGCTTTGGGAATTCTTGAGGCTCCGGAGGAATTGGCTCCGGTGGAATGTGAGATTGGAGCAAGGCGGGTAGAGAGTTCTGTGTAGTCCTGTAGAATGTCAAGTGTACCCAGTTTCTCATTATCTGCTCAGGATATGGAACGGGAGCTAGTTGTTTAGAGTACCGTCGTGTTTGTAGTGACGATACCCAAGTGCAGCATCCGGGTAGACAAACGTGCAGCCTGACAGAAGATAAACGCCATCTGTTGAAGACTGAAATTCCTCCCAACCAGTTGTTCCAGAATGGTAGTCCGTTTTGGCCAGCTGCTTCTGATCTGCACGGTTTCAGGCTCCTTACCTCCATCTACTGCTGCTTGCTATGACAAATTCCAGCCAAGGTAGCTTTTGGACTCCTTCTAATCAATATCGAGCAATAATTACACCATGAATAGTGACACTATGTTAGCAGCGTTTATGCTATTTACTGCATCCCACTATAACCATTGGTACTATGGAAAATTTTGTGGTTTGCAATGTAGATATATTGAGAAAACTCTCATCAGTTAACACCAAAAAAACTCACGTGTACGGTCGTATGGAACATGCTCATGCTGGTTCCCATAAACGTCATATCGTTGCGTGCTGCGAAAGGCGCTACTGGCAGCAGGAGACATCTTGAAACACAATATATGTAAACTGTAGGCAATGGCACTGGTAGTGTAAGTGTCGATGAAAACGAAAAATACGACCGTGAATCACATAGTGTGCAGAATGTGACAACTAGTAAACACATGCTCTTCGTCTTCTCCCTTGATATCCACTATCCCTTGACTGTCGAGCTGTATTTTGTCCAAGTCTACCCCAACCCACGTTGAGCGGGTTTCAAGTCCATTGTTCTCATATTCGCCACCTAGAGCATTGTTGTTGCTGAGAATTGCTTTGTGGTCATTCTTCACCTCTTGTCTTGATTGGCTATGCCAAATATTCAGGTAATTCGCATGGACAAACAGTAGAGTCTATCATCGCATGATATGGATAGTATCTTGTCATTTGTCCACGACAACGATAGTACCTTAGCTTCACTGCGATACGTCCTTCCTATAAGGTGTTCAAAAAAGTTCAGTACCTATAGTAAACATGTTGGCTGATAGAGAATATACGCTGTCTGATAACAAGTAGAAAGTTATCTGACCACCTCTCACTAAATAATAGCTCATTTTTGGCAGTTGCGTCTATCTATGTCATTTAAAGATCCTTGCTTACATTTACAGCTGTTCCTTACAGCAGCCTCTGTTCGAATCTCAAGATCCGATTACTGTGAACTACATAGTTATTCATCCTGCTGTTCTTTATTCTTTATTCTTTATTCTTCTTTTTGGCTGTGTCACCCGAGCAATGGTATAAAACCTTTTCGCTCGCCTCTCCCTTCCTACTTCTCTTTAGCTTTCTTCATCAATATATATTCCTTGACTCTGTCGTTTTCTATTGCTGATACGCTCACAGCGCTCGCATATTTCTGGATTAAGATACCATCGCTTGACAGCCTTTTCGGAATCTGCGCTACACGAAAGTTACACACATAATCATATATACAGTATCTTTTGCTACTTATTCCTTATTTCTTTCTCTTGCCCTACACCACCCACCGTGTGCTTTAGACCTACAACATATTTAACCAAGTCTCACTGCATAATAGTTCATTTTTGAGCAATTGGCTCAGCATCATGCCATTCCAAGCTCTCTGATTAAGTTTCCACCTGCTGACTGTAGCAGCCTGCTATCAAGGTAGCCAATGGACCCCTGTTATACACTATCAAGCAATCACTGAAAGTGAATATTTGTTCACCAATTTTTGCCTTAAAAATGACAATGTCAGCAAAGCAGCTATACCATCCACGGGGCAAATCGCTCGTCTTTAGTATTACAGGGCACATCATAGTATATGGAAATCAAAAAATAATAATAAAAAGCATGTTTAACAGAGCTATATGCCAGAATAATCCCGTGCATCCTCGAATAAGTGAGACGCCTCCTGCCTCCCGTGGAGATCACATTGCTGTGGGTTGCGAAGGGTACTACTGACAGGTGGAGACATCTTGATAAACATTTTATGTAAACTGTAGGCAATAACACAGGTAGTGTAAGTGTCGATGAAAGAGAAAAAGATAAGGTTGTTGAACACCTTGGGTCTAAGATGTGGAAACTAATAAACACATTCCCGTTGCCCTCTCCCTCGATGTCCACAATCTCTTGGCTGTCGGACTGGCTCTTTTGTCCAAGCCAACCCCAACCCTTGTTTAGTGAACTCTAAGCCTGTTGTCCAGGTATTCGCTGTCAAGAGCCCTGTTGTCCCATGGGATTGTTTTGCAATTGCACTCTACGTGCTGCCCAATTTGGCACCTCAACGTGCTCCGCCTCTCTTTATGCACCAATTCGGCCAACGTGAGCAATACGTCCTGCATGCCGAACTCTCCTTTGTTGTGAGGAGGCATGTGACTTCCTCCGAGGGAAAGATGCTGGCGCCATATTTGGTGTGGCAGGGTGTGCCACTCGTCGTTGATCCTCGATCTGAATGGGTGATTTCCATGTGTGATATTTGATGCTTCTGGAAGCCGTCATAATGTCACTGGGCGCTGTGTGGATATCTTGACAGTGTCCTGCTGTGAGTGGATCGATGCTATGTTGGATACTGTTTAAGATTTCAGATGGATAAAGTAATAAAGGTAAGAACTACTCGCGAGGCGGGAACTCAGAAACACTAATAGTACTTTCCATGTTAATATCAAAGAGTTCAGCCCGCACCATATTGCCAAACCCGTCGACTACCTTGATGCTGTCCAGCTTTGGGAGATAGTGGAGCATCTCGAGAATGATCTGCTTCGCTCTGGCATCGGCAGACATGACTTGGAGGACTTGCAGCCGCTCGCTCAGGAAGTATCCCTCAGAGTTGATCTTGGTCTTCTGCTTCTTGTTCGCCGAGTCCTTGCCTGGCAGTGACCTCTTGACAACGGGCTTACGGGATACCTCTGGCATAACATGTGGCATACCCTCAGGCCGTGGTTGGATTTGTCGCAGGTTCTCTGTAAACAGTAATGATCTTGGAGCTGTTTCCTTACGGCGCTTTTTGCCTGCTGATTTCTGCGACTCGCCAATACTAGGCACAATCCGAATCGGTGCGCTGCTTGACGCTGCCTGTGGACGCGGGTGGCTGGTAGGTGAAGCTGATATATACGGCTGGCTGGTTGATGCTTTCTGTGGCTGTTTCTGGCCCCTTGAAGCAGCCTTCTGAATCCTCTGTCTGCTGCGCAGGATCTCGCTCGAGTGATTCTTGGCGATTTCGTGGATCGTCAACGGGTCTGGATTAGCAGGTTCAGGCTCCCAGACGCATTTGTTTAATCCAGACATTACCAGTGCTATGCAAAGGAGCCGTAGGCGCCATAGACACGGAAGTTGGACAATCATACTTGCCAGGTGACACATGTCAGACATTGCCAAATCGATTTCCAGAACCAGTAGATTGATCCATGCCGTAGTGCCTGAGAATACAAGACCATTTCCAACTAGTCTTGCATCTTGGACGCTGGACGGAGTCAAGTAAAACCGGGTCAAGATGTCGCGCGGTAGTGGAGCAGCTATGCCAGCAGGTGTCTTCATTAGGATATCCAGACACTGGACGTTTCTGACAATCTGGGGGTCAACCCGACGCAGACCATCGGCATCCTCGATCATTCGCAAGGACTGCAGGTTGCAGCCATGGAATATCTGGTAGAAATCGACGTAGACATTGGACGAGTTGGTAATGTCAATGTTCCGTATGCTGGGGAAATAAACCCTGGCAATTTCTGTCGGCAGCTGTCGTAGGCACCGTTTCATGGTAATCTCGAAGCTCAGTGTAATGGTCGTGAGGTTCTTGAAGTTGTACGTCCACTGGCTAGTTGTCTTGAAGTAATTCATCTGAAACGGGCCATTCAAGCATAAAACTTGGAGCTGCATCAAATCCTCGATTGGGTATTCTCGTTTCGCACCAATGCTCTTCAGATACAAGTAGTCGATGATGAGCTTTTTGGGCCGAACAACGCTCTGGGAGCGGGATGGCTGAACTGGACAGGTTACTTGTACACCGAGCAGGTTCTCCTCGTACAGCTTGTGCAGTTGTTTGATGAGCGGGAACAGTCTCTGTGGGATCCTATGCTCAACCACTACAGGGATATGCCCATGGCGGGACAGGCTGTGAGTGAGAGACGTGATGTTGGTCAGGAATGACTTGAACTTGTCGAGCTCGCCATCGGCATACTCGCCCAGCTGGAATGGAGGAGAGTCGGTACCAGGCTCGTAGATACCGGGTCCAGCGAAATGAATGGATTTGATGTTTTTCCAGTCATGTACTTCGAAGCGGAACTGCTTCATCACATCCTTGAGAGTCGGCCTGCACTCGCATCCGCTGTCCATGATGATGAGGAGCTTCTTGGCCGACAGGGTAGCCTTGAGCTTGATAAACTCGTTGACGTTGGACCGCCATTCGATGCCATGGTTCCCAGCACCGTTGCACTGGCCAGTGCGGACGTGCTCGAATGTGACGGTGTCCACGGCTTTCTCAGGCAGGGTGTCCTTCCAGGCACGGCAGCACCAGGATAAGAGGAGAGCAAACTTGAGCCTGTACCTGTTGTCATAGTTGGGCTTCGAGTCCAGGCAGACGTGGCTGAATATCTTGGACAGGACGTGGGTGGGCACCTTGGTGAATGGAGGGGTGGGGGAACTGTTGTATATCATGTTGGAAGTATAAAAGTGGTGGAAGTTGCTATGTGCATGGGGAATGGGGGGTAGTGAGGAGGGCCGGGGCTATTTATCAGGGATTCCCTGGCAGGCGGTGCGTGTGCTGGCTGCCCCATTGTGCGTCCTGGCCAAAAAATATTTCAAAATGTAAAGTAGCAAAAATACACGAAATCCTTCCCATTGTTCAGCCTTTCCGTACTCTCTGGGTGCTGGCAAGGTGTATCATGCGCCAACGTACATGCAGCGGGATGAGGGGGAAACACAGAGAAAACAGGGCTGATGTGCCGGTGTGTAAGGTACGGGTGTGAGGTCATATCCAGAAACTGAGAGAGCCAGCGTGACATCTGGCTGCTCTAGGAGTGTCAGGTGTTGGCCATATGAGCAGGCTGCAGCATGCTGCATGGGGGTCGAGAGAGCGGGAGGCAGGTGGAGCCAGCCCCTATGCACGTACCATGGGTTTCTCCTCATGTTGAGCCGGAGGATGGCGACAAACAAAGGAGTATGCTCACTGCAAATATATGGTGATACAGACGGCTTGTTCAGGTACTGAATAGGGAAGTGTGACATGTAGGAGCTAAACAGACACAAACCCTCAGCTGCGTATATGTGCTCCACAAGGCACAATCGGGTAAACGCTAATGAACTGGTGGCTTACACGACCGTGGGACCTGGTTATTCACAAGGTGTGTGGGGTGGAATATCCAGAGGTGGAGTTGTGGCAAAAGCACCTATTGTTCAGCATTTTCCTGTCAGCCATGCTGTTGTATAAATACAGTATTCAAATGGAGCCGGTTCCAGCTCCAATATTAAAAAATGGAGGAAAAGGCGGTCAAGCAGAAACAAACCAAGGTCCAGAAGAAAGGGTATAGACAAAGTGAAAAAGGAGGTAAAGAGAAGAGCCAGGGTCCAGCGCCTATCGCCAGAGTACTGGGCAGTGGGAAAAAGATCTCTAGGCGCTGTTCCAAGTTCACAACCTCCTTTATGCTTACGACTCAGACTTCTTTGCAGGGATTGACAACCCTGGCATTCGCTATGTGCATGGTGCCACCATTGCCTTGGCTCAGCACAGAGCAGCATATGTCGCAGGGACCTGAAGCAGAGCCAGAGCCGCAGTGGGTACAGTGGGTGCCCCGTCCAGTTAGTCTCTCTTCTGTGGGCATGTCCGAGCCAGTCTCTCTCTTGAATATGCCGCTTGGCGGCTGACTAAGGGCACATGCACGAAGGTTGTCAAAACTTGCATATGCTGATTCGGGATCATGAGCTCACCTAATCTAGCGCTGTCTCACACTCATACTGCATGCCAGTGGCAGCTACTACTACAATACTGCATGCCAGGTGTGCCTGCACCCCTTGGTTTGGTCGTCTATGGATGTACCACCGGGTTGTTGGATCCTTTTGGTATATTCCATATTTGCATTCCAAATCATCTACTCTGTCAAGCGTGTGTCGACTGACAAAAGAGGACGACCCTGACGGTGCAGGGCCATTGCCGTTCTCTCACAGACTGCTAGTGTCTGGAATAGAACAGGCCAGCAGTGATGACATCGTGCAGGACAAGGGATAGCGTCATGACCTGTGTGCAGATCAACGCTGATTGGATCAGTCTATATATAGGCCTGGCCACTACACTCGCTATTGTGTGCAGCTATCAATCCTGCTTTTTAATTTTGGCCCACCCCCACTGCTACATCGGCATTCAAGAATGAGAAATTGCTTTGCTGTCGGCATAGCTTCCAGCGCATACGGTTGAGTGCGAACGGGGAGAGACAAATTCTCTTGCTTCCATTTATAGAAAAGCCTTGCAAAATAGCAATTGCCGAGCAAGCACAAGGCGACGGAGAGAGGCGCAGTTTAGCGTCGTGGGTGCTGGAGCGAGCATATAAATTCCCGAGGCTCCCTACGCTCCTCTTGTGTTCCTTAATCGTTTTTCTAGCGAAATTCTTCAGCCCCTTTTTGGCCCTAGCCAACAATGTCCAAGTCCAGCGCTACCCTCCCTCCGATTGCCGGCCCGACGCCCGCGACCCTGTCGACGTCGCTCAACACCGTGGTTGTTACCCCGAGCAGCGGCTCTGCCTCCACCTTCACCGAGACCTTCTACAACTACCTGCCGGCAACTGCATCCCAGCATTTCATCAAGACGGTCCGATGCGTCTGGGGCTACGTGGTACATGGTCAAGGACAGCGCGGCCCCCACGGGTTCAGTCGAGTCATCAGGCGCCTCCGCCACTGGCAGTGCTGCCAAGACCAATACTTCCAAGACCGGCTCCGCCGTGTCGACCAAGGCAGTGGTTGCGCTGATGCTCGGCGTCATCTCTGCTGGCCTTGCTCTCTAAGCTGGCCCTTAACTTTTGCGGTCTGTTACAGGCAGATTATCGGCTTAATAAATTATATTCTGCGAATGTCCCCACGAGCAAAATCCGAAAGCACTCGGATGCCGATGCGTGTGCCAAGTCCGCACTTGCAATTAGATCGCCTGGTGTCCCCTCGGCTCCATCGCCGCGCGGCAAGTATAAAGGTTGTCCGAGGTTCGTCCCTTTTTCCTTGAGGCAGTTGCACTAAACACTTTGCTACCTTTCCACACCTTTTTTATACAATGCGCAGTGCGGACTTGATCCCATGGCCCGCGACATCGACGCCTTCCCTGCGGGCCCAGAAGCCCCGCGCTCTTGCGCTTGCGCCCCCTTTTTCCGCCCGCTTACTAAAACGCTAAAGTTTATAGCACTTATCACTTTTAACCTTATTCACCACACTTTGAAGATATGAGCACGCCGCAAGCGCCACTGCTATCGGAGACACTACCCATCGGCACAGCCACTGCAGTGTCTACCGACGGGTCGCTGTCAATGATGCTAGTGGAGGCGACCACCACGATAAACTCCGATGGAACACTGGTCACAGCTATTCAGAGACAGACATGGGCAAACAGACCGCCAGCTTCGGCCACAAATGGAGTTTTTGTAACAGTTGACGCTGACAGGCATACATGGTACAGGCCAGCAGACATGCCCGAAGCATGGTCATCAAACCCCGATCATAACGATGACCAGTCGATAAGGTTTCCCCTCAAGATGGCGCTGGGCCCAGTGTTTGCGTTTATCGGATTCATCTTCCTCATGGCACTCTACTTTGCGTGGCGCAAGTACACTCAGCGGAACGATGCGCCAGAAACCAGCCAGGTGCTGCCAACCTCTGCAAAGAAACCCAAGAAGGTATTGCTCACCGATGAGCAATTTGAGAGCTTGCCCACTGAAGTATCCAAGCCCAAAGGTGAGCAGCACCCCGAGACATGCGTGATCTGTCTGTCTGACTTTAAGGCAGGCAAGATCCTGGTCACTTTGCCATGCAGCCATGTATTCCACAAAGACTGTGTCCGCACATGGCTGACCAAAAAGTCCGAGACATGTCCGCTGTGCAAGGAGTCTGTCTGTGCTGGGCTTGGCATTGCAGAGGACAGCGATGGCTCGATCGATATTGTGGAGCATGTGGCTCCATCCGAGCCTGAGCGCGAGCCTGTGCCAGAGTCCCACGAGATGCGGAATATATGAAGCAGCGGCTGGGCATGGGACGCCATGCAGCTGGTACCGTTCAGCCTGAAACTAGATATTGCCACCCTTAGCATTTATGTGGACTGTGTATGGTGGGTGCCAGAGATCAAGTTAGGTTTAGTAATCCATTCCTTTTAAATGCCATTGTGATCCAGAAACGACACCCTGGATGATCAGTACCAGCATGCTGATCATTGGCCGATTTGTGGCGAATCAGCAGCAATGATTGTATGCTAGCATGCGGTACATGTGGTGCATGCGGTGCATGCGGACAAGGCACTTAGCATGATAGGACACGCATACCTGTTTGGATGCCAGCAAACAGGTTTACATCCCTTTGGCCCTGTTCTTCTAGATGTAAAATTCCGTGGCATCGACTTACTCCTTCCAGATATAAACCCGTGTGATTTGCAGAGCTGCCCAGCCCATCCAGCAGGCGCGTAGGTAGCAGCAACAAAAAGGGACCAGCTTGTCTTTTTCACCTCTCTACAAACAACATAGTATCTCACAATAATGCCATTTTTCACCACCCCATCACCTACTGAGCTCACACCGACATTTCCTGCCACGTTGCTGGTCAGGCAGGGCACAGCTGGCGGGGCACATGGGGAGACATGGGTGAATTCGCCTAACACAAACAGAGATATTGAGACGGCTATGGATGGAGCTTTAAGCGACCTGTTGTCATCCTTGACGTCGGCAGGTTCTTTAGGCCCAGTGCCTACCCAGACCACAGGTTCAAGCACCACAGGCCAGTCTCAAGGGAGCCACGTACCCTGGTTTGCGTTTGGGTTCATTGCGGCGCTGGTTGTTATGGCGATACTGTACTTCAAGCTACGAGGATGTATCGGCAATCGAATGGCTCCTACAGCCAGGAACGTCGAGTTGGGTGTTGTGGCAAGGAAGTGCGAACTCCCTGTCATGAGCGAGGAGCAGTTTGGAATGCTGTGCGAGGTGGATAACCAAGGCAAGGAGGCACAGGACTCATGCGCCATTTGCTTGTCGGGGTTTGACAATCCTACCAGCTGTCCTCTGTTCCTTCCATGCAGTCATTCGTACCACCAGGACTGTATCAAGACGTGGCTGACCACGAAATCCGAAAAATGCCCGCTGTGCAAGGATTCAGTTCTGGCTGCACTTGGATTAAAGGTCGAAGAGCCCACTGCTGTATCTCTGTCAGAGCAGGCTCCAGATACTCAGGGCCGCCCAGCTCATGTGCAAGAGCACAGTTAAGCGTCGTGCCATCTGGGAATTAGCGAATATTGAGAGCGACCAAGATATGTTACGCCGCTAGGGCTGTTCCGTCGTGCCCGAGGCAGCTTACTGAGAGTGGTGCAACTTTATCCTGGGCCGTGCGCGGCTTAGGTAAGAGCTCCGTATGCGCACTCGGCGTTTGCTTAAATACCCCTTGCTGGCTCCTAGCAGCAGGGTTTCTTCCTGATTTTTCCAATATATTTTTGTGAACGTTTATGACTGGCTTTACCAGTACCTGCATAGTTTACTACTAGGAAAACACGGTACCTGGTGCTTTTCTCAGAAATTGTGACTAAGGTCTCTTTAGACACGTCCCGTTATTTTTATTATTTGTGGACTGCCATGAGCGCCAATAGAAGGAAGGCTTCTGGCTCCACAGATACTCTTGCTATGGATTTCGGTGGTGACGTCGCATCCCTCCTTGCATAGTTGGGTACATTTTGGCGGTCTTCTGTTGATCATGCCTCCAAAAGAAATGTTCGTCCGACACTTCCAGAGTTCTACACACTCCTTTAACATGCATATTTTGCCAAGCCGTCTATCCGCGGGCTCAGGGAAAAGCATTTAACCCCCGCCAGCCAGTCACCCGAGTGGACTGTTCGATTAGAATCCACCAGATATTCATGGGTTTGCAGGCAAGACAGTGTGATACATAAGGCGTCCTCTCCGCATTCTGCTTTTCATCTCTGCGCTGTGCCCCTTTCCAGTAATTGTAGACTCTACTTGCTTTAATTCGTACTATACTCCATGCCAGTTATACCAAGGAGCACCCATGTGGCAGTTGTTGTGCCTAGTCTTTACGATACATCGTCGGTGCCTTGGATGACGTCAGTCTCTCCAACGAGTTGCAGCATACGGACAATTTCAGAGAATCATTTGCCGACAGCGGATGGCACCACACAGCACGGCCGTCTCTATACTAGGGCCATTTCCAGCGGTACAGAAAGCCAGGCGACAGCAAATGTTGCAAGCGGCAGTCGTGGCGGCACGCAGGGCATGTCGACAGCCAGTGTGATTGGTTTAGTAACTGGGAGTTTGGGAATATTCATCATGTTCACTTTCTACATATTGCGCAGGGCGTATCGGAGACTTCATCTGAATCATCAAAACATGCCTGTCTTCAGCAACTACACGGCGCCCCGGCCTCAGGGATGGAGGAAGCCCCGGCTGCGCACTTTGACAGACGACCAGTTCAAACGTCTTATTTCCTCGTCAGCCATGAACAGCACAGGCGGGATTGAGATTGTTGTGCAAAAAGCAGAGCAAGATGTCTGTGCAATATGCCTTGCAGAGATCGAGGATGATGAGAAACTTTTGAAACTGCCGTGCAAACACAAATATCACCAGGATTGTATCCAGATATGGCTGACTGAAAAGTCGGAGCGGTGCCCTTTATGCAAGAAGTCTGTGCTAGATGCCCTTGGGACTCCAGCCATCGATCCAGCAAGCGTCAATCCAAGCACTCTCCAGTCACCACCAAGAGCGGTTGTCCCTATGCTGTAACACAGGAAATAGCACATATTCCAAATAGGTCAGATGAATTGCGTGTTTTCTGCGACATATATTGATCATATTCACATAATTGTGGAGGATATTAAAATATTTTATATAAAACTATCAATAACAGGCTGCCTCACGGATACCGATATCCTTTCCAGACAGTTGGACAAACTGCTTGATCTCGTCCACACATGTATGGGGAACACGGGCTGTCAGCAACGATGGGATGTGTGGAATCAAGGTGCATAGCCACTTCACGCATACTGGGCCCAAATTCTTGTCTTTGATGGCAAGCGAAACGTACTGAAGACTCATGCTCAGCAGTTCTACGGGCGAATCACTGCTGGTACAATGAGGATGGTAGTCATCTGTAGTTTGCCACGAGTATACAAAGTAATTGATCGAAAGGCTCTTGATGAATGGAAGGCGCAACAAGAGAGCATCAATTGGCTCGAATTCCAGTCTGTCAAGATCCAATTCGACCTCCCGAAGATTCGTCCAGTTAATCGCAGGAAGCATGTACGGTGGAATGCTGACTAGAATGGCCGCCTGAGCCATCGAATCAACAGATAGCAGATGAGAGTAAGGGCTTACCATATGCAGTAGGTACGAGGTACTTTCCATGGGGCGTATTTCCAAAGCGTGCACGTTCCTTATCACTCTGGAGTCTACATACTCCAAATGGGTTCCCATCTCGGCTATGTACAGCGATTCCAACGGCGAGTCGACAAACGCAGTGTAAAAGTCTGAATAATATAGAAGACCATTTAACGCTCTGAGCATTAGCAGCTTGGGGAAACGCAAGCCAAATCTAGCGATGCTCATAGTACCCATGTCGTCCCCCATGCACACGAACTCTAGCACCAGTTCCTTCAACTCTGGGAATACGACGTACCACTCATTAGCATCGCTCCGAAACCAGTCCCATCGGAAACATCTTTCTACATCGGTTACTCGTAGGTACTGTAGAGAGGAGTTTGGAAACCGTAAATCTTGCAGTGCGCCAGCCATGACCGAGGTGCTAATATCCAGCTTCGTGATATCTTGGCGGAGGAGCCCTAATGAGGCTGTCAGATTCCACTCCCGGATGCAGACAGTCATTGACTGGGAGGTGTAATGGTTAATCAGCATTGCACGTAGCGTGGTCCCGCTGGTCCGTGGTAGGCTGTCTAACAAGTAGTTGACATTGCTGATGGAAGGAAAATTGGAGGTGAGAATAGAAAAGACCGAGCCAATGACGCCAGGGTTCCCAGCTTCCGTATCCTTGAATGCGCCCCGCCCAAATTTGAGTAGGCTTACCCTGTCCCAAGAATATGAGCCAAATCGGGTGGCTTCCATTGCTGCCGAAAACGAAGAAGTGCCCTTGCCGTCGATATCGTATATGTATAGCTCCCTCGTTTTACTAGACAGGCCCATTGCAGTAATGAGCTTGATGTTGGATATCCATTTGTAGCTGGAAGGTGAATTGTTACCAGCGTTCTGGTGTGGTACCCGCTTGCATTCAGCTATAGCTGTACGGCATATGTGCGCAATAAGACGGAACCTCCACTGACGGCAGACTGAGGCTAGTTCTATCATTCTCAGGAATGAGCCCACCACCCCTGTTTCCTCGTGGCTTCCTTGGGCAGCATAAAGTAAAATGCCCTCCAGCATTCTGTCGCAGGCCACCGAGTTGATATTGGCTACGGTCTTGGACATTGTACTGCTGATATTTGTTGAGATAGATTGGAGAGAGAGTCGTGAATTCAAGCTGTAGGTGTCTGTGTGTGCACTGGAAGAAATTCTATCCCTGCTGTCTTTTAACTGAGAACCTGGACACCCTGCTGTACTGCATGTTGCGAGTGAGGATCCTCGCTTGAACAATAACTTCAGATAAGCGACCAAGCCACAGCGGTTATTGGTGTACCGTCTGTTAGGAGCGGCATCTAGAAGCAGGACACCGGTTGGCTGCCACGAAATAGCGCCAGAGGCTACTGCCTAGCTGTCTTGTGTACTGGCACACTGTCTTCCTGACTGCCCCCCTATTGCGGCCATTGCTCGGTGGGGAGGTGGGGGATAGGTTGTAAGAGAAATTGGACAATACAAGTCACTTGCGTTGTGTGGATTCAAATAGCACACTTCTAGAGGGTTACATGTCTCATGTAGAGTGGTGGTTGACATGTTGACAAGGGTTTGTAGAGAATAATGGTGTCTCGCTGAAAGCAGCATGATTACCTTTAGTATTATCAAGTGTGGCAGACCTCAAATAGTGCTGTTGACGCTATGGCGCAAGCTCGACTACCCAGACAATTGGTAATAAAACTTGCATGATGGCAAAAGTACGTCTCCTTCAGCCGTAATGCACTGAGCGCAGGTTCCTGCTCGATACTACAGGATAAATGTAAAAATGGTAACTGAGACCCGCACACACCAGCCACCACAGAAAGGGAGCAAATGCGTGGTTTAGGCACTGCCAGCTATCATTGTTGAACCTGGGGCGAAAAGCAGTTGTGTTTTAGTCAATGCTCGCCTGGGAATCCACAAAACAAAGTGGCCGCACACTATACACATGGATCCCTTTTTGGACGCATGTACCGCTCTGTCTGCAACGGGCCAGCTCTGCGAACCAAAGACCCAATGGGCAACAGGCTGGGTAAACAGCAATTGCTGGGTTCGCCACCGCCACAGTGTGGCCAGCACTCATGGATGCTATATCAGCCTGCTTCTGTGAATGTGAACAAACCCAGTAGGTGCTGTCCTGCCTACGTTATAATTGGCCATAGTTTGCCAGGTGATGGGTGAGCGCGTGGCACTAGCACATGTGTGCTATACTGATGCTAGTCGACAAGTACAAAACAGGTATGGAGCTTTTTGGGCAGTTTGAACAAAGAAAATCTCTAGTGGCCGTGCAATTTATGGTAGAAAAAAGCGACATGGCATGTCCGACGCAACTGAGCAAACCACACAAATGCAGCGGGAATCTCTGGGAAAAGGGAGCCTATTCGGCCCGCTATTGCACATCGCAATTGTGGTTTTTCCTTCGAGCCACATGCCTGTCGCTCACCTCCATTCAAAATCCTCAGCAGCACCTCTCAGCCTCTCTTGATATTTGTCTGCATGGATCATATCCCTTTCTCTTTCCCCGCCGTCTAGTCACCTCTTTTATTCTTTCTGACAGGTCGAATGCCATGTCGCTGGAACCTACAATGACGGCTTCAGCAGCCATGCCTAGTGCTACCAGACAAGTGGACGACCAATCGCCATTGTCGATGAAGACATTTACAATTCCTATCACACTAGCTTTTACCATCGTCGGATGTGTGTGCATCGGGGCAATCATATTCTTCCTCAGGAGGCGCCAGTGCGACAAGCGGCGACGCGAGCAGGAGGAAGCCGAAAGGACAGCCGGTGAAGATGCACGTATCGAACTGAGCGTGCGGAACAAGGTGTCAGAGCTGCGACTGATGGATGAAATGCAGTTCGGTATGCTACATGTCGAGTTTGCCCAAGGCCAGTTGTTCTATGCCGAGCGCACGGCGCGGGAGCCCGATTCATGTGCTGTATGCCTGGTCGACATTCAGGCCGATGATCGCATGGTCTATCTACCGTGCGACCACGGGTACCACCAAGAGTGTGTGAGACTGTGGCTAGTGCAGAAATCTGAAAAATGCCCGTTGTGCAAAAAGTCGGTGCTTGCGGGACTAGGTATGTTGACTGCGGTTTGCAGCACTAGGGATAGTGAGTATGATGGTGATAGAATGCACAGCGAGGGTTAGAGCAAAAATAGAATACATGCCTCGCTACGTTTTCGTAGACAAATACATGTAGTATGTACCGGCGGGCATACGCCACATATACTGCGCTTTATCTTGCTGAATGGTAATGTAGAACAAGAGTAGACAGTGCTCACAACAAATGGTTGGCAATTGTTTTTGGAACAGCGTCTCGGGGGTTGCTGGGCCATGGCGAAAAATGCAGCTTGCGCGAAAAAAAACTGGCTGCCTTCAAGTCTGTGCAACCTCTCATTCACAAGCCGATCCTCATCGACAGCTTGCGTGATGATGCTGAAAAAGCGGCAAAGCGACATGCTTGTGACATCGATTTCCTCTCTTCATCACACCACAGCTCTATAATATTATTTTCATCACTTTTATTTTTCAACTTGATACTAGCCAGATAACTACCAAACCATGTCCTCAATGTCAAATACCTTCAGCAGTGGGGCAGCAGACTTCAGTGCCAGTCAAACGCTGCCGTCAGCGACCAGCTACCCGGTAGCCACCGAAAGTATGGGTTCCGGATGGCTGTCGACAAGGCAGGGAATAATCATCGGCGTGTGTGGTGTTGTCCTAATAACAATATCGCTGGTTTACATGTCCAAGTACACCACACGCAGCCGACGAACCACACAGGCAGCAAGTCACGGCATGCACACCCGCCATATCACAATAGAAATGGAGCCGCGACGAATGCAGCACAAACTGCCGCTCCTGCCCGAGCACGCGCTCAAAATGCTGCACGCTGAAACTGTCAAGGACAAGCAGGTCTCAGACGAGACGGATCCGTGTGCCATTTGCCTAGCCGAGATTGCATACCAGGAAGTGATGATGGAGCTGCCATGCCGCCACCGGTTCCACTATGACTGCATACGGAAATGGCTGACGACCAAATCCGAGCAGTGCCCGTTATGCAAGGGCTCGGTGCTGGCTGCGCTTGGAATCAATGCCGACACCCCGCGGCACAGCACAGATCAGGCAGCGGAGACTGCAGCACCTGCGGAACAGCAGAGTGGTGTTGCCGAGAGGAGCACACAGCCCGAAGTAGCAGTACCGGAGAGGGCCGCAGTGAGAAACGTCTAGAATAAAACAGCGAGATTAGAAAAAAAAACGCATGACTAATCACATTTCGCGTCAAATATTTTCCAGTGTCTTGGCAGCGAACGATCTGCGCTTGGGCACTGAAGGGTATAATTGCCAACGATCGATGCGATCGTATAAATTCCAGACATGTAGTCGGCGTTGGGCCACACCAAAAAAAAAAACAAAACCTGTCCTCCAATATATCCCATATACCGCCATGTTTCCACACTCGATCCAGCGACTAGCTGCAGCCAGGCAGCCACTTGGCAGCCAGCAAATGACACAGCGCTTAGCACATGTGCAGCGGGGCAAGCAGCCACGTACGGCCTACCTACGGCGGCGGCAAGCTGAAAACGAGAGGCATCAGCGGCAACAGCAGCAACAGCAGCAACCACCACAGTATAGTCTGCCGATAGCACCATCCGGCAATGTTTTGACAGAAAGCAGCCCAGCTGCACATATCCTTTCGCAGTCGTCGTTGCGAGTAACGCGGCAGCTCGAGATGCTCAACATCTTGCTCAGCTACGAGCAGGCGAACCGGTATGCGCTGATGGATTCGCAGAGCAACCCGGTGGGGTTTATGCTGGAGCACCGCACGTTTGCGCATGAGCTGATGCGGCAGGCATTCCGTCTGCACCGGCCGTTCAAGGTGGATATTGTGGATCTGAACGGGCATCTTGTGATGCGCGCCGAGCGGAAATTCAGCCTGGTCAATTCGCGAGTGACGATTAGCGACCATTCAGGCAAGGTCATCGGCGAGTCGCAGCAGGAGTGGCACTTGTGGCGACGCCGGTATGATTTGTTTACAGAGACAGCGGCAGGGAGTGAACGGCAGCAGTTTGCACGCGTGGATGCGCCGTTCTTGTCGTGGGATTTTCCAATGGTGGACCAGAGCGGGGAGGTGATGGCGGGGGTGTTCAGGGACTTTGCAGGCATCGGCATGGAGCTGTTCTCGGACTACGGGCTGTACGCGATCTGCTTTGACAAGCTGGCTCTGGCGCAGCGGTATCAGGGCGAGGCAGCCAGCCCGCAGATGGCCGATAGGGATCTGAACCTCGATGAGCGCGCGGCAGTGCTGGCGGCGGCAATTTCGATCGACTTTGACTACTTCTCCCGCCATTCACGCATGGGTGGCGGGGGGTTTGGGTTCTTCCCGTTCTTTGGAGGCGGCAGCAATGAGCTGACAGACAGCCAAGACATAGATATAGACACGTAGACAACATGATACATGGTGGGGGGTTTCGTTATTTTTTCGAAATACATTTATTGCAACCCAGCCGAAAGCTGCCGAATGGATAGTTTCTCGTTTGCGAGTGCCTCGCGGATCTTCGCCAGACGGTCGGCCAAAGCGGCCGTCTTGTCACTGCGTCCATCAGTATCCTTGGAGTCGATCTGGCCGAGCTGCCTCTCCAGCTTGCCCTGGACGGACTTGCCAACCATCAGTCTTTTGGACACCTCCTTAAGATCCCTGCGCACGGGCTCCAAGGCGCGATCAGCAGGCTCGATCTTTTGGTTGATCTTGGCCAAGCCCGAAATCCACCGTGCGCGCTCCTGCTTGAGCTCCTGCAGCGAGTCCTCGTGCATATCCTGGGCGCGTCTGACCAGGTGCTCAACATGGCGCAGCTGGCTGAGCGCCTGGGCAAGCTGGACACGCACAGCCTCGACAGACCCCGATGATGAGGAGGAAGTGCGGCGCGAGTGCTTCGGGGAAACCTCCGGCGTCGACTCGTCGTCGAGCGCAGACAGCACGGCAAAGACGCCGGCCGGCTGCTGCGCGACAACCGTGGAATCCGTGTCATCAGCCACGCCGGTAGCGTCGTCAGGCTCGGCCTCTTGCAGCGCCTGGTTGAGCTCCTCGACCTCGCGGTTAAGCTGCGCAATAGTTTCCTCGAGCTGACCGTGCCGCTTGCGGAACCGCTGCTCGGCTTGCGTCTGGCGGACGATCGCGCGCCGCACCGACTCGAGCTCGCTCTCCCAGTGCGCAATCTGCTTGGGCAGCTCGCGCTTCAGCTTCCGCAGCCGCTGGACAGCAGCTGCCCGGGCCCGCTCGACGTCCTCGAGCCGACTGACGTACAGAGCCTGCAGGGTCTGCTCGGCGCGCTGCTCCTTGGCCAGGACAGATTCTTCCGAGGGCAAAACCACACGCAGTTCCTCGCTGCGCATGCCACAAACGGTCACGCAGATAGTGTACGTTGCGTTGACGGCCAGCCCGCGCACCAGAATCGCGTGGTTCAAGGACGCCCCTAGCTCTACATCGGCCCAGCGCACGCCATCGACACGAACCACGACGTCAGACCGTGCCAGCTGCACCCGCGTGTAGTCAAACTGCGGATCCGCCACATCACTCGCCGATGACGCGGGGAGTTTGGCTAGCGGCAAGCTCGCAGAGTGTATGGCGCGCGATCGGGCCGCCACCGCACTGACCAGCGACGCAGGTACGCAAACCGAGGCCGTGGGAGCAGTCCGCGGATGGGCCAGCAGCAGGTGCGCCAATACCGGCGTCACCGCAATGCTCACGCGCAGCACACCTTCCTGCGGGCGAATATCCTCCAGGCACAGGCGGAATGTGCCAGCAGTGGGCGCGCGCACAGAGCCCAGCGGCGTCGGCTTGACCAGAATCCGCGCGGGCCGATAGCTGACCTGCCCGCTGTCGGCGTTTCCGTGGCCACCGGCGGGAGCGCCAATGAACGGCCTGCTGCCGGGCGTGTGGCCGTTGGCTGTGGGCTGGGCCAGCTGCGCATACGAGGTCGCCGACGATGCTAGCAGCGCGTTGGCAGCAGCCACAGCGCGCGGGTTCGCAGGCACAGTGAACCGGCCAAAGATCAGCGGCAGGACCGACGACGCCGGATCCTCGTCGGCAAACACCACCGATGCCGGATCTACAGGTCGCACCAGCCCCAGGCTCTTCAGTTCCCTGACATACTGCACCAACGGCAGCAGAGTGCCGATAGGAGAGGAAAACTCGTGCTGCTTGTCCTGCCGCGCCGTGCGAGATACAAACGCCGAGGGGCCAACGCCATGTACTGACCGGCAGGGGCAGTGGGCGACGCTCGAGACGACCCATGCATCCAATGCCTTGGCGCGCTTGCTGCCCCCGGAGGCAGCCAGCAGGGGAGCTGTCGGCGCATTGAGCGCGGGGTTCAGAAGCCCGAGACTCAAAAGCGAGTCGCGCAGCGGTGGAAGGCCATTGGCCGGCTCCACCGCCAGCGGGTCGCTGGTCGGGATAGCGACCGGTGCTGGCTTTCCACCCTTGCCGGGTCCTGCCGATCCGCCAGCTGTGGGTCCACGCAGTCCTTTGCGCCGCACCATCAACGAGCCGTGGTCCGAGCCACTGACGCTCCCCTCGCGCTGATGCCCGCTGCTGCCAGCCTCGCCTTGGGCCGACTGGGGGTGGCTATGGTTGCCGGGGTTGCCGGTGGGCCAGATCTCCATCGACAGGAGACACCGCTCGCAGTACCCGCTCAAGCACAAAAAGCACACGCGCCGTGCATATGCTGCCCTACTGCCCGGATCTGCCTTGCCGTCATCGCTGCTCTCAGCATCGCTGGCCGCAGTCAATTCGCTGGTGACCGTGATCTTCCGTGTGTTGCGTCCAGCCGTCCTGGCCACCATATACGGCCCGCGCCTGCGCTCCCGCACCACAGTTGCATACCACGCCCGGGCATTGTGCACCACATACCCGGCCTCTCGCAAAGCCAGCAAGGCAAACACGCTGATTGTGTGAATCGGCAACAAGCAGCTGGCGCCCGAACATGCCGGAAACAGCGACGTCCCACTGCCCACAAGCAGGCAACCGCAGAACCGGAACACGCCGACCGCCACCTCCCATATACAAGTAAGCACTGCTAATGTCGCCTGCTGCTCGGCGTTCCAGAACGCCTTTGTCCATATGCTGCATCTGCTGATGGCGCCCACGCTGTCCACCATGTAGGAGCTGCTGTCGCGAATCGGCTTGGTGCAGGCGCCTGCGCAGCCGCCCAGCGAGCTGTGGCCGTTGCGCAGAGCCATGTCAAGCATCAGGAGAACCGCCACTAACTGCACTGCCTGCCACGACGGCCCGCGCGCCTGCCACACCAGCACCACATACACGGAGAGCGTTGCCAGCACTGGCAGCAGCCGCGAGCCATTGCGCGCCTGCGAAATCTCTCCAGTGTCGTCGTCGTCGTCGTCGTCATTGCCAGAGAGCATGGTCATTTTCCATTCATGCAGTCGCCGCATCCGCTCGCTACGCCGCATTACCATCGCCCGCTTGCGTTCCAAGGCCTCCTCCACTGCATTGGCAAACGGCGACCGGATGTTACGCGGCAACCCACTATCAGCACTTTCTTGGACTGTATCCACTGACTCTGCATCGAGTTTGCCAGGGCTTGCGTCGGTGGCACCGGTGGTTGAGCATAGTCCAAATCTATCCCATGAGCCGGAGCAAATAAGCGTGTCGGCCTGGTGGTCTATAGAGAGCGTTGGGACCATCAATGGCGGTGGTGTTGTAATCCCAGTAGCCACTCGACACACGTCATCCCGACACTCATATGAGGGCGCTGTATACGCTGCCAGATGCTGCTCGGCAAAATACTGGCTGCTGCCAACCGATCCGGGGCCTAGCAAGCGCCACAGCACCATATCCGACATGACAAAGAACCCCGCGTACACCAGAACCGCACGGTAGCCAGCTGCCGAGCACCGCTTCAGGACCTTGAGCGAGAACAGCCCAAAGAACAGCCATTGCACGGCATACGGTCGCGTCATCGGCACCAATGTGCCAGATACGTACATTTGCATGCGCCACACAAAATCGTCGATCCACAGCTCGCTGCTCAGTATTCGCCGTCGCAGGAGCATGCGCAAACTGCTGTCATCATCCACCAGCTCCGGAAGCATCACGGAAGCCCGCAATACAAACGACTCAGAGAACGGCGACCACGGCCGCGCCGTCACCCACGACACCAGCTTGGGCACTGCAGCGCTGGTCAGGAACCAGTCGGCAAACACCATCGCCAGCCACGCCAGCACCAGCGCCATCAGTGGGTGGCTCCGTGCAAACCCAATCGCTGCAAGGTGCATGCCGCCCTGCTGGCCCGCGGTCTCGCTCAGCCGGCGGTTACTGCTGGCTGCTGTAGTAGCACTGCCGCCGACAAACGACGGCGCAAACCCGTGAACTGAAGCAGCCTGGATCTCGCCCATTCCATGAAACTGCTCCTCGTCGTCCAGCATCAGGTCGCCCACGTTCGCCCTCCTGTGCTCTGCCAGCATTCCGGAATCCTCGCTCTTCTCGCCGTCCGCCCTCGACGAGGAGCCGCCAAACACCTCGGTTACTTCGGACACGAGCTTCTGCAGCTGCGTCCAGGCGCTCTTCCTTGCCTGACTCGACACTGTCCGGGCTGGTTGCCTGCCTGGCTCCTCGCTTGTTGTCGCGGGCGTGGCCACGAGATCAGGCGACTGCGACATCATTTGTAGGCGTGGCCACGGAATCTGCCACCCGGCATCCTGTGCTGCTGCATCTGCCATCCGCTCGGCGTCGGTGTCTGTCGTGCGCTGAAAGAACCCACCCAGTGTTGTCAACAGCGACGGTTGTTGCCCCAACGCCTCTTCGCCCTCGGTCCGCGCTGCTGCTGCTTCTGTTGTTGTTGTTGTTGTTTCCTCCTTCTGCCTCGGTCCGTCACCCGAATCCTCCATTAGAAGAAAAAAAGGACTACAGTATTCTCCTGCTATCAGTCGATAACAGGAAATACTCTAAAGCGTATAACGAACTGCTTTTTTCCTACACAGCACGTACCAGCCCTCTCTCCCTGTTGAGTAATAAGACGCTCACTGAACTCTCCCCCGTTGGAACAGAACAAAAAGGAACCTCGGTAGGGGACAGCAAAGGGTGTGTGTATATGCCGCCTATCTGGCTTCGGATAGGCTGTTGTCGGGGGAGCTCTGAGTCTACCGAATGAAAGCTCTAAGCCAGAATGGCCTTTCCAAAAAAGAGAAAAGTAGGAATTTGAATAGCTTGGAAAAAGAAAGAGAAAGCGTAGAAGAAAAATAATTCACCAGGAAACAGCGAACAGGCAAATCCCTGTCACTGTAGAATCAAAGCCTTTTTTCGCGGCTGTAGCTCGCAGCGCTTTTACGAATCCCAGCCTGGTTCCGTCCTGTGCAACCCGCTGTGAGAAACGAGCTTTGTAGCCTCGCCTCTTCCTTGTTCTTGCAGCACGACCGCTTCTTCCACTGATGCTGCGTGGCAAGCGCACGGATGTTTAAAAAGCTCACCACCAGCCGGCGCTTTCCTCATGTGAGCACGCTGCCGCGTCATGGACCGAAAAGAAAAATTTAGTTCCAAAACAGGCAAACGAAGAGTCTGTTCTTCTTTCTTGTTACATGACGATACAGCACGCATTAGTCTTCTTGGCCGTCTTGTAGAACATCTTCGACTGGTCCGACAGCTGGTTCGACCGGTCAACCAGGGACTCGAGCTTCTCGCCGCGCTCCAGAATCCCCTCGATTGTCTTGTGCAGCACCACCTTCGTCTCATCCAGCTCCTGCTGCACCCGCATGATATTGTCCGCCTGCTTCGGGTCCTGGTACTTGCGGACGTAGTCGTCCAGCGCCGGGAACGCAATCTTGTCGGCGCTCGCGATCCGCTCCGCATTGAATTCCTTCGTGAACTCGTCCAGGATCTTGGCCACCAGCGACAGTGCCACGCGCGCCGGGTACTCCTTGTCCGTCACCGCCACGCTCGACAGCCCGCCTGGTTGCCGGTACACGTATGCCACGTAGTTGTCCTGGTCCACGCCCTGCCGCTGCCCGTCCTGCGTGCGCTCTGCCACCGTTGTTGCGAAGAAGTTCATGAACTCCTGGATGCTAAGCTTGCAGATGTCCGGAGTTGTTAGTTGCTGGGAATGTGCTTTCTGCATCTCGCGGCTCTCTGCCTCTTCGAATTTCGCCTCCCAATTGTTTCTTACCTTCCGCGCTGGAAGAAGCTGAACGATGACAGGTCGCTGGCAGTGGCGAGTGGCACGCTGGGCGTCGGTGTGGTGCGAACAACGGACAAATGGAAGACCTTCATTGGGAGTAAGAAAATAGGCTGGAATATGTAAAAATGCGAAGAGTTGAAGAAAAGGAGGAGTTTAGAAAAATGGCTGGAGCTTGGCGATCACACCTGAAAAAAGAAAAACGTCCCGCGAAGCTGGACAAGGCCCAAGCGTCATTTCTCTCAGCCGTCATCGGCAGACAAGAAGGGGGCTTTTATTTATCACAGCAGCCTGCCAAATCCCTCAGGCGCATTTTCAAAGACAGAACATTATATTGCTGATAGTCGTGGTAGGGATCCCGCCCAGACACGGCAGGCTCCGAAGCTCGTGCATAGTCTGGCCGGTTGCCCACTCCACAGCTGTACCCAGGCCGAGCAGCCCGGCAATGGCCATCGCCCACCTCAGCGCCTTGCGGTCATCGATCTGGTCCAGAATCTGCGAGCCCCGCACCCTCATCACGCCATTCCGGGCCAAGCAGTGCTGGTCCATGGACCAAGACTCGGAGAAGCTAATGGCCCTCGAGCAGGACGACGCGAACCGGCAGTTTGTGCATGCTAAGGCGCGCGCACTGGCGAATCTCCTGTCGGCAGTCCCCTGCTTACCTAATCCAGCAGGCATGCTCGGCCGGTGCTTGCCCAAAACACCTACAGCCTGTGTTCCCAAAAACCGATGTAGGTCGGCCGGACTGATCTCGAGCTCAATCGTTTTTCCGCCAGCCCTGGGCTCGTCCCGCACTGACAGAATCCGGGACACGTGCAGCTTCTGGGAGTCCTCTGTGGGCTGTGTAATGGGCTGTGTGCTCTGTGACAATGTCTCGACCATGCCGGTGGCGACCTCGACAGCGCTTTGCAGGTCGCGTAGTAGCTCCTCGGTTTCCTCGGCTGGGGTTTTAGGGGGCTCGTATTCTTTGCTTCCGGCGTCTTTCAGAATGTACTGGATTTCGTCCATGATCTGCGGGGTCATCGGGTCTGCCAGTAGTTCAGGGTACCCAGTGTGGAAGCTCTCTGTGGCGGATGTAGTGGTGGTGCTTCGCATCATAGGCGCAAGCACGCTGGCGAACCGCAACCCGTGGGCGGTGATCCGGGGAGCTATGTTGCGCAGGGTCTGGTTCAAAAGGCTCATATTATGTGCAGGCTGGAGAATAGTGAACAAATGAACAGGGTAAAAACAGAAAATGTATGGCCGGGAGATGAAGGGGGAATGCTATCATTCTGGTAGATGGCAGGCTGCGGGGAGGAGCAAGCCGCATTTATATCGCACGGCTGTTGTTCCTTGGGATTCTGTTACTATCGCGCACCCATCGGCCAAGAGTCTGCTTGCAAGAAAGAGCCATTAAAGGACGATCCGCCAGGTGGTCTGACAGCTAAAAAGAACCCATTGAAAGGAGAACGGTGATTTCCAGCAGGTGGCGTGATGTCCTTCCCCCAAGAGACGGGAGCAAGTCCGGCGGGGGATACCACTCATCGCTTTCCAGAATCCTCCTAGCGCAGGGAGTTAACCGAGAATGCAGGCGGCGAGCATTGCAAGATTATCTTTTAAGTTTTAGGGTAGCACGGCTCGGCAATATGGATCGCGCAGCCAAGCCACAGGGTATGTGGATACTGGCAAAGCAGGCCAGCAGGTTTTCCTTTGTGCCAGCGTGTAGATCCGAACAAGTACAAAATGTCGGTTTTTGGAAGGAGAAAAAGGATGGGCCATTCTGTCTCTTGTTGTCATAACAAGCAACATAGCCTGGGGTGCAATACGGAAAGAACGACGTGTGCGGATCAGCACCAGGAACTTCTTTCACCTCCACTATTTTTGCTAACCACAGTTTTTCTAATCAATTTTATTGCTCGCATTCTTTCCACTCGCCTCGTAATAATAGCCCACTAACAGCTAATGTCCACACATGGCCAGCATCACATATATGCCAGCCCTGCAGCATCACAGTCAAGCACGCATCGCACAGCCTCGCTCGACATGGGCACGATGCACGGCAACAGCTCAATGGACTCGATCTGCTCGGTCGAGATGAGCCGCGAGGCGATCTCGCGCACGACGTTTTCGCGGCGGCCGTTTTCGACCGAGGGCCAGAAGCAGCGGCGCGACTACCGGCTGCCAAAGAGCCTTCGGCCGACGTCCATGTTCCATTTGAAGCTCCGGTACGACATGCCGTGGAGGGCGTCGGAGCGGCCGGCGGATCTGGGGGCTAGGATCGAGTGCCAGTGCAGCGACCAGGACTGCGCGACATGCGGGCTGGATATTGCAGATATGTGGAGTAATTACGAGCGGGCGGTGGCGGCCAGGCAAGGTAAAGTAGCTCGAGGGGGAGGCGCTTACTGCTGTAATTGGCTTTCTTTTGGAACGGAAAAAAGAGCGTAATTGCAATTCTGGCTTTTGCGCTGGTGTCCGGTTTCGATTATTTGTCGGCGTTGTATTTAGAGTCTGGGTGCTGCTGCAGAATGGCCCAGGAGCGTTTGTGCTGACTTTTTTCTCTTTCTCTCTCTCTCCCTGTGCAAGCTATTATTATTATTAGACGGCAGCGTATCTGCAGAAAACCTGCTTTCGCCGCCGGCGTTTTTACGTCTATTTCACCAAAACAACAAACCGTGCATCCCGCTGCCGACAAACAACCACCTGCTGATTGAACCGGCAAGCAGCGACAGTGGCGTGGGCGAACACCAAACAACGAAAACACCAAACACCTCAACGGCAACAATCGCGCAGCTAATGGTCGGTCTGACCGACGAGTTCCTGGGCGGCAGCAATGCTCCAGCAAAGTCGCCATCCAGCAAGCGGCTGTCAGTCGAGATTGTGTCCGGCGACGCCAAGCAGGGGGATAGGGCACACGCGGCGGAGGAGTTTCCTGTGCTGGGCCGGTTCAGCCCGCCGAACGAGCCGCAGTCCGACGCCCTGTCGTTCCGCACGGCCCTGTCATCCTTGCCAGCACAGTCACCGGCCAGCTCCATAAACGAGCTGGCAGCAGACCCGGCACTTGATGACAGTCCTGTGCCGCCAATGGGCACGGTGACGCAGCAGCTCAGCATGATGCAGGTGCTGAGCCAGACACCCGAGCCGGTCATCTACTCGGTGTCGCCGCAGTCGCAGAAATCGGTTCCGGTAGTAGAGCGGGCCAGGCGGGCCCGCCACCCGGTGTACCGGTTCGGCGCTTTGGCCAACGAGACGTTCGAGCAAGGCAAGCACGAGAACGCCCATGAGCTGTACTCCTGGGCGCTGCTTTTGCTGAGCCCGCGCGCAGGCACTACGGCCCGGGAGATGCTGGCATCGGAGCCCACGCGCAAGCAGCTGGCCAGACTCGGGTGGAAATGCGAGGAGGCGTGCATGTCGCCCAGATCGTCCATCAGCAGCCAGCCGGGCAACACAGCAGTGAGAAGGTCATGGCTGAAGCTCCCGCGCCGCAGCAAGCCGACTGTCATTGACCAGCCGCTGCCGGCGGCCGTGGGCTGTGGCCGGTACGAGTTCTCGCAGGCGCTGTTGAGCCAGGTCGAGGATGAAGTCAGGCGCAAGAGCGATGTCGAGAGGGCGCTGGAGATCTTGGAGGGCGGAAGGGCCGTCAGCAGCGAGGCGGCGGATCCGTGGGTTATGGAGGACGAGGAAGAGCGCAGCGAAGTGTGCGCGCTTCTCTACAGCAACCGTTCGGCGGCGGCATTCGCCCTAGGCAAATACACGGCGGCCATCAGTGACGCCGAAAAGTCCATTGCGATGCGTCCGGAATGGGCAAAGGTAAGCCGGGGGGTCATGCGGGAGCGTTGGCGTAACTTTTTCTCATCTGCACACTGGGACAAAATGGGTTTTGCTGCGTAGGGCTATTTCCGCAAGGCCGAGGCATTGCTGGCCTTGGCGCGCGTGCGTGACGCCTACGGGTTTTATAAGCAGGCGGTGGCGATGGAGCCGAATGATCCGCATGTGCGGGTGAGCTGCGAGCGGGCGCGCATTATGGCCAGGAACGAGGAGATGGGGCTGCGCGTGATCCAGCTGCTGCCGGGCAGAGACATTGCGCTGAAGCCGAAAGGGCTGCATCCGATACGCAGCAAGATTTTCGAGTTCGCCGTGGGCATGCAAAACTACATATATCTGGTGGTGGACAGCGACACGCGCAAGTGCATAGTGGTTGATGCGGTAAGTGATATGTGCACGAGCTTATTAAAGAGCAGGCATGTGCATGGCACCCATGCTTGCTCGTCCACGAGGGCGCAGTGCTTGGATACAGGTGGAGGTTTGCCGCTGGTCTGTGCTCTTGAAACATGCCGAAGAGAAAAAGCGATCGGCTGGTCATGCCCCGAAGGTCGCATTGCCCAAATGGAAAAAAACAACTCAGAGTCCAAGAACGTGACCAAGAACAAAACCAGCTAACCCCCGCCGATCACCACTTCTGCTACATCACTTTCTGCGCTAGTGCTGGGACGTCGACGGGATTCTGGCAGTGATTGAGCGCGAGCAGCTGCTGCTGGCGGCGGCAGCGATCACGCACGGGCACTTTGACCACACAGGCGGGATTCCGCCAGCGCCCTTCTCGTCCCTGCGGATCCGCGTCACCGGCGTTGGCGAGCTGAAGCGACGGCTGCCGCACCTCCCCCTGCTGGTGCATCCGCTGGACATGCCCGAGGTGGCCGCGTCGAACCCGCAGCTCAAGCCGCAGCACTTCACGCCCACGCCCAACGGCTTCACGTTCCGGCTAGGCCAGCGCACCGAGGTTAAATTCATGCACACCCCGGGCCACACGCCCGGCAGCCAGTGCCTGCTGGTCAACGAGTGCAGGCTGTTTAGCGGCGACACGCTGTTCCCGGGCAGCTGCGGCAGGGTCGATCTGAAGGGCGGGTCGATGGCCGATATGGTCGAGAGCCTGCAGACCAGGCTGAGCGCTGTCGCCGACGCTACCATTGTCTATCCCGGCCACGAGTATGGCGGCGAGTGGACCAGCATTGGCAGGGAGAAAAAGAGAGGGTTTCTTCGGCCAGTCGGCACCGCGGGCTCGGCTCAGGACAAGTGGGGGAGGCTTGACGACGGACCCTGCCGATAGCGCCCCCCGGCTGGCCAGGTTGACTCGGTTTGTTGTCTATTAGGCACGCAGAGTTCCGCGTTTTTCTTTTGTGTTTGTGCTTGCTGTCAAATCCGAGAGTTTCGGTATTTTTTTTTTGCGGCTTCCCTTTGACTGCGGGAAGCGCATGACCACTGAATGAAAAATGTAGAGAAATCATGCCCCAAGATATTTCTGTTTGCCGGGCAATGATAGGCGTGTAGACGAATCAAAAGCCCCTGTCGCCCAGGCTTTTCTCCTTCCAGTGGGGTGATGAGCCAAAAATATTTCTTACAGTCCCGCCTATAGCGTGGAAAAGGCTGCCTATAAAGGACCGGCTCCGTCCTCTTCCCAGCATTCTATGACTCGCTTTTGTTTTTCATTTCACACAACCTAAGCACCCACACTACTATACCCATTACTACGCCTAATAATGTCGCAGTTTACTCGCACAGCCCTTTCCCTGCCCCGCCTCACACCAGGCCGCCAGGGCCGGCGGTTCGCCAGCGTGCTGGCCACCCACCACACACCCAGGGGCACGGGGATTCCGCCGCTGGGCGGCATGGCGCCAACACAAGCAAAGAAGCCGTATGCGTTCCGGCACCAGGGCCCGATGCCGGAGGCGCCGCAGGCGCTGGACCGTCTGCAGTTTATCCTGGGGCAGAAGCCGCTGGAGTCGCCGGTGGCGAAGCGGGCAGAGGTGCGGACGGCAGCCGAGGCGCGGGAGCGCGCGCGGCAGCAGCTGGAGGAGCTGCATATGGTGGTGCAGAATGCGTCGAGCGTGATGAGCGCGCTGTCGCGGGCGTCGGAGAAATACCTGCAGCCCAAGAGCGAAGATGGAGCGATCGGGCAGACTGGGGGAAAGGTGGAGCAGAGGCAGGCGGATGCAGGCAGCACAAAGATAGTGCAGTGCGTGGGCGGGGAGATCGCCAAGGCGCCGGAGAGCAAGCGTGTGGAAAGCACGGCGGCGGTTGCGACGGCGGGCAGCTGGAGCGCGGTGCAGCAGCAGAAGGTGGCGAGGATTCTGCTGGCGGTGCTGCTTAGCGGCAGCAGCCTTAGTCTGTTCGTCACCCAGACCATGGGCCTCTGAGGCCCCCTCTCCTTCTCTCTCTTTGCAATTAGACCACATATTCGTTTTTTCTTTGTACTTTTTCTCTTTAAAATCCATAGACCAGAACCATCTTGTCGCGGAGCCTGTGAAACGTGCGTTGCCCCTCGGACCCCGCAGATCGCCTTGGCTGTGGCGTGACAAGGCGATTTTTTACGGCTAGCTTATCACGTTTATTTCTCGTAGTAATCAGAGTTTTATTTTTGCATTCTGCACGGCTTACCGAAATGCTCAGCACAATTCGCACCCTCGCGGCAGCGCGGCGACTGCCATCAGCACTCAGCACGCGCCTACTCACGACCGGCGGCGGAGCGCCACGGGATCTAGACACGTCGTCATCACACACGGTGTCTCTTGCAGAGCTGCAAAAGTTCACATCGGTCAGCAACGAGTGGTGGGACACGCAGGGGGCATTCAAGTACCTGCACACGATGAACCGGACGCGCACGCAGTACATTCGGTCGCGGCTGCGCGACCTGCACCCGGAGCTGGCGCGGCTCACGGGCCGGACGATTATCGACGTGGGCTGCGGCGGCGGGCTGGCGTCCGAGGCCTTGGCACGTCTGGGCGCCCACGTCACCGGCGTGGATGCGGCGCAGGAGAACATTGCAGTGGCGCGGATCCACGCGCAGCAGGATCCAGGGCTGGCTGGCAATCTGGTGTACAGGCAGTGCACGGCCGAGCAGGTGGTGGCGGAGAAGCAGCAGTTCGACGCGGTGGTCTCGCTGGAGGTGATCGAGCACGTCAGGGACCCGGTGCATTTCGTGCACTCGCTGGTGGAGCTGGCGAAGCCCGGCGCACCGATCTTCATCTCGACAATGAACCGCACGGTGCTGTCGCTTTTGGTGGACATTGTGGTGCCCGAGTACATACTGAATATGGTGCCGAGGGGCACGCACCAGCACAGCAAGTTTATTGCGCCCGAGGAGCTGACCGAGATCCTGCAGGCATTGGGCACGCGGGTTCTGGACGTTCAGGGGCTGGTGATGGATCCGATTATGAACAAATGCCACCTGGTGGACAGGGATATGGGGCTGGTGCGGAATGCAGGCGTGCAGGCGAATTATATTATGATGGCTAGGAAGAACTAGTGGGCAATTGCAGGCCTCGGCGGGGACGGCGGCATTCGGGTGCTTGTTTTCCATGTGGACGACCAGGTTCTTATAGAAGGCGTTGGGCGATCTGCACACCGGGCAGGTGAAGTGGATGGCATTCTGACGTGCCTTGAATTGCGACACGGCGGGCTTGTGCTTGGCGGCCTCCTTCTGCGCCTTCTCCCTAGCAATAAACATTTAATGACTATGTTGTGGGGTGCTCATGTATACCATGGTCAGCGCCATATACCTTGCTTGCTGCTTGGCTGCGCCGCGAGACATTGTCTATGTGATGTTTGAAAGCGAGAAAGAATGTAAACCCGTATTTTGTTTGAGCAAGAAAAGGAAGAGGCAGTGGCAGGGCCGAGCCCCTTGGTCCACGGTTTATATGTGGTGAAACTGTGTCAGGTGCCTGGTAACTTGTCCGCCAAAAAGACTACCTCAGTCTTCAACAAACGGAGCCCTCAAGGGCTGGACCCCCAAAGCGCCGTAGATGCCGCGCATCTTGCTCTCGTAGTACCCCAATCGTCCCACCGGCACCACCGTCACCACGCTGCCCGCGCGCCCGCACCTGCCGGTCCGCCCGGCCATATGCAAGTAGCTGCCGACAGTCTTGGGCACATCCAGGATCAACACCAAGCTGGCGTCGGGGATATCCAAGCCGCGCGCAGCCTCTTCGGTGGCCAGAAACACCGCCGGCTCGGAGCCGCCCGACATTGCGGAATCGCCGAACCGCATCATAATGTCGCGTGCCCGCACGCCGTAGCTTTCCAGGACATGGCCAAACTGTGCGGTGCTGGCGTCGGCGCGCGTGAATATCACCACCGTGCCCGCCGGCTGCATTTCCCGGATCACATTGCTGGCGGCCTCGGCCATGATCTCCATGACCGTCTGCTGCTGCTGCTCAGACCGCACCTCAACGCCAGAGTCCCAGGGCGTGGCGCCCGGCACCCACGCGGCCTTGGCGTCCAGGGCCTCGCGGTACCGCGCCAGTGCTGCCTCGGGCGACTTGTCCTTGATCTGCAGGTTGCGGATCTTGTGCTCGTTCTCGACCACCAGGCAGAAGTGCTTGATCTGTGGCGGCGTGCGCTGCGCTTCGCTGGTCACCCACACGGGCTGCGGCCCGACCCATCCGCGCCGCCCCATCCATGACCGCAGCGCCCGCGATGCCGTCGCCGACGATGCCACCACCTGCAGCGTGCGTGCGCCGACGATCCCCTTGCCCATGTCCCGGTCAATCTCCACCGCCTCTATGCCCCGCTCGACCGCCCCCATAGCCGCACCAAACTGCTTGCTCACTGCCATGTCGTCCTTGTGCCAGCCTATCTTGTGCTGTCTGCTGGGCGTGGGCGCCAGGCGCTTGGGCTGCTGTGCTCTGGCGAGCGCCGCCAGACCAAACATCTCAAAGACTGTGTCGACCAGAACCTGCCCTGGTCGCGGCTTGGTCAAACGCAGTTTGCGCTGCTTCTCGGTCGCGTGCTTGCCCGGGATCTTGACCAGATTGTCGACCTCGTCAATGTACAGCCGCCGCAACCCTACGAAATCCTTGGCTCCCGTGGCCTTCCCACTGCGCTCTCACCCGCAGCTGGCTAAGCACCGAATCATGGCTGCTCTGTGGCTGCTCCTGAGATGGCGCGCAGCAATGCCGGCGGCTCGATCTTGAGCTCCGCCGACTCGTCGCTGAGCAGCTCCAGTAGTCTTCTAGGCGTGCCCACGGCAATCGCCGGCGGCCCATGCCGTTTCAGCACTTTGATTTGCTGCGCCTGGTACGGCTCGCCACTGACAAAGCTCTGCACCATGCCGCCCAGCTCCGGATACGCCTCCTTCAGAATCTGCTTCGCCCACTGTTCAATCTGTAGCGCCAGCTCGCGGTTCGGCACCACAAACAGGCTGGTCATTTTCAAGTACTCCAGCGGCTTCTTCTCGCCCGCCAATGCCTTGTATTCGGCCACTGTCGCCGACAGCATGGCCAAGAGCATCGTGAATGTCTTGCCCGTGCCTGTCGCCTCCACCACTACCACATGATTGCGCGGCGACATCAGATGTGGCATTAGCCGCCGCTGCAGTGCCGTGGGCTCTTTGATGTTGTAGAGCGTCGAGATTGCTGCCAGTAGCCGTGCGTCCAGGTGCATGTCGGCGAATGACTGCGGCGTGCGATCATGCTTTTTGGGCCGTGTTCCGTGAGCCACCGCTGTATCCGCGTGATGTAAAGTGGATCGCCGATCGTGCTCGCGACAGCGCTGTGACGACCAGTAGCCTGCTCATTACTACTTTGTCTGAAATTTAAGCGAAGAAACGGATAAGCTGCAATGCTAGCAGAAGTAAAGCTGGCCTTTTGCCCCTTGATCTGTCTGAAGCCCATTTTTACAACACTGTTGCCGAGTGATCTGGAGATCTGATCTTTTTATTTGCTGTGTATCCCTGTCAGCATATAGCCGAGTTGCTACGCCGTGCACTTGGTGAGAACCAGCCGACAGTCGCGCTTCGGGTCCACTGGAATCGACACCAGAAACTGCACATCCTCCATTAGTTTCGGGTTGCCGTTCTCGTCAAGTACACGGGGACCGCGCCGCACATAGTCCTCGGGCACTGCCAGATCATAGTCCTTGAGCATGTTTGCCAAAATTGACATCATCTCCAGAACCGCCAAGTGCCTTCCCGGACACGCCCGCACGCCGGCGCCAAACGTAAACACGTTGCGTCTAGCCTCCTCGTTATCCAGAAACCTGCTGGGGTCGTACTTCAGCGGATTCTCCCACACGCCCGGGTTATGATGCGCGCCGGTAACGTTAATGAAGATTTCCGTGCCGCCCGGCACAAAATATCCCTGTAGCCTAACGCCCTCCTTGGGTGCCCGGCGCGGCCACAGCCCGCCAGACACCGGGTGCAACCGCATGGACTTCGAACAGGCAGGCTTCCAAGAACGGCAGCCGGGCACGGGCCTCGACACTGGTAACCAGGTGGTTCAGGCCGAACTCGCCTCGGACCTCGCCCACCGCGCGCCGGTAGTGCTCTGGGTGGAGCATCAGCAGATGTACTGTCCACGCCAGAGTGTTTGCTGCCGCTTCGCTGCCTGCCAAAAGCATGTTCAGACACTCTGCTTGCACCTGCCGCTCGGTCATGCGGGTCTTGGATTGTGGATCTTCGGCGTCAATAAACGCCTGCTAGAATGTCCACTGGCTTGTCCTTGTGTGTGGCCAGGATAGTCTCGGCGCAGACTGACGGACTCAATAGCGTACTTGGTCACCCCGTCGTATCCGCGCTCCCACGGGCGCATCAGCATCGAGAACGGGTAGGTGTTGAGAAGAGGAAAGCTGTAACAAATACCAAGATACGTGAACAGTGTCCTTCATCCAATTAACCATCGTCCAATCGTCCCTGGCCAGTGCCCCAGTGGACCGTCCAAATGCCAGCGAACTCAGCGTATCGAATGTGGCGAACAGGAAATCCTTGTTGTAGTTTATCTCCACCCTGCCGTTCTCCATATAGCTTATCCCACTTTAGCTTCAGCGACTCAGGCCCATGCGCAGCCAGAATCGGCTCAACCCTGGCCAGATACCCGGTATTCAAATACGGCCCAAACTGCCTTCGGCGCGTGTCCGCCAGGTCCGGGTTGCGTGTGCTGAACATGTGCTCGATGCCGAGCATGTCGACGCCGCGGTAAAAGTCGGTTTTGCGGAACTTGTGCGAGCCGTAGACAGCGCGGATGTCGGCTGGGTCAGAGATCACGACAGCGTTGGGCTGGTACACGTAGATGTTGCCGTATTTGCCTTGTCTCGTGTTCGCGAGTACTTGGTCATAAGGCCGAGCGAGCCGATGAGCCCGGCGCGCTTGCTGGTGAGACGTGCGAGGAAGGGGCCAGGGATGTGTCGGAGTGGGGAGACAAACAGCGCGTATATTACGCGGCATAGAACTACTAGGACAGCTGCAATGGCGAGGAAGCTGGACCAACCAAGGCCCATCACTATGTCAGGTTTGTTTATCCAATATTGAGTGAAAAACATGTTTGTGAGGGGTGGAGGGCTAGGTAAATGAGCTGAACACGAACGGGCAATACTTCAGGTTTCTCTTTCTCGCTTATATTATGCAGGTTCAACTTGTACTGTTTATTAGTGGCGCCAAGGCATACAGTGCCTTTGTTTTCCACAAGTGCTCAGAATCATCTCTCATTTGGCCTATAAATGTCAGCATGCCAGCCACCTGGAGGAAGGTATTACATTGCTTTTTTGTGATTCTCGGGAGGGACAACATAAGGGTGGCTGTGGGAAGCACACCAGATATCCACAGCCATCCATATATTTATAGTACTCGTCGCTGGCCCATGCTACAATTGTGGTCACGATTAAGAAATCCAGAAAAAGATACAGCAATTCCTATCTCTAGGGATCAGGGATAAATGAGGTTTTCAAGAGGACTGTTCCTTGGGAGGTATATATCTGATTTGCTATAATCAGTACCACGCCTGGCTACACACCTATTACCTACATAGAACTCCAAGCAACATCTACTATGTCATGCTATATAAAATAACCTATTAAAATGCTACGCTGTGCGCTTGGTGAGAACCAGCCGGCAGTCACGCTTACGGGTCCATCGGAATTGAGACAAAGAAGTGCAGGCTTTCCATCAGTTGTGGCGCATCCATTCTCATCGAGTACGCTGGGGACCACGTCGCACATAGTCCTCAGGCACTGCTAGATCATAGTCCTTGAGCATGTTTGCCAAAATCGACATCATCTCCAGAATCGCCAAGTGCCTTCCCGGACACGCCCGCACGCCGCCACCAAACATAAACAGATTGCGTCTATCCTCGTCGTTATGCAGAAAGCCTGCTGGGGTCGTACTTCAGCGGATTCTCCCACACCCTCGGGTTATGATGCGCGCCGGTAACACTTAGGTGAAGATTTCAGTGCCACCTGGGAGAAAATGGCCCTGTAGCGTTACTGCCCTCCTTAGGCACTTTCCTGGGCCACAGCCCGCCGGATGTTGGGTGAAACCGCATGGACTCGAACAGACAGGCTTCCAAGAACGGCAGCTTGGTATGCGCTTCGATACACTTGTGACTAGATGGTCCAGGCCGAACTCGCCTCGAACTTCATCCACTGCACGCCGGTAGTGCTCTGGGTGGAGCATCAGCAGATGCACTGTCCACATCATTGTAGTAGCCACTGCCTCACTGCCTGCCAGCAGCGTATTCAAACTCTCCACCTTGAACTTGCCGCTCAGGTCATGCTGGGTCTTGGATTGTGGATCTTCGGCGTCGACAAATACTTGCAGAATGTCCACCGGCTTGTCCTTGTGCGTAGTTAGGTACTCGTGGCGCATGTTGACAGACTCAACCGTGTACCTGGTTACCTCGTCGTACCCGTGCTTCCATGGATACAGCAAGGTCGAGAATGGAAATATGTTGAGAACTGGAAAGTTTTGACCGTAAGCCCAAGTATGTGAACGTGTCCTTCATCCAGTTTGACAATTGTCCAATCGTCCCTGGCCAGTGCTCCAGTGGACCGTCCAAACGCCAGTGAACTGCATTGTATCAAATGTGGCGAGCAGGAAATCCTTGTTGTAGTTTATCTCCACACTGCCGTCGGTGGACTGCGCCAGCAGCGCGTCCCACTTGGCCTTCAGCGACTCCGGCCCATGCATGGCTAAAATCGGCTCGACCTTGGCTAAATGCGCGGTGTTGAGGTATGGCCGCATCTGCCGCCGACGCACATCTGCAAGTTCTGGGTTGCGTGTGCTGAACATAGTCTCGATACCGCTGAAGGTCAACGCCACGGTAAAACTCTGTCTTGCGGAAATTGTGCGAGCGATACACGGCACGGATGTCGGCTGGATGCGAAATCACAACTGCATTGGGCCGGTAGACGTAAATGTCGCCATAGCGTTCGGTCTCCTTGCTTGAGTATTTCACCGTCTGGCCAAGTAAGCCGATTATATCTGCACGTTTGCCAGTCAGCCGCGCGAGGAAGGGGCCGGGAATGTGGCGGAGTGGGGAGAAAAACAGGGCGTAAACTACGCGATGTACCACCACCAGAGTGGCTATCGCAGCGAGGATGCTGGGCCAACCAAGGACCAGCGCAGCGTCAGGTAGAGCAAGTGAATACTGACTGGCACGCATTTTAGAGAGAAACAAGCAACTACTTTCAACGCACTAAAAAGAGTTTCGGCAACCCCACTCTCCTCCAAACCACTATTTATGTAATCGGACAGTTTGAGGCAAAGCATGTAGTGGCCTGCGGCATTCATAATTACGTTGGTGGCTCATGCCTCATAGAGCGGATGTCCAACCGGCAGTCCGCTGTTGGATGCTGCTCCATTCTTTAGGTGCTTGGAGGAATATTAGGGTGGCTGTGGGAATCGCACCAGATGACCACCGCCATCCACCGCATTCCTATCGCGCCGGAGTGGCTCATGGTGGAAAAACAGACAACGCCAAGCCCGAGCTCATAATCATGATAGATCCGCATCTGCTGCCAACAACTCCAACCATGAATATATTCGCAAGTGGCAACGATGAGAACACAAAAGGCACATGGCTACGATGCTATTCGCACCCATGTTCTTACAGCCACTTACACATTGTCATCTTTTCCACTCACGGATATACTCATGATTAAAGTCACTGGCATGCAATAAAGACAACAACGATGGTGTAGTGTAGAAATGAGATAAATTTGAATACTAGAGAACCAAAGAAGACAAATCTAACTACAGTCGGACTATGCTACTTGAATGCGAAAAAAATTGACAAGTCATGTAAAAAAAAAAAAAAGGCGTGCTCAATTGCAATAGTAGCCACATGCTGTGGTTGATATAGTTTGTCAATCCAGATAATGAAAGAAACCAGTTTGCAGAGCGCTGAATCCCTCGGACGTTTTCACCCACATGCATGTGGTGATGAAAAATAAAGGTACACAGATATGACTCGGGGTACACGTAATCCAGATCAACATGAAATAGGCCGGTATGAACCATAACCCCTGATTGTACACGCGATTGAGTAGCCAACAGCGGGAGAAAAACTTTTCCCTTGCTCTCCCTCTTCGATCCCGGTTTTATTTTCTCACACGACCAACTATGGCAGGGCCAGGCAACTCAAAATCCAGCGGCAAGCGCAAGTACCAACACGCAACTGCGCAGCAGCAGCAGGCCCAGGCCACGGCCAACTTTTCGCTGGCCAAGGCGCGCTCAGTCGACGTCACGGGGTTCGTCGAATCGCGCAGCTTCGAAATCAACGCCCTGCAGCGCTCGCTCGACAACTCCAGTAACAACGGCATGGCACGCGCATTCCAGACCCTGCCGCGCCATCTGCGCCGCCGCGCCGCCAGCCATAACGTTAAGCGGATCCCCAAGCGGCTGCGCGACAAGGCGATCTCGGAGATGAAGAAGTCGGCCATGTCATCGAAGAAGCTAGATGGCACTGGAAAGCTGACGAATGCCAAAAGCGGCAACCGGTACAAGCGCCGCCGCACACGGTCGGTTCGGGAGGAGTACGAGCTGCGGCAGCGCGGGAAGCGGTGGCTGGAGACGCATGTGTGGCATGCGAAGCGCATGCATATGGAGGAGCGGTGGGGGACGATGGTTGCCAGGACGCCAAATGAGCGCAGCCATCGTGCCGCATACCGGGCAGCCAAGGAAAAAGCGTTCGTCGAGGATGTGTCGTATTTTGCCATGCTCCAGGTGGTGGGCCCGCAGGAGCAGATCGTGAAGGCACTGGAGGCCATGATGGCAAAGGGAGTGGCAACTGTGGCAATGGAGCGGTTTTTGAGCGGTAGCAGGGCAGCCCCTGTTACCTTTTATCGTGTGGGCAAGGCGCCGCTAGACTGTCTTGGTCCGGCGTTGGCGATCTGGAAGCCGCAGCAGAGTGGCGACAGCAGCCGGACGCTGTGGATCAGAGCGCACCCAGCAATCTCCACCTCTGTTGTCGAAGAGATCAATAAGGCGTGCCAATCGCAGAGCTGTGCTGGTGTATCGGTAGAGGACATCACGACCGATCTGGTAGCGTTCGAACTGCTAGGCGGGCAGTCGACCCCGCTGCTGGCGTCGATTATTAACCCGAACATCTGTGATCCAGAGGGTACTGGTGGGAGGCTTGTGAACACCATTGCCAACAAACCAAGCCCGGCATCGCTGCCCGAAGGTTCTGTAATTGCACTGCGTATCCATGACCCGCGGCTTAAATTCCCCTACAAGCTGGAGAAAACAGATGAACGTCCAGCGGAGCACGAGCAGAAGGAGCTGGCCAATCTGATGCTTCACTGGCCTAAGGACACCAACCAGTTTTCGCAGGACTCTAACGATGCAGGGATTTGGGATATTGCGCAGACACGCAGCGATCTGGAGCGGCGGGTCTCGGAGCACCAGCTCAACGAGCGGCGTCGTGACATTCTGGTGCCTGGGACCAAGCTCACACCCGACCCCCTAATCGATGTCACCTGTCCCTCTGCTTCTAATCCGAACTGGTCCCGAGGCTCTGCTCGGGTCGCCCTCGTCTACTCTGGACTCCGAGTATGTTGACAGTCTGGCGCATGGCTGGACCGTACTTGCACCGCGCGGCTGGGGCATGCCTCTCTGGCTGTCGTTTATTTTCGCGGGCGCGCGTGCCCAAGGCTACCAAGAGCGCCACCACATTGCATTCGAGGCTGGGCTACCGATTTTCCCGCTGCACTGGCCTGGCACGCGCTCCTACGACGACTGGACTGGGCCGATTGCCCATGACGACTACCTGCGGTGGTCGCGTCGCCCGATGGCCAAGCGTGAGAACTACCTGAAGCATGGCGTGGAGTCACCGTTCTTCCCGCCATTCCACCAGCTGCTGGGTCTACAAGGCATACCGGCTCCAGTACCCTGTTGTTTCTAGCGATGACCTGGAGTGCCGCAAGGACCGGATCCGTGCAATTAAGGAGAAGAAGAGCAAAGCTGCAGAGGGCAGCAGCCAGGATGCAGAGATGCAGGTATCTGTCGACGAACACAATTCCTCTTTGGACCCGATCTGGGTGGCTGCAGGCGAGTGGCTCGCGCTGGCTATTCGTAGAATGTTGGTAACGGCCGAGATCCGACGTCATTCCGTTTGAGCAATGGGCCGAGCCGGTACTAGCGCAGCTGGCAGACTCTGAAGTAACCCCTGCTACTTGAGCGCTGTCTGGTGCGCGTGCGGACTGGACTGCAGTGGCCGTGGAACGCCCGACAAGAACGCCCGTGTCTGCGTTAGCGAAGGTGACTCTGAGCAGATCGGGTATGTCATGACAGGGTCGTTTTCGCTGGCCCGTGGATCGGGTATGGCCATCGGTGCATGCTCCCTGCGTGGTCTTTATGATATGTGGAGGCGTGAGGCACACACTGTTGTTGTGAAGAACAATAACGGGGGGCCAACACGTAGTGCATATTTGAAGGTTCTTCCATGATGAGATATCGATTTGACAATATATAACACGCTAGAACGCGCTTATTAGACACATTTGTTTGGTATTCTACATGGGCAGGTTATGACACTATCCCTTGTCCTACATGATGTCATCAATGCTGGCCTGTTCTATTCCAGACACTAGCAGTCTGTGAGAGAACGGGCAATGGCCCTGCACCATCAGGGTCGTCCTCTTTTGTCAGTCGACACACGCTTGACAGAGTAGATGATTGGGAATGCAAATATGGAATATACCAAAAGGATCCAACAACCCGGTGGTACATCTATAGACGACCAAACCAAGAGGTGCAGGCATACCTGGCATGTAGTATTGTAGTAGTAGCTGCCACTAGGCATGCGGTGTGAGTGTGAGACAGCGCCAGATTAGGTGAGTCCATGATCCCGAATCAGCATATGCAAGTTTTGACAACCTTCGTGCATGTGCCCTTAGTCAGCCGCCAAGCGGCATCTTCAAGAGAGAGACTGGCTCGGGACATGCCCACAGAAGAGAGACTTAACTGGGACGGGGCACCCATCTGTACTCCACTGCGGACTCTGGCTCTGCTTCAGGGTCCCTGCGACATATGCTGCTCTGTGCTGAGCCAAGGCGATGGTGGCACCATGCACATAGCGAATGACCAGGGTTGTCAATCCCTGCAAAGGAAGTCTGAGTCGTAAGCATAAAGGAGGTTGTGAACTTGGAACAGCACCTAGAGATCTTTTTCCCACTGCCCAGTACTCTGGCGATGGCGCTGGACCCTGGCTCTTCTCTTTACCTCCTTTTTCACTTTGTCTATACCCTTTCTTCTGGACACTAGGTTTGTTTCTGCTTGACCGCCTTTTCCTCCATTTTTAATATTGGAGCTGGAACCGGCTTCCACTTGAATACTGTATTTATACAACAGCATGGCTGACAGGAAAATGCTGAAGCAATAGGTGCTTTTGCCACAACTCCACCTCTGGATATTCCACCCCACACACCTTGTGAATAACCAGGTCCCACGGTCGTGTGAGCCTCCAGTTCATTAGCGTTTACCCGATTGTGCCTTGTGGAGCACACATACACAACTGACGGGTTTGGTGTCTGTTTAATCTCCTACATATCACACTTCCCTATTCAGGTACCTGAACAAGCCGTCTGTATCACCATATATTTGCAGTGAGCACACTCCTTTGTTTGTCGCCATCCTCCGGCTCAACATGAGGAGAAACCCATGGTACGTGCATAGGGGCTGGCTCCACCTGCCTCCCGCTCTCTCCGACTCCCATGCAGCATGCTGCAGCCTGCTCATATGGCCAACACCTGACACTCCTAGGGCAGCCTAGATGTCACGCCTGGCTCTCTCAGTTTCTGGATATGACCTCACATCCGTATCCTTACACACCGGCACATCAGCCCTGTTTTCTCTGTGTTTCCCCCTCATCCCGCTGCATGTACGCTGGCGCATGATACACCTTGCCAGCACCCAGAGAGTACGGAAAGGCTGAACAATGGGAAGGATTTCGTGTATTTTTGCTACTTTACATTTTGAAATAATCTTTGGCCAGGACGCACAATGAGGCAGCCAGCACACGCACCGCCTGCCATGGGAATCCCTGATAAATAGCCCCGGCCCTCCTCACCACTCCCTCCATTCCCCATAGCACATAGCAACTTCCACCACTTTTATACTTCCAACATGATATGCTACAGTTCTCCCCACCCCTCCATTCACCAAGGTGCCCACCCACGTCCTGTCCAAGATATTCAGCCACGTCTGTCCTCGGACTCGAAGCCCAGCTATGACAACAGGTACAGGCTCAAGTTTGCTCTCCTCTTATCCTGGTGCTGCCGTGCCTGGAAGGACGCCCTGCCTGAGAAAGCCGTGGACACCGTCACATTCGAGCACAGTCCGCACTGGCCAATGCAACGGTGCTGGGAACCATGGCATCGAAGTGGCGGTCCAACGTCAACGAGTTCATCAAGCTCAAGGCTACCCTGTCGGCCAAGAAGCTCCTCATCATCATGGACAGCGGATGCGAGTGCAGGCCGACTCTCAGGGATGTGATGAAACAGTTCCGCTTCGAAGTACATGACTGGAAAAACATCAGATCCATTCATTTCGCTGGACCCGGTATCTACGAGCCTGGTACCGACTCTCCTCCATTCCAGCTGGGCGAGTATGCCGATGGCGAGCTCGACAAGTTCAAGTCATTCCTGACCAACATCACATCTCTCACTCACAGCCTGTCCCGCCATGGGCATATCCCTGTAGTGGTTGAGCACTAGGATCCCACAGAGGACTGTTCCCGCTCATCAAGCAGCTGCACAAGCTGTACGAGGAAACCTGCTTGGTGTACAAGTAACCTGTCCAGTTCAGCCATCTCCATTCCCAGGAGCGTTGTTCCGGCCCAAAGAAGCTCATCATCGACTACTTGTACCTGAAGAGCATTGGTGCGAAACGAGAATATCCCAATCGAGGATCTTGATGCAGCTCCAAGTCTTTATGCTTGAACGGGCCACATCAGATGAAACTTACTTCAAAACAAGCAGCCCAGTGGACGTACAACTTCAAGAACCTCACGACCATCACGCTACGCTTTCGAGATTACCATGAAACGGTGCCTACCGACAGCTGCCGACAGAAATTGCCATGGTTTATTTCCCGAGCATACGGAACGTTGACAATCGCCGAATTCGTCCAAGGTCTACATGTCGATTTCTATCCAAATGTTTCCATGGCTGCAACCTGCAGTTCCCTGCGAATGATTGAGGATGCTGAGGGTCTGCGTCGGGTAGACCCCCAGATTGTCAGGAAATGTCCAATTCCTGGAAATTTTTATGAAGACACCTGCTGGCTTGACTACTCCCACTGCCGCGCGACATCTTGACCCGGTTTTACACGGCTCCATCCAGCGTCCAAGAAGCAAGACTTATTGGAAGCGACCTTGTCTTTTCAGGTACTACGGTATGGATCAACTTGAAGCTTCTGGAAATCGACCTGGCAATGACTGACATGTGTCATCTGGCAAGTATGATTGTCCAACTTCCGTGTCTATGGCGTCTACGGCTCCTTTGCATAGCATTGATGATGCCTGGATTTCATAAATGTGCTTGGGAGCTTGGGCCTGCTAATTTGGATGCATTGACCATTCGCGAAATCGCCAAGAATCACTCGAGCGAGATCCTGCGCAGCAGACAGAGGGCTCAGAAGGCTGCTTCAAGGGGCCAGAAGCGGTCACAGAAAGCGTCAACCAACCAGCCGTATATATCAGCTTCACCTACCAGTCACCCGCGTCCACAGGCAGCGTCAAGCACCGCACCGGTTCGGAATTGTGCCTAGTATTGGCGAGTCCGCAGAAATCAGCAGGCAAAAAGCGCCGTAAGGAAACAGCTCCAAGATCACTACTGTTTCACAGAGAACCTGCGACAAATCCAACCACGGCCCGAAGGGATGCCACATGTTATGCCAGAGGTATCCCGTAAGCCTGTTGTCAAGAGGTCACTGCCAAGCAAGAACTCAGGCGAACAAGAAGCAGAAGACCAAAGATCAACTCTGAGGGATACTTCCTGAGCGAGCGGCTGCAAGTCTTCCAAGTCGTGTCTGCCAATGCTAGAGCGAAGCAGATCATTCTCGAGATGCTCCACTATCTCCCAAAGCTGGACAGCATCAAGGTAGTCGACGGGTTTGGCGATGTGGTGCGGGCTGAACTTCCTAAACGGAACAGCAGCAGTACTGTTAGCGTCTCTGAGTTCCCGCCTCCCGAGTAGTTCTTACCATATATTTTACTTAGTACATTTAGGCACTTAAATGATATGCAGCATAGCATCTATTCACTCACAGCAGGACACTGTCAAGATATTCACACAGCGCCCAGTGACACTGCCGGCTTCCAGAATTATCAAATATCACACATGGAAATCACACATTCAGATCGAAGATCAACGACGAGTGGCACACCCTGCCACACCAAATATGGCGCCAGCATCTTTCCCTCGGAGGAAGTCACATGCCCCCTCACAACAAAGGAGAGTTCGGCATGCAGGACGTATTGCTCACGTTGGCCGAATTGGTGCATAAAGAGAGGCGGAGCACGTTGAGGTGCCAAATTGGGCAGCACGTAGAGTACAATCCCAAAACAATCCCATAGGGCACCAGGGCTCTTGACAGCGAATACCAGGACAACAGGCTTAGAGTTCACTAAACAAGGGTTGGGGTTGGCTTGGACAAAAGAGCCAGTCCGACAGCCAAGAGATTGTGGACATCGAGGGAGAGGGCAACGAGCATGTATTTATTAGCTGCCTCATTTTACACACTACCTGTTTCATAGTCATATCTTCTTTGCTTCTATCAACACGACACTACCTGTGCTATCACTTACAGTTTACGTATAGTATATATCAAAATGTCTCTCACTATCAGTAATAGTCTTCGCAACGCACAACAATATGAGATCGATGGAAGGCAAGATGACAGTATCACGTTAGATTATGTCCACGAGTTTGTTTATGTCGACTGATGGGATTGATTTTAATATAATAACTCAATTATAAACCACTAGCTTTTATTTAATACTAAAAGCTAATGTCAGGCAGTGTAGATAGCATAAGGGCTTTGCTGAAATAATGTTGCTCTTCGTGGTGAAAATATGTGAATAGAATACTTGAGTATCACGATTGTTCGGTAGTGATTAAAAGGAGTCCAGTGGCTATCTTGGCAGTAGGTTGCTGCAGCAAGCACCTGTGGTTGTACATAAGGAGCTTGATCCCATACAGGACAGAACCGACTGCTCAGAATGGATTACCATCTCACAAAACCGGTTGGATGGGGCTTCGGTTGTCTACAGAGAGCGTATACCTTGTAGTAGACTACATACTTGTTTACCAGAGATACAGAATTCTGTTGAACCCTTTATAGTAATGATGTTTCGCAGTGAAACTAGGCTGATATCCTTGTCGTGGACAAATGGCGAGATACTATCCATACCATGCTATGATAGGTTATACTGCTTGTCCATGTGAAATACTTGAATATTTGCCATAGCCAATCAAGACGAGGTAGAGAATGGCCGTAGGACAATTATCAGAAATAACAATGCTCTCGGCAGTGATTACGAGGACAACAGGCTTGGAGCCCACTAAACAAGGGTTGGGGTTGGCTTGGACAGAAATACCAGTTCAACAGCCAAGAGATGGTGGGCATCGAGGGAGAAGGCAGCGAGAATGTGTTTATTAGTTGCCATGTCGTACACACTACGTGTTTCATATTCTTATCTTTTTCGTTTTCATTGATACATACTCTACCAATACTATCGGCTACAATTTACATAAAATGTTTATCAAGGTGTCTCCTGTTGGTAATATCTTTCGCAACGCACAGCTCTATGAGATCTATGGGGTTCAGGAAGCGTCAAACGTATTCGAGGATGCTCTGGATTATGTTAGGGTATAGCTCTGTTAAACATGTTTTTAATATATTTTGATATCCATATATCATGAAGTGCCCTGTAATACCAAAGACGAGAGTTTTACTCTATGGATGGTATAGTTGCTTTGCTGACATCGTCATTTTTATGGCAAAAATTGGTGAACAAATATTCACATTCAGTGATTACTTGATAGTGTATAACAGGGGCCTATTGGCTACTTTGACAGCAGGCTGCTACAGCAGGCAGGTGGAAACTTAAGCAGGGAGCTTGAAATGGCATGGTACTGAGCTAATTGCCCAAAAATGAACTATCATGCAGTGAGAGTTGGTTCAATATGTTGTAGGTCTAAAGCACACGGTGGGTGGTGTAGGGCAAGACAAAGAATTAAGGAATAAGTAGCAAAAGATGCCTTATATGTGATTATGTGTGTAACTTTCGTGTAGCGCAGATTCCGAAAAGGCTGTCAAGCGATGGTATCTTAATCCAGAAATATGCGAGCGCTGTGAGCGTATCAGCAATAGAATGTGACAGAGCCAAGGAGTATATATTGATGAAGAAAGCTAAAGAGAAGTAGGAAAGGAGAGGCGAGCGAAAAGGCTTTATACCATCGCTCGGATGACACAGCCAAAAAGAAGAAGAAAGAATAAAGAACAGCAGGATGAATAACTATGTAGTTCACAGTAATCGGATCTTGAGATTCGAACAGAGGCTGCTGTAAGGAACAGCTGTAAATGTAAGCAAAGAACTTTAAATGACATAGATAGACGCAACTGCCAAAAATGAGCTATTATTTAGTGAGAGTTGGTCAGATAACTTTCTACTTGTTATCAGACAGCGTATATTCTCTATCAACCTACATGTTTACTAGAGATACTGAACTCTTTTGAACACCTTATAGGAAGGACATATCGCAGTGAAGCTAAGGTACTATCGTTGTCGTGGACAAATGACAAGATACTATCCATATCGTGCGATGATAGACTACTGTTTGTCCATGCGAATTACCTGAATATTTGACATAGCCAATCAAGAAAAGAGGTGGAGAATCACCATAAAATAATTCTCAGCAACAACAATGCTCTAGGTGGCGAATATGAGAACAATGGGTTTGAAGCCCACTCAACGTGGGTTGGGGTAGACTTGGACAAACGAACCAGCTTGATAGCCAAAAATGATAGACGTTGAGGAAGCGAAGGGCGAAGAATATCTGCTTATTAATTGCCACGTCTTAAACATGAGGTGTTCAACAATCTTATCTTTTTCGCTTTCATCGACACTTGCACTACCAGTGCCATTGCCTACAGTTTACATATAATGTGTTTCAAGATGTCTCCACTGCCAGTAATACCCTTCGCAACCCACAGCAAATATGACCTCTACGGGAAGCAGGACGTGCATACAACGATAGAAATTACGCGTGATTATTGCGGGTATCATTCCTGATGATTTTTAATTAAAACATTGACTCAATTGTAAACTGTCAACTGCCCTGTAATGCCGAAGACGAACAGTGGACACAGGGGATGACATAAACACTTTGCTGACAGTATCTTATTTTCAATGTGGAAATTTCTTAACGGACATTTCTTTGCAATGATTGCTAAATAATGGTTTAAAGGAATCCAGCACCTACCTTTACTGGATTCTGCCATAGCAAGCAGCAGTAAATAGAAGCAAGGAGCTTGAAGCCGTACAGGTCAGAGGCAACTGATCAAAATGGACTACCGTTCCTCAGCAGCTGGTTGGACAAAGTTCTAATCCTCAACCGGGAACGCATGGTTTTTAGTAGGCCAAATATTTGTTTATGATAATATCTGCATGCTGTTTAATATTTTACTAAAGATTCACTAAAGCAAAACTAATACACAGTCCTTATCGTCGACAAATAGCAAGACACCCTTCATATATTGCGTTTCACTCTCAGAATTGTAATGCCAGTACTGGGCCCCTCGTCTGGATCCCTGGTTCGTGTCACCCCATGGTTAAAATTGAGTTAATCTACAACACGAAGAAAAAGAAACTTTCGCATCATGTAAGAGCGGAAAACAATATAGATTAAAAAGACTTCAAGCGATGCTTTTTTGTAATTGTTGCCCACGCGAATAGCTTGTATATTTGCCACTGCCAATTTAGTCGGGGTAAAGAATGACTACAAATAAATTCTCAGAAACAACAATGCTCTAGATGACGAATACGAGAACAATATGCTTGAAGCCCACTCAACGTGGGTTGGGGTAGCCATGGCCAAATGAGCCACTTTGACAGTCAAGAAATGGTGGCCACCGAAGGAGAGGGCAATGAACATGCATTTATTAGTTGCCTCATCTTACACACTACCTGTTTCATAGTCTTTATCTTTTTGCTTCTATCAACACGACACTGCCTGTGCTATCACTTACAGTTTACGTATAATATATATCAAAATGTCTCCCACTATCAGTAATAGTCTTCGCAACGCACAACAATATGAGATCAATGGGGTTCAGGATGTGACTCATGTATCTGACCTTGCCCGTGATTATTCTGGCTTATAACTATGTTTTTATTGCCTTTAATATATTTGCTGTCACAAACATTTAACTACTCTGTAAAACCAGAGGCAAACGGTGGACACAGTGGATGCCATAAATGCTTCGTTGGCACCATCGTTGTTCAAGATGAAAATTTGCGAGCAGATACTTCCCTGCAGTGCTTGCCTAGTAGTGGTTAAAAGGAGTCCAATAGCTATCTTGGCAGTAGGTTGCTGCAGCAAGCACCTGTGATTGTACATAAGGAGCTTGATCCCATACAGGACAGAACCGACTGCTCAGAATGGATTACCATCTCACAAAACCGGTCGGATGGGGCTTCGGTTGTCTACCAGATATACAAACCCCTGTTGAACCCTTTACAGGAACGATGTTTCGCAGTGAAACTAGGCTAATATCCTTGTCGTGGACAAATGGCGAGATACTGTTGCGCGCCCGATGCGGCTGTCCCTGACATCGACATGTCAGCCGAATCAGGTGACAGAAATCCAGGCGCCAACGAGAGCCCCGCTACAGCCTACGATATGGAGGTAGAGTCTAGCCTCTGATAAGTTGCACAGATGGCAGTATTAAAAACTCCCCTGCGCAACTCGTCTATTCTCTTTTCTCTCTTTTCTTCAGTATTAAATATACATTTAAAAACCCCTACACAGTCGACCAACACAACAATACTATCCATACCATGCTATTGTCATCCTGAACGAACGTCTCGTGACGTTCTGGAAACATTAGTCGAACAGCAGTGACTGCTGGTTGGGAACCTTTCTGTATTAAAGACCGGCAGTCACTGCTGTGATGACTAAGATAGGTTATACTGTTTGTCCATGCGAAATACTTGAATATTTGCCATAGCCAATCAAGACGAGGTAGAGAATGGCCGTAGGACAATTATCAGAAATAACAATGCTCTCGGCAATGATTACGAGGACAACAGGCTTGGAGCCCACTAAACAAGGGTTGGGGTTGGCTTGGACAGAAATACCAGCTCAACAGCCAAGAGATGGTGGGCATGGAGGGAGAGGGCAACGAGAATGTTTTTATTAGTTGCCATGTCGTACACAATACCTGTTCTATACTCTTATCTTTTTCTCTTTTTTTTGATACGTACACTACCAATCTTGTCGCTTGAAGTTTACATATAATGTTTATCAAAGTTACTACCGCCAGTAATGCTCTTCGCAATGCACAACAATGCGATATCTATGGGAACCAGGACGAGAGTATCACACTCGATCTTACGCAGAAATTTTATGACATTTCTTGATGCAGGTATTTTTTTAATATATGAACCCAATGGCAACCCATCAACTGCCCTGTAATGCCAATGGCCAGCACTGAACATAGTTAATAATGTGGTGTCCAAAACTATTTTCCCATTGACGTTATGTGATTGACGTACTCCCCTTTCCAAACCAAGAAATATCGTCAGTTGTTAGCACCTGCTTCTACAATTCCCCATAGGTTCCACAGCGATTGATTTCCTGCCCGTTAAGACTGTTGTGTTGGTCGACTGTGTAGGGGTTTTTAAATGTATATTTAATACTGAAGAAAAGAGAGAAAAGGGAATAGACGAGTTGCGCAGGGGAGTTTTTAATACTGCCATCTGTGCAACTTATCAGAGGCTAGACTCTACCTCCATATCGTAGGCTGTAGCGGGCTCTCGTTGGCGCCTGGATTTCTGTCACCTGATTCGGCTGACATGTCGATGTCAGGGACAGCCGCATCGGGCGCGCAACAAGACCTTCGCTATTATGCGAAAATATAGTGGTATACGATAATATATTGACTGGAAAACGTCCAGGGTTGTGAGCCAGGGACCAGAGACGAGTGGGCTACTTGGTCTTATTTATGTACCCGCCTGATGGCTGTGCTGCGACCCGCTTGCCACCAGTACGACCTTTTTGGGTAGCACGCTGGCTGTAGTGCCTTTTGCAGCCCATATCAGTATGTGTTCTATGGGACCCAGGCAGATTCTACTACAATGGAATATGCATACGAGGTAATTGGCAAATAATTCTACAGAAAACATTCCGATATATTTACATTCTAAAACCATTGCCATTTCTGTAATGCCAAGACCAAAAGTCGGATGCCACGAATGGTGTAGACCTTTCACCCACTAGCATAGAGTTCATCAGTCCTTATATCGCATGAGAGTAATTCTACATTGAGCCAGTTGGCATATTAGATACAGTGATATGTTCAGGGTATGTAGCTAAGCGAGTACTCAGTGTGTTGTATTTATTGAATGTGTAGGGATTTTAAAAGTTATATTTAATACTGAAGAAAAGAGAGAAAAGGGAATAGGCGAGTTGCGCAGGGGAGTCTTCAATATGGAGGTAGAGTCTAGCCTCTGATAAGTTGCACAGACGGCTGTATTGTAGGCTGTAGCGGGGCTCTCGTTGGCGCCTGGCTTGCTGTCACCTGATTCGGCTGACATGTCGACGTCAGGGACAGCCGCAGCGGGCGCGCAACACACTGACGGTTGGACATCCAGTGTATAAGCTATTATCATATAGCTGCTATTGCCACATAGTACCAAAAACAACACCAACGAAGGTCTACAAGCCATCTCTTGGAGAATCGGTGTGGGGATTTATTCTGCATAGAAGCGCTCCGCTGTATATTCCCATTCGAATATTCCGTATAGCAAACCTCTTTTGATCTTTGCCTTTCGCGCTCAGGTGGCCTCTAGAACGAGAAACCGCCGACCCTTTGAGTAATAGCAAGCAATAGAATAACTCTGCTCTTGGCAAAACATGACCTCTACGCTACAGTTTGTGGTGGGACAAAAAAACATAGCTCAAGTAAATAATGCTCGCCAATTTGCTCCTATGAATACGCCCCTTCGTTTACTCGGTGAATAGATTCCGTTCCTCGCACAAAATCTACTATATACACTCGCCAGCTCTAGTCGACTGTTCTATTGAGCGGAATGTTAGTCTAGGGGGAAAAGGAGAAATGATGCACATGCCACCTTGGGTTGCGAGATAGTTCATGCTCGATACTGGTCAGGCTGTGGATAGTAGCTTCACTGGACAGTGTTCTGAGCAGCCGGGAGAGTGGCTCGCTGGCTCAGTCATGCAATGAAAATGTGTAGTACCAGTGGAAACAAAGCACTGGTGGGTCGCGGGATCTGGATCCGGGAGTCCGAGGGTTTCACCAGAATCTGCCTCCTCACAGCTGCAGGTCGGCGATCGAGGGGCAGGAGGCGCTAGCTCTCTGCCTCGGCTGCCACCCAGGGGTCGAGCGTAAAGTTTGCACAGGGGCAGAGTGGATCTGCCCCCGGATCATTTGGGGACAGGTTCTGGTGTACCCACAGAGTCAAATCGTCGCAGTTCAAATTTGACGAAAAGTTTTGCATGTGTCCCCAAGGGGGTTTCTTGGGGCTCCCGTTGCCCGATTGAGCGAGTGCTGGCAGCATAGGAGTCATATACACAACTACTGGAGGGCATGTTTCCTTTTGCATGCTGCTCAAAGCTCGTAGTTTGGGGATGGCAACCTGCCTTCTACGGATGCTTGTCTCCAAACTCTGCCCATCGGCCAATGGAGTCTGTGCGCACCAAATGCTGGCTCGGCCCTTTTATTTCTCTGCTTTCTCCAGGGTACCAGCCAGTGAGGGCACAGTGTGGTCTCCATCTTATGCACCCAGCCGTATTTGCGAAATGGGGGGCCACCGGTGTGGCTGGAATTGGTTGAGGAGGTGAACAGGTTGAACGCTCTTCTACCTTTTGGCATCCTCATGCTCATAGGAAAAATGGGAGCCTGGTGCGAAAAATATAAAAAACTATTTCTATTGGAAATATTTACCCATTCGGCACGACCAGTAGGATCGTCCGTGCTAGCCCCCACCAGTCCTTCCTTTGCAGGTAATCGGCCGTACCGAAGGAAATACTAGCGCCGAGCCAAATGCCCAGCGCAAAAATAGTATAAATAGCGGCCCGTCCTCTTGAGTCGCATGTGAGAGGAAAAATTTTACACATACAAATACGCGCATACGACCTGTCTTTTTTGCCCCTCATACTTTCCTACACATAATGGCAGACACTACATCAGTCGTTCCCGGCTGGAAACGCCTTCTGCAGGCTATGGGCCGGCGCAAGTCTCTTGAGATGATGCTGTCGCAGCTCGAGGGAGACCAGGGCGAGCTGAAGCGGACTCTCAGCGCCTTCGACCTGTGCCTGATGGGTCTGGGCGTCATCATTGGCTCCGGAATCTTCGTCGTTTCGGGCACTGCTGCCGCGCAGCTGGCCGGTCCTTCTCTTGTGATCTCAGTGCTCATCGCTGGTCTCGCCTCGATGCTGTCAGCGTTCTCGTACGCCGAGCTGTCCACTATGGTTCCGGTCGTCGGCGCGTCTTCATATACCTTCGTTTACACGACTATGGGCGAGTTCCTGGCGTTTCTGATCGGATGGGTGATGACGCTCGAGTGGCTCGTCGGCTGTGCTGCTGTGGCCGTCGGCTGGTCAAGCTACATTGTGCGGTTCTTCCAGGACGCCTTCAACGTAAAGTTCACAGAGAAGACAACCATGGCGCCTGTGTACTGGGACTCTACGAACAACTCATTCAAGGTCCACAGTGGTGCGATCATGAACATCCCGGCGATGTTTATTGTGCTTGCTACCATGACGATTCTGTGCGTGGGCGTGACCGAGTCAAAGATGGTCAACAATGTTGTAACCGTGGTCAAGGTCGTCGTCATTCTGGTAGTTCATTTTTGCCTCGATCAAGTACATTAACCGCGACAACTACACGCCGTTTATGCCTCCCACGCATGACGGCAATTTCGGTGTGGTTGGAATCTTCAAGGGCGCCCAGCAGTTCTTCTTTGCCTTCATTGGATTCGATGCCCTGGCTAGTGCCGCACAAGAGGCCAAGAACCCGCAGCGTGACCTGCCTATCAGTATCTGTGTTTCGCTTATTGTGTGCACGCTCCTGTACGGCACCATGGTCGTGGTCCTGACTGGCCTTACCAAGTACCCGAACCTCAACACTGCCTCGCCTGCGACCACCGCTCTGGAGGTACACGCGAACACCAAGTGGCTGCGTATCCTGGTGGGCATTGGCGCCATTGCCGGTCTGACCACTGTCACCATGGTTCTGCAGATGGTGCAGTCCCGTATCTGGGTGGCTATTGCCCGCGATGGCCTGTTCCCCGGCTTCTTTGGCCGCCTGAGCCCGCGCTTCAAGACGCCCATCAACGGACAGCTGATCTGTGGCATCATTGCTGCTGTCATTGCCGCGTTCCTTCCTGTTGATATTCTGTCTGATTTGACGTCGCTGGCTGCCCTGCTGTCGTACTTTTTGGTGCATATCAGCGTCGTTGTGCTCCGCTTCACCAAGCCCGAAGCCGACCGCACGTTCAGCGTGCCTCTTGCCATCTTCCGCGTTCCGATTCTGTCGGTCCTGGGCGCGATCATCTGCATTGCTCTATTCGTCCTGTCTGGCGGCCAGAACATCCTGCGCACATGCATCTGGATGGCCATTGGCATCGTTATCTACTTTGCCTTCTCGATCCGCAACTCGCACCTGCGTTACAAGGATGGCACGGTCAGCGAGGACGCCTCTCAGCAGTACGAGGATATGTTCCCGCCCAAGCCGTACACGGCCGAGTCCAACTCGTCCAAGGATGGCGTTACTGTCGTGACAAAGGGTTCCCAAGTAGAGTCGCACATTGAGTCGCACATGCCGCCGTCGCCTATGAATCCTCATGATCCGTACCTGGCCATCTGCCCGGCCAAGCCTGACGACCTGCCTGAGCCCTACACACCGCCAAAGAACGGCCACCACGGCAACTACTAAACCCAGCACTTCATTTACATACATATGTATCCTTTACTAGTTAATAGCATTACACTCACAACCATCTTCTATCCAACCATCTTGGCCAGGTCGTCTGGCGGATACTTTGTCTGCGCAAACCGCATCAGCCTCTTAATCGACTGGATCCATTTGCGCTGCGTCTCATCGTTCAGTACATGCGCAACCTTGCTTGCCGAGATATTCTCTCTGGCCGCTCGCGCATGAATACCGACCTGCGTCACGCCGACTGGCCACGGCGCATTGCCGATAGACAGCTGCAGATACGCGTCCTGTGCCTTCATGTACTCGCGATCCATCATGTTGCGTGCAATCTCCGTCACCCGTGCCACCACATCGGCCTCGAGTTTGCCCAGCTTCAACCCGCTGAAGAATGGCTTCAGGTAGTCTGCCGACTGCCGCATCGTCGCCGCTGCCAACTTGCCCTCAGTTGACCTTTGCTCGTCCTCGGGCCGGTTCGCCAGATAGTCCTCCCACTCATAAAGAGTCCGCTTAAAGTACGCATGCAGCAATGTGTTGAGCTGCTCTGCGTCCGTCCGCAGCAGCTCCAACGAGACTTTGTCTGTGTCGTATTCCTTTAACTGGGCGTACTGTGCTCTCCGTCTCTCCTCCTCGTCGTCCTGCATCTTCGCCTGCCGCTTCAGATCCGCCATCATCGCGCCTTCCTCCACCTGCGCCAACATACGCCGGAACTCGTTCCCCTGCCCATCGAGCTTCTCCTCGTGAAGCTCCAGATTGCGTAGCCGGCTGCGGACGCTTCGAGTCGCTCTCGCCAAACAAACGGATCGGCTCGCCGCGCGCACGTAGCCGCTTGATCACCTCCTCGTTGCTTGATCGCGCTGCTGACCTTTGGCTCGTCGGCTTCGGCAACCACCGGCACGTCCTCGTTCTTTGTATCTGCAGGGACTTCCTGTGGCGCAAATGATGGCACAGGTCTGGCTGGAGCTCCTCCGTTCTGTCTGTACTCCTCTTCAGCAAGTTCGCTAGCGCGCACATACTTTTTGCGCTTTTCACCGCTCCTCTCGGCGTTCTTTGCAGCGACCTTGTCGAACTGTTGTTTGCGCTTCTTGGTCTCGCTTGAAATTGCTGCCCTTAGCGCGTCCATTCTCGGCAAAATAGTTAGTGTACAAGGTTCGTGAAATGTAAGGCTGTAGTGGAAAAGGGAGTAAACGCAGAAAACCCGTTTGAGAAAACCAGCCCTAGCAAATGCCAGCTATATTTAATCTAATCGCTAATATAATTTTTCATCCAGGGCATAGTGTACATTGCTGGGCATGCTCACATATACATACTAAGTATTCCCCTGCACTGTCACCAGCAAATACAACATCCCTGCCTGCTGGAAAAAAGGCAGTGGCCTGAGCATGGCTCCACAAGATGATTTAGATGCCGATTCACATCAGATTGCCCATGATCATGCATGATTCATGGTAAGCTTTACAGTAAGCGGCTCGATATTGGGAACTCTGCCACTTTAAATAGAGGTTATAGACACTGCTCTCACCCTCACTTGTACTCCTTGCCTTATCCCAACTCGAACTGTTTCAATATGTACTCAACAGCACAAACTTTACCAACACTCATTCTTGAGCCCATCTTTTTGAACTTGCTTGGTATTGACCCTGAGGTGGATAGCTTCATTTCCAGCAGCGAGGAGGAGGAGGAGGAGGAGCAGTTAGAGAACGGACTCACGGAGACTGGTCAAAGTGGGAAGTCGCTTAGTGTTGCAGCTGCTCTATCCTTGACTGGCTGCTGCCAGCATTGGCGGGATGTGGCCCTTGGAGCCATCTTCAGATATGCTACTGTCGGCAGACATCACAGAGGCGCCGAGCCTGGTCGCTGGCTTAATTCGGTGATGGTGGACCACAGCCTGGAACTTGCTACAGGACTTGGCATTGCCACTAGTGTCCGATTTGTGATGCTGTCATTCGATCTGTGCGACATTCTCGATGGCACAGCTATTGATGAGCTCCTCGTTGGACCACGTATTCCCATCTGTCGCTGCTTATCCACCTGCACCTTCGCTCGACACCTGCCGATATTGGTGCAAAGCTGCTCGAGGAAACAGCAAACGCCTATCCGATTTTACAACGCCGTGGATAACATCTTTCCTGGAGCCAAACGTGTGATCATCCAGTGTGCCAACCTAGTGAACTGGGTCGACATTTCTGGGCAGTTTATTGACGAACTCTTTTCCGGTCTAATGAGAGGCAAAACCTGCATTAGAATCGGTGGTGAACATGCAAAAACGTATTCTGTGGTCCCAGGTAACGTTCTTCGTCACAGTACTGGACCCCTCCGTACGCTCGTTGCGTTTGGGATAGGCGAGGGCTCCGTAGTGGGTGAAATAATTAGGAGGAACTCTGGGACACTGGAAGTACTTCATTTTGGCACCATGGATCCTAATGTAGTCCGCACGATTCTGTTCAACAACGACGGCACGCCAGTTGTTTATGACCGGCTAACTGCCCTGAATATAGTAGACCGCTGTGAGCAGATCACATACGCTAACGATTTCCTTATGCCATCAGACGGTGCCACATTCCCAATGCTGGAGTCGCTTGTGTTTTCATCCAGATCCCTTGGTTTGCATGAATTCCTGGCCCGAGGATCTGGGAGATTGTTAACTAGGGTTGATTGGATTCCAAGTCACTCGACGATTGAGCGCCTAATTCGGTATGGTTTTTTCAACCCAGAGCGCTACCCGGCGATAAAAAGTATTCTGTTTGCATATGATGGCAGCAGAGATACATTGGAACCTTCGACTGAATCCGACCAGCCTTGCACTTCGACTCTGCCGCAACGCATGCAATGTCCTAGTAATGGGTGATCGTATCACTCGGCTTGGGGATCATCTACTCGACCTTGACAACCTCAACCCGCATGTTCAGATTCTTCGGATGCTGTTTATGGTAGCCACGATCGAGGAGGCTCTAGGCTTCATTAAGACCCGTCCATTCCTGCGTCGATTAGGAATCGCAGTCGACTTTACCAGACTGAGCAAATGAGCCAGTGCTCAGAGCATGCTGGCTGCAGTGCCACATGTGTTGTGCCAAGGACAGATGGAATCAGTCATGGTTCAGATGATACCCCTACAAATGATATCGAGCGCTTTATCCATATCCCACATTGCCTTATTCTGCACGGATAGCAAGTATGTCGAGGAACTTTACAAAGCGTACCACCCACTTGTCCGAGCGACTGAACCAGACTTGACCTCTATGTTCAACATGTCAGCCTAGAAGGGTTTGTCCTTGCCAAGTTCTGCATGACCCTAGTTTACCTATTCCTTCTATGTCCTAGCCTGCGCACTATTGATGGTGGTTTGATCGGTAGCCTTCACACCATACACCGCAGCCAGCTTCAAGAGTACGCAGAATTTAAGGAACTGGAGGCAAAACTGTTGGCATTAGTAGCTGATATGTGAATAGAAATAAATTCTGGCACATCCTATCTGAATACAAAGTGACATTTAAAACATGTATATTGGATTATTGTTTGTAGTGGTCGTCATAGCGGTGACTGGTGATGAGAACTGTTAACAAACGAAAAAAAAAATCGATGCTTATCAGTATACATATAGCACGAATCGTGAAATAAAAGCTAAGGGAAAAGTGGACTATCAGGTTATTGGGGTTATTTTAACTGTGGGCTCGGTATTGTGTATGGTGATGTAGTATAATGCCAGTGTCCCTGTGCAAATAGGAACTTTTCATATATACAGGGAGCGAGCAATAGACATTTAAGTGAACATTAACAAAACGTGGAAGGCGGGCAATCAACACATCACCAGATGCATATAAAATTGGGAGGAGGCTATTACAAATTTGGTCCAGTCTCTTTATCAGGCTTTTTTTAGAAACAAGGGAGAGGCAGGAGGGCAGCAGTCACTACTATGACGACTATTGGTATCAGAACGTCACAGGAAGTTTGGTTAGGGTGACAGACTATAAAAAGGAGATTTTATAGTGAACAGCCACTGCTTTGTATACCTGGAATGTAATACTTGCGTAGTGTTAATTTCAAGAATATATCAAAGGTATCGTATGTGAATATGGCTTATGTGGGGAAATGGTTACATTTAGGTCGAAAACTAATATTGACAGAAGAAAATGGAGGTCCAGTCGGCCTGAGGCTCAGTTTTATGTATTTTGATCATGTATTTTAATCGTTGGTGACCCATAAGTGGTTCGGCACTCCAACGTCAACAGTATGAACAGGCAATAGGGCATATGTAGCATTGGTGAAGCATGCACAAGACTACTTCCTGGCCAATACATCAGTCAGAATCAATGCGCCAAACGACACCTGAATCGAGCTGCACTAACAGATTTTCCAGACAACATCCTGGATCTGCCCCTAATGGATAATGACCAGGGAAGCACATATCAAATGGAAAGTAAGGAACCTGGTGCGGTCGGCTGTATAAAATTATCACATGTCTTGGCTGAAGGCGGCATGTAGCGAGTGACAAAAAATTGGAAAACAGGCCATCGTTCAAGTGCTGGGTCTTGGGATGCAAAAATATGACATCGAAGATCGGTGAGGTGATAAAGGCAGCCCAAGCCGCGCATGTCGTTGGCAAGCTGGATGTTGGGCAGGAACGATTCGAGCCGAATTCCTTTGCAGACATGCACCTGGCAGGTGACCATGGGGAAGAATTGAAAAGGAACAGAGCTTATGGAAAAGATAAAGGGCTGCGCAGACACCTGGTCGCATACAAAGACCTTGTCCTTGAGCATGCTTGGGTCCAGCATTGGTCTCATCATTGCATATAGCCTCGTAGGCATCCATACCCTAGGCATAGAGGAGTTTGACTCGTGGAGACCAGCATTCAGTATTGCCATATTTTTCCAGCTCCTGATCGCCATAGTAGGCGTTTTTTTTTTTGCGCCATATACGTGGTCATACACCTGGTCGATCTGACAACCATCGAAAAGCAACCGCTGCTGTTGCAATTCTTAGGTGACCATTTCGTCGTAGACTATGGCGCGCTTTACTGTTAGACCATTGTAGTCTAGCAGCACCTGGTTGATTGATGAAGTGTCTTTTATATAGATAGTGACATCCACATAACGTAACGGAAGAGAGCCGGTTTATCATTAGCGGGATTTGAATAGACGGTTTAAAATGAGACTAGCGACTAGGGACGAGAGTGATCAGATCGGAGAGATTGATCAGTAGAGGGATCTGGGGACTAGTGGGCTGGGTGGCCCGTCACAATGACTCACGGTGCACTTTACAAGAGCTGACTTCATGCTGGAAACTCTACCACTTTGAATAGAGGTATAGACACTGCTCTCACCCTTCACTCGTACTCCTTGCCTTATCCCAACTCGAACTGTTTCAATATGTACTCAACAGCACAAACTTTACCAACACTCATTCTTGAGCCTATCTTTTTGAAGCTTGCTTGGTATTGACCCTGAGGTGGATAGCTTCATTTCCAGCAGCGAGGAGGAAGAGGAGGAGCAGTTAGAGAACGGACCTCACGGAGACTGGTCAAAGTGGGAAGTCGCTTAGTGTTGCAGCTGCTCTATCCTTGACTGGCTGCTGCCAGCATTGGCGGGATGTGGCCCTTGGAGCCATCTTCAGATATGCTACTGTCGGCAGACATCACAGAGGCACCGAGCCTGGTCGCTGGCTTAATTCGGTGATGGTGGACCACAGCCTGGAACTTGCTACAGGACTTGGTCATTGCTACTAGTGTCCGATTTGTGATGCTGTCATTCGATTTGCGCGACATTCTCGATGGCACAGCTATTGATGAGCTCCTCGTTGGCCACGTATTCCCATCTGTCGCTGTTATCCACCTGCACCTTCGCTCGACACCTGCCGATATTGGTGCAAAGCTGCTCGAGGAAACAGCAAACGCCATCCGATTTTGCAACGCCGTGGACAACATCTTTCCTGGAGCCAAACGTGTGATCATCCAGTGTGCCAACCTAGTGAACTGGGTCCGACATTTCTGGGCAGTTTATTGACGAACTCTTTTCCGGTCTAATGAGAGGCAAAACCTGCATTAGAATCGGTGATGGGCAGGTAACATCGTATTCTGTTGATCCAGGCAGCATTCTTTGTCACAGTACCGGGCCCCTCCGTACGCTCGTTGCGTTTGGGATAGGCGAAGGCTCCCCAGTGGGTGAAATAATTAGGAGGAACTCTGGGACACTGGAAGTACTTCATTTTGGCACCATGGATCCTAATGTAGTCCGCACGATTCTGTTCAACAACGACGGCACACCAGTTGTTTATGACCGGCTAACTACTCTGTACATAGTGGACCACTGTGAGCAGATCACATACGCTAACAATTTCCTTATGCCGTCAGATGGTTCCACGTTCCCAATGCTGGAGTCACTCGTGTTTACATCCCAATCTCCAGGCCTATATGAATTTCTGGCCCGAGGAACTGGGAGATTGTTGACTAAAATTGACTTTTTTTCAAATCACTCGACGATTGAGCGCCTAATTCGGTATGGTTTCTTCAACCCAGAGCGCTACCCGGCGATAAAAAGTATTCTGTTTGCATATGATGGCAGCAGGGATACATCGGAACCTTCACTGAATCCGACCAGCCTTGCACTTCGACTCTGCCGCAACGCATGCAATGCCATGGTGATTGGTGATACTATCACTTGGCTTGATGACCATCTACTCGACCTTGACAATCTCAACCCGCATGTTCAGACCCTTCGACTGCCATTTATGGTAGCCACGATTGAGGAGGCTCTAGGTTCATTAAGACCCGTCCATTCCTGCGTCGATTGGGAATCGCAGTCGATTTACCAGACGAGCAAATGAGCCAGTGCTCAGAGCATGCTGGCTGCAGTGCCACATGTGCTGTGCCAAGGACAGATGGAATCGGTCATGGTTCAGATGATACCCCTACAAATGATATCCGAGCGCTTTATCCACACTCCACATTGCCTTATTCTGCACGGATAGCAAGTATGTCGAGGAACTTTACAAAGCGTACCACCCACTGTCCGAGCGACTAACCAGGACTTGACCTCTACGTTCAACATGTACAGTCTTAGAAGGGATCTGTTCCTTGCCAAGTTCTGCATGACCCTTGTTCACTTATTCCTTCTATGTCCTAACTTGCGCAGCTATTGATGGTGGTTTGATCGGTAGCCTTCACACCATACACCGCAGCCAGCTTCAAGAGTACGTCGGAATTTAAGGAACTGGAGGCAAAACTGTTGGCATTAGTAGCTGATGCGTGAATAGGAAATAGATTCTGGCACATCCTATCTGAATGCAAGTGACATTTGAAACGTGTATTGGACTGCTACTGACATTACAACACTGTATTAGGATTTATGATAAACAGGCCTCAGAGCTTAGTCGCCTTGTAGAAGCTTGCATACATGTTGACTCGATCAATCGGCACCAGTGAGCCAGGTTTACGGATTGAAAGAGCCTCAACTGCAAACCCATGCTTCCTGAACACCTCGATATACCATGGAACCCGAGCAGCACTCCGCCAGAGCACGAATCCGCCAGTGCGCACAGCACGAGCCAGTGCAATAACCTCCTCATCCGCATCCTTCTCAGTGAACCAATCCATGTGGTCCATAATCACAGCTTTGGTCAGCTCACCCGGCTGCACTTTACGCAAGACATCCAGAATAGTCGACGTATGCAGCGTGAACGTGGTGTGGGTGTCGTTCGCAGCTTGCTTCAGCGTTCTGAAACCATCGGGTGTCAGATAGTCTGGGCGACACTGCTCCGAGTAGCTGCGACTGAATAGAAGGTGATAGAAGTAGTTGTCGTTGACAAACGACGTTGATGTGGCAACCGGATCAATCGTGTCTGCCATGTACTGGCCCATCGACCCCTCGCTGCGCAGCATATTCCACTGGTTGATGGGCACACCCAGCAGCTGCCACATTGCCACCGGATTGTCCATGATGCGGATTGCCAGGGTGCTGAGAATGCGTCCACGCACCTTGTCTAGCCATGTTTCACGCTGCTCAGCTAAGGACTTGGCCACAACCAATGACTGTGTATACTTGTGCACGCCAAGCCAACTTGCAGATTGCGCGCAGGCAATGCAGGGCCAGGCCAGAGTACCCTGTCGTGTACAGATTGCGGTGGGCCAGATCGCCTAGCAGCATTTCCAGAGCAGGCGACGACTTTGGTGCAAAAGTATCGGCATTGCCTCTCCAGAACTGGTATGCGCTGGATGAGAGGTGGGCTGACAGCTTACAATCCAGAATGTCGACAAAATCGCTCTTCAGGCCGCATCCAAACATCTGCCAGAACTCGTCGTAGTCAAGAGTGCGCAGTGCAGCCAGCTTGAGCTCCAGCAGGTGGTTCTGGCACGGGTTCATATCGATGCACTGGATCCTCAGTCCTGGCTGGTGCGCCTGCATATGCCAGGGCATTGTCACCGGCCGATGTAATCACCATTACATTGTCGTTGGCTGTCAGCTCCAAAACCTCGACATCGCGCCTTGGATCCTCCCATGTAAACCCATAGATGTATGTCGCAAACTGGGCGTGCTCGGGTTTGGATGGGGTATAGGGCATACGCACCCAGCCGTGCGTGTGCTTGTTGCTAGCTGAAGACGCAATTGCTGGAACCCCGAGGATTTCCGGCGCCATGACACTTGCGGGGGTATCGGTGACATCAGTGGTTGGAAGTTGCTTGGGGGAATTGCCGGGTGTCAGATAGCCGGAATCGACACGGGTGATCGCACTCAAGCGTTGACTTGTCGGATGATTCTGAGCCTGACTGGTTGCTAGGGGCTGTGTTTGCGCCATGTACGCCGTGGCCTGTCCGATTATCTGTGTTGCTGCCAATGTTTCCTATGTGTCCACAGGCAGTGTCATACAGCACATTCGAGCCAATAGCCGAGACATGCGCAGCCTGCCGCAGGTGGTGCATTTCCGAGCCATACATAGTAGGGCATCTGGATCAGATACGGCACGACAAAGTGGTTGCGGGCATTCAGGACCTTGTGCGTGTCGAACTTGTGCTCAAGATAGTTGCGGCGGCACGGGTGCAGATATACGTGGTCAAACTCGAACCAGTGCTGCCAAAAGACACGTGTGAACCAGTTGCATTGGTAGTTGAGGATGCCTGCTGTCTCCGACTGGGCCGATGGGCCTGAGGCACCGGAAACATAAAAGTCGACAACTCCCAACAAACCGACGGCGGGCTTCAGCAGTGTAGACAGGCGGTCGACCACGGGGTTGAATGACTCAATCATCGACAGCGAGTACGACATCGTGATAAGATCGATCTTGCCAATGTCATCCGCCAGACCAGGAAGCTCAAAAGTGGCAGCATCCTGGCACAGCACGGTGACATTGGTCCAGCCGCGCTCACGAAACCGGTCCTCAGCTACCTTGCACAGAGGACGACACAGGTCAATCAGATACACACGCTCGAACTGCTTGATGCCAAAGTATTTGTCCATCTGCTCGATATTCCACCCGGTCCCGCCGCCAACATCAATCCAAATCGGCTTGGAGCCGTTCTGCACGCGACTGCGAAGCTCAGCAGCCACTAGTTTTAGCATAGTAGTGCGCCCGCGCAATAGTCCGCCGCGTGTAGCATCGTATACGTCGGCCTGGCCCTCGTAGAAAGCGTCCAGGCGGCCTTGCTGGTTCGTGTGCAGCCCCAGTGGCTTAAAGAAGCAGTTGTAGGCAAACTTGACAGCAGTCTTGAGCCGCTCAATACCGGCGTAGGCAGCGCCTCCAACAAGCGTCAGCAAGGCGCATCCAATTGCAGCCCGCTTCTTATTCTGGGACGGCATTTCCGAATATTGCCCAGGCGCAATGTATGCGTCGTTATTTGACAGATCGCGAGCCACTGCAGCTGATGCAAGTACAAGAAACAGCATTGCAATGTGCAGCAGGGGCGGGCGGCTGGCGCATCCGAGTATTTGGGACTCAGATACAGAAGGCTTCATCGTAAAAACAAAATAACTGACTTGATTGTGACTGCGAACTGGCCCCAACTATTGACTAGCCAAATGGAAAATAAAACCAAAAAAGGATATAGTGCTATAATCTGGACACTATTAGGGATAGGGAATTGGGATTGAAAGACGGAGGGAAAATGGGAGAAGGATGGCGCATTCCTACCGCGCAGGCTCTTTATATTAGCAGCTGGGCATGCTACATGCCAATGCAAATGATACGAGAAAAACAGTTGAAACACACGTCGGCAAAAAGAAGGACGCAAGGAGGCAGAAAACTGCAGTATGCCTCCAGTAGTGGGAGAGTTCCCCTGGGTCTGCGTGTGCGCTGTCGTGTCGCAGACAGGCAGCGCGAGCAGAGAGAGATAGCCCCAATCCTATTCATGCACCACGGCCACTGTATATTGCCTTTTTCAAATGGTAGACTGACCACCTATCCATCCATGGCATGCGCTTTTTGGAGAACCACAGCACTCCATTCTGCATCTTCTGGTTTGAAAAAGGGCTGGCAGACAGTATAGAAAAAGGTAAGAGCGACCATATATTTATTCCCTCAATGCACGTCTTGACAGCAGTAGAGAACGGGGGAGCGCAACCAATGGCAGTGCGCATGTGTCTTTATCCAGCTGTGTTCTAGGGCAAGAAAAGATGTTGCGCAGGTGCAGGACGGTTGGTAGCGCCAATACCTTACTGATATTCAGCGAAACAAGGGGCGGGAGGCATGATTCACATAGTCGCTCACAGAACCGATCCCAACCATAGCCAGAACGTGCCAAGCCCCTGGTGCAGCCTCGGGCTGGCTAGGTTATCTGGGTGGGCGCGTGGGATTGACGAGGGGAGGAAAGGGGCTGTATGCATATATTGCGTGTTTGATTTTCTACATCATCCAGGGGCAGTCGTCAGCGCACGCTCCGGCTGCGTGCAGAATCTTTGGAGGAGAGCTGTGCTTGTGATGGCCAGGGGATTTGGACCAATTGCGGTCGATCATGGTGGAAACGTGGGTGATTTCGGTGTTCACTTCAGAATCGTAGTGAGGGCTCGCTGCATACACTGCAAGATACGGGAAAGCGAGCCCATTGGCAATGAGAAAATATAAAACCCCTGCATGTGTCTGCGTGGTCCACCTCCACTGTCTGGATCTCAGATCACTGACCTTGCTCGCCTATGGTCCAAACGAACCACTATGAGGTCGACGGGTGAACACAAATCCAGCACACTTGGTAATAAACCACCATGAGAGCTGGGTCCCACAGCCACAACCAAGAAAGCTTTTGCGAAGTGGAACTGGATCACCTAGCACAACTATACGATGGAGGCAAGACAAAAACAAGGCAGCACGCAACTGGTGGCTTAGAGCCACACGGGCAGGCGGGCTAAACAGCACTCGGATTTCGTGCTTAATTTCATGCCCAGTACACGGCCGGCTTCTGGTTTGTCACAGTCGGTTCAGCGCCTGGAAAAAAACGCCCTATGGCGCCTAGTGTGAGAAGAGTCCACACGGGCTGCTACCGTATACAGAAAGCAGATGTATATTGTCGCTGGATTCTGCAGAGTGTGGCTTGCAAGGTGCCCAGGGAGCTGCACGACAAATAAAGAACCTGTCCTCCTTGCTTGTTCAGTTTGAGCGCATAATCGCCGCCTTTTCCGAAAAAGGGCATAGGTATGTACCCCATCCATATTGTCACTTGGGGAGGAGGTGCAATTTTGCAGGCTTCAGCGTGTTTTTTTTCCTGCTCCACATTGCGGCAAAGCGCGATAAGAGTTTTCTGTGTTGCGGCTTCCATGTTGTGTTGTTTTGAAATTCGACGGAGCTAATGGGTTGCGGAGGAGGCTCGTGTTAATAGATAGAGTAGCGAGATAAAGTAGCAACAGGCATTGGGCAGAGCAAGCAAATTCGGCTGGAGGACAATGTGTTCTGCTTCAGCGTCCGTGGAAGGACGCACTTGCAATGCAGCTGTCTCCCCGGGAACAACAGGGCACAATTCTACGAGCAATCGAGTATATTTGGATTGTGGTGAGTGGTCTCGCCTGCACCTTCTCCTGGCGGACAGATGTGCCGTGAAACAAAAATAAACAGGGAGAATGGGTGCCTATTTTGATATCCTCACGCTCCCTATCCCCGAGGAGGTGAGCACATATAAATTGTCTTGTTGCGGACAAGCAACGGTGACGCCTTCTAAAATGGAATGTACATTTTTTAAGTATAAATCCGTGCTATCAAGCAAACTCGTTTGCCCTACACTCCCTTGGCATTTTTCTCCGGTATCTATTCTGGTATGCATCCATGTCGTTAGTCTCTATTACCTTCAGTCTTTTCTATTTATATTATTTATAAACATACAGTATTGGTGACAGCATTCGCCTCTTCCTACCTCACTAGTCTCCATATCCTTCTATATGCTAGATGGGGCCGCAAAAGCCAAAAGACCCTAGGACATTTGCAGTGATAAACATCCGCACCAGTCAGACGAGTAGCGCCAGCAGCAGCAGCAGTGGCAGCAGCAGAAACATAAGCCGCAGCTTCCAATACGCGCATTCACTCTCCACACTAAGCACCGAGCTCACGATGGTAACGGCACAGCCGGCGCGCACCGCGCCAGTAATCAACCCGCAGGCCGGCGCGCGGCAAGCCAGCAATCCATTCGACGCTGGCCAGCCGTCCACACGCGCATCGCCAACGACCATGATGGTTATGTATGCAAGCGAGGGGCGCTGGCAGCGCATCACGTTTCCGCCAAATGTCACGGTGGGGCAGGCGCGCGACCTCTGCATGCTGCGGTTCAGCGTCTGGCAGAATCTGGTCAGGGACACTGCGCAGTCGGTGCATTCCTCGTCATCGAATGCAGAGTCGCTCGGGAACGTCTCGAGTACAAGCAACGAATCGGTGCGCGAGCAGTTCGGATTGTACTGGGCGGCGCGCGGGCTGTGGCTCGAGAACAACCGGCTGCTCAGTTCATATGGGTTTGAAACAGCGGATGTGCTGGAACTGCAGGACCGCGAAGACATTGTTTTGCAGCAAGTAGAGGCGCCAGCAGCCGAGGGCCTGATATACCATTTGCAGAATAAAGGCGTAGGCGCGGCGTGGAAGCTCAAGTACCTGGTGCTGCGCAACCAGACGCTGTATGTGTGCCGACGCAAAGGCGACGACATTTCGATGGCGCAGGTGGAGGTGGATTTGACACACAAGTTCCGCATTATCGACCAAAACGGGCAGGCCAGCCGGGAGGCGGCTACCAGCGACAGGCTCCCCGACGCCAGTGCTGAGATGGCGCTGGGGCTGGCCAGCGCGCACGGGCGGCAGATGGGCGGGGACGGGGCGCCATTGCTGGTGCTGAGCGGGAAGAAAGTCCATGTGTTCTGCACACAGTCCCTGGTCGACTACGATTACTGGCGGCGGGCGCTCCGGCAGGCGGCGGGCAGCCGGGGGTCGTCGCGGCGCTCCTCCATGCCATCAGGCGGCCCGCGCCACCCGCGCACTCCATCGCTGGCGTCTACCACAGTCTCGAGCTCCAGCCCGACAATGGGTGCATTGCGCAGGTTCGTCTCCACGGCCTACCGCAAGCGCGCCGGTATCGGGCTGCAACTATGCCACTGTGCAGTGGTGCCTGGGGCTCTGTATGGGTTTTGCGGGCAGGACCCTACGGGGCTTAGCGACGGGCAGCTGGAGGGGCCGCGGATTTCCGGATCGTGCTTGATCCAATGGCGGTGTTTGTGGCGGGCGAGCAGCACGGCGACCGGTTCATTGTGCGGCTCTTCGATGTCTCCGAGTTGCTGTGGCTCGAGGTTGGCACGCAGCCGCAACGCGACCGGTGGCTAAACGCATTGTGTGGGATCGGCGGCATTTCGCAGACGGATTACTTTGACCTCGAAAGCATCTGCAATGGCACTGCGGCCGACCAGGACTTGTCGCTGCGGCGGTCAAGGTCGTTTGTTTCGACGATTTCGCGCGCCGAGTGGCCAATGCCGCCCAGTATTATGCCTATGTCATTGAGTAGCATGGGGCCGACACTGCGCGGGTGGCGACCAAGGGGCAAGAATATGGTAAAGCAGCATTTAGCCAGGGCGGAGAAAAGTGCTGGGAGCAAGCCGTCGCTGGACGCGGTCGGCGGGCAGGCAGACGAGTCCGAGGGGCTATTGTCGCGGCTCCCGCAGTGGTTCAAGCGGCGAGGCTCACTGTCCAGCTAGATATTCTGCATGTTCCGTGGTTGGTTTATATGTCGAAATACGAAGCACTGGAAATGAATAGGCTGTATGGTATGGATCGGCCGATCAAGCTACGAGCGGCTGCATGGCATGCGATCGGCTCGGGAAGCGCAGGCAAGCTGAACCGGCAATCGGCTTCGTGAAGCGACTGCAAGGGTTATGCGGGGTTTAGAAAAAATTTTTCGCTTTGCCTTTTGCCTTCACAATGTATTTTTCTTAGGGATTTTTTGTACTATTACTTTTGATGGCTGTCTAGCTCTAGTTTCTCGTGGATGCGGGCTCTGCGACGGCGTGCCTGTAGAGAGATCGAGGCTTCTCTGCTCCACTGCTTCCTGCTAGTATAGTGGCTCGGTAAAGGTAAGAGTCGGATCTTCTCCTGCCTAGGCAGTTTTGTTCTTTTTCTTTTGGAATGATGCACAATATGATTAGTCTTTAGGACAGCCCGAGATACCACTCGGGTGCTATGGCTACACCTTGTCTACTACTGACCCAAATACCACATCGAGGTGGTAGGTAGATTTCCACAAAAATAACCAGGATGCGATTCAAACCTACTAATTATACAACCATCTGTGTTTTATGTTTAGAACAGCACCGAAGCAATTCGAGAGCGAGGCCTCGCTTTTCTTCTACAAGGGATGCTTGGCCGATGCAGGGAAATAGGCGTGGCTTTTGTGTTTAGATAAAAAGTTGATAAAACATGTATTTTATGTGTCTGGCGGTGGGAAGCACATGCTCCCTCATTCGCATTGATTGCGCTTGGGACCAGCTCGATTTTGATTTTGATTCTGGCTTTTAGCTGATACACATGGTGTCGGGACCGGATATCGCAAAGCCGGCGGATATGCTTTGGCAGTGGCTGGTATGTTTACATGGCACAAACACAAACATCGCCACCTGGAAAGCACGCAGACTAGCCATGATAGAGTGGACTTTGGCCTAGGCTTGCCGTGACCATGCCAAGAAAACGACATTCGCCTCTATGAGCAGCGATATAAATAACACTTGCTCGGGCGGTAGGCCACCAGAAGACGAATCATTTATATCTCCCAATTCGATTACTAGACCATGGACCAAAAGCAAAAAGGCACGAATCCCTTTGACGACGTCAGCCTGCAGAACAGCCCCAAGCAAGCGGGGTCGGAAAGCACGGTGCAGGCGTACCGGCAGTGGCTCGAGGACAGCGACAGCGACACGGTCAAGCACTCGCCTGAAATCGGCAGCCCGCCGCAATACGCCGAAAGCCCGCACGCCCCGCACCGGCGGGTGCTCAGCGACTCGCCGGCCAGGCCGTCGGCATTGTACACGCCGGTAGCAGAGCCCAGGAATGACCCGCGTGTATACCTGGAGCAGCCGATCATCGGACCGACGGTGCCGCGCATCAAGCCCGCGCGCTCCATGCCACCAGAGCCCATCGCCAAGCAGGACAAATCGCCGAGCCGGTTCCTGAACATGCCCAAGCAGCTGGCCAAGCAAATGTCCTGCGCAATCTCCCGTCCTTGTCGCCTAGCTACAGAACCGTGGGGCGGACATTGACGAGCCAAAGGCTCAAAAGCACCTCGCCGCAGTCGGCGCCCGTCGAGCACTCGGGCAGCATGGACAGCCTGTTTGCTGGTGCCACAAGGCAGAACCGCCTGAGACACGCCGAGCGCATTAGGCGCACGCCTCTGCATCCGTCGCTGGTCGAGGTCAACATGGAGCGCAGCGGCCAGGCCCGGGCGGCGTCTAGCAAGCCCGAGATCAAAGAAGGAAGCAATGTCGAGTGGGAGTACCACCGCATGGACGCAGGCCGCGGGTGGGAGTGCGTTCTGTGGGCGTTCCTATGTAATTTCGGCGTGGGCTCGGCGCCCGGCACATTTGCGGCCTTCCAGGTGCATTACCAGGACAATGCCAGCCAGCGCGACCCAGCCATGCTCGATGAGTCAGCCCACACCACGCATGCATTGACCAAGACCTCGCTGACGTATATTTCGCTGATCGGTGCGTTGCTAATGGCGGTCTGTGCGGCAGCGTCAGGTATGGCTGGGGCGTTCTCGGACCGCACAGGCCCGCGCGCCAGCGCTTTGACCGGGGCGTTTGTCAGCGCTTTGGCGTTGCTGGTGGGCTCGTACTCGGACGACCTCCGAATGCTCAGCATCGTCCAGGGCGCCGTGCAGGGCGTGGGTGTGGCATTGGTTGCGGTGCCTGCGTATATGGTGCCTGCGCACTGGTTCGAGCGGCACCGCGCATTGGCCTCGGGCTTGTCCCTGGCCGGCACTGCCCTGGGCACAGCCTGTCTGACGCCGGCGCTCCACGCGCTGCTTTCGCGTCACGGCATGCAGACCGCCATGCGTGTGCAGGCGCTGGTGGCACTGGTATCCGGCAGCGTCGGCAGCGCCGGACTGCAGACGCGCGTGGCAGTGGCCAGGCCGAGAAGAATCACATGGAAAGTCTTCTATGACATGCGGCTGGCAGTGCTGGCTCTGGTGGCATTGCTGGCAGGCGCGTCGCTGACGCTGCAGCTTCTGTGTTTGCCGGGGTTTGCGCATCTGCTGGGGATGACGGAGCGGTTGCATGCAGTGTATGCGCTAGGGGCAGCCGCGTGCGTGGGTCTGGTGGCCGGCGGACTGGTGGCAGACCGCACCGGATACATTGCCGGCATCGGGCTGAGCCAGCTGGCCATGGGGGCATTCACACTGGCGCTGTGGCTACCGGCGCGCGGACCGGCGGTGTTTTTCGCGTACGTCGTGTGCTACGGGCTGGCTATGGGGGTTCTGGGCGCGGTACTACCGGCCAGCATCATGCAGATGTTTGGGATTGCGCGGGCCTTCACCATGCTGGGCATAGCTACCATGGCTGCGGCTGTGGGCGTGCTGGCCACACTGCCCATGGCCGTGGAGTTCCAGCAGCGCGCCAGCCAGAACCGCAGTGTGCAGTTTCTGATTGGCATCAGCGGCGGGCTGTCGATATTGGCGGGCATTGCTGCCCTGCTGCTGCCGTATCTGCAGCGCCGGCATCTAATGAGGGTGCTGAACAAGAGCGTTTGGGTGGAGTAGGAGGATTTATTTCTGTTCTTCTTCGGGCGTGCGGGTTACCAGGGCCATTGCATGGATGCCGCCGTCCATGGCCATCTCGTGCTTGAACAGACTGTAGATGCTGCGCTGGCGCTGTAGCAGGCGCTGGCCCGCGAACTGCGAGGAGACGACTTTGATTTTGAAATGCGTTTCGGTGCTGGTTACGCCCTGCATGGGCGCGTGGTGCCGGTGCTTGTGCGACTCGTTTTCGATCTCCAGCACCGTCGGCGCATAGGCTGCTTCGATGCGCTGCCGGATAAGCTGCTCCAGGGGCCCGGGCGCAGTGGTCATTTTCTGGCGGAGGGCAGAAAGAACGCGCATTTAAAAAAAACGAATATGTGGGAAAGAGAAGGGGAGAGATAGAGCGGTTTTAGAATAAAGCCTATTCCTTTCGCCTTTTCTCCCGCATCTCGTCGCACTCTTCCTAGAATTCCAAATGCATTCTGCCGCACACGACGATTGGGACTCGCGGTTTCCGGTAGACAGCGCCTTCCTGCCGTCCATTTCGCTGCTGCAGGAGCACTGCGCCAGCTACCCGCAGCAGCTGATACAGCCGGTGCCCAAGCCCATGCCGCATTTCCTACGCAGCACCAGCCCGGCCCTCAGCGCCCGCCGCAACGCGTCGCTGCGCAACCTGGCAGCGCTGGCCCGTCCCTCGCCGACCAGCCCACGGCTCATTCCGACGCCCTTCAGCGGCTCCGAGCCGATCACGTCGATGCGCACGGCCCACACGCCTGACAGCGACGTCGAGTACGTCGGCCGGCCAATCGAAAGCACCGCGCAGTTCCTCGAATGGTACGGGGCAGTGGAGGAGCAGTTGGCGCAGGGCCAGGACATGGAGGCCCATGCGTTCGCCGAGCTTTTGCGCCAGCGCTCCACGCAGTGCGCCCACATGCAAAAGTGCATTGAAGACGTGCAAGGCCTGCTGACGCTGATGTCGGATGGCTACCGCCGCGTGTGCGCACAGACCGAGAGCGTCAAGACTGCCTGCCAAGGACTGCAAAGCCGCCAGGCGCAATTGAGCGATGCGTCGGGGCGGATCTCCGAGACTCTGCGTGTGTATGACTCGCTGGCACCCATTGCGCAGCTGGTGAATCGGCCCGGCGACCGCGTGTGCCTGGACAAGGGGTTTCTGCCGGCGCTCGACCGGTGTGAGTCGGCCATCGAGTTCCTGGGCCAGCACCCGGCACGTGACAGCGAACTGTACCTGATGCGGTTCTCCCAGTGCCGCATGCGCGCCCTGACGCTAATCAAAATCCACGCATTGCGTGTCTTCCGCAGTCTGTCCAACGAGTCAATGCGCGAGCCGCAGTCCGCCCACACGCGGTTCCAGGCTGCGAGCCGCTCTCTATCGCCATTGCTGCGTGCCCTGCAGACGCGTGCCCACCAGCCCACCGAGCGCCAGGTGTGGGTGGATGTGGTGACTGCGTATTTTGCTGCGCGCCGGGCCTTCCTGCGCCCGCATCTCAAGCGGAATCTCGATCGCATCTCGAGCGAATCGGCGCAGGCTGGGGATGCACCTGTAGACGCTATGCGCGACTGGTGTGCGTTCACTATGGGTCTGTGTGCCGACGAGCACCGGCTCTACAGCGAGTTCTTTGAAGTCGAGCCCGAGGACGTCGAAATGCTGCGCGGCCATCTTGATCAGACCATGGCTGCGTTCTATGAGCATGTGCGGCCCCTGATCATCCATGAATCGGATGTCCACGTGCTGGCCTCGCTCAGCCTGACTCTCCTGACGTTCCAACGCTCAGCGCCCGACTACGACGAGGATGCCGGCGGCCTGGAGGAACACGGACTGGATGCCTTCTACGCGGCCATCGACCATACCCTGCAGGACGCACAGCAGCGGCTTGCCTACAAGGCCCAGTCGTTTATTCACGCGCATATCTCGGCCTTCCGCATCTCCAGTCCTGCCCCCACCACCCAGTGGCTCAATGCCTGCCGCACCTTGCATATTTCCGATGCCAACGTGCTCCAGACAATGCTTGATCAGCTGCCCGAGGACCAGCGCACAGCGCTCGACTACGTGCATCCACCGGTGACCAGCTACCGCTGGCTGGTGGACCAGATCGATGGGTGTCTGGACGAGCACGTACTGGAGGGCATTCTGGAGGAGGCCGCTGCTGCTTGCAAGCAGAACCTGCTGGCGCAAGGAGCGCGGTTTGTGCGCGAGCAGTGCGCCAAGGAGTCCGAGGCTGAGCAGCTGGCGCACTTGTTTGTCACGTGGAATCTCCTGCGCATGCACCAAAGTGTTCTGCAGTGAGCCGGGCTCTAAAGCGAGCCGAGCCGATATCTCGATAAGCTCCCAAGATCGCAATATTTTTCGAACCCCTTCTGTTTGTTGAATTTGGCAAAAACCGCAAACCGCAATTCGCCCCTCTTCTTCACTCTACTTGAATTCTACCCAATTAACCCTTATTTCAAATATGTCGTTTGTGGCCAGCTCACTTCGCCTCGCTGCCCGCACCAGCAGCCGGGTCGCCGCCACGCCCTCCCGCGCCTTCGCCTCAGCCGCCACCCCCAGCAGCGAACCGAAGATCACCCTGAAGGAGAAGAAGCAGATCCGCAAGCAGCTGCGCAAGTTGGTGCCGGGCCTACAGCAAATCGGCACGCAGCACACGTCGATGCTGAAGCCGTCGATGTCGCTGGAGCACACATCGAGCAACGTGACCCTGGAGACCATGATGGCCGCGAACATGCATGTGGGCCATTGCGCGTCGTTGTGGAACCCGATGAACCTGCCGCACATATTCGGCGAGCGCCAGGGCGTGCATATAATCAATCTGGAGCATACCCTGGCGGCGCTGCGGCGGGCCGCGCAGTTTACGCGGTCAGTGGCCTACCACGGCGGCATCATTCTGTTTGCGGGCGCCCGCTCCCAGCACCAGCAGCTGGCGGTGGATGCTGCGCATTTCTCCGACCAGTACTTTGTGACTGGCAAATGGGTGCCTGGCACACTGACGAACCCGCAGTCGCTTTTGGCCAAGCACCAGCTGTATATGCGCGAGGTGTGGGATGTGGCCGAGGCCCGCGAGTTCGCCGACTACCAGCAGGCGCCGGAGGAGGTGAGCGAGGGGAGGTCGCGGTATCTGCGCAAGCTGGCCGACGAGAAGGCGAAGCTGAAGGAGGATGCGGGCAATGTGCGCACCTTTGCGCCCGATCTGGTCGTGGCCCTGAACCCGCTCGAGTCCCGCACCATGCTGGCCGAGACCCGTCTGCGCCATGTCCCGACCGTCGGCATTGTCGATACCAACTGCGACCCGCGTTGCGTCTCGTATGCCATCCCTTGCAATGACGACAGCCTCCGCGCTGTCTCCGTCGTTGCTGGCGTTCTAGCACGCGCCGCTCGTGACGGCATGGACCTCCGTCGCCAGCAGCTCACTGCCGCCGCCGATCTCCATAACCGCAACGAGATTAATCGCGCTGCCAGCCAGGCCTCCAATCCCGCCAACCTTCCCCCACAGTGACTTTCTTCAAAACAAAATTCAATATGAAAACGCTATTGCCTAAACTCTAATAATTGCTTTACATTGGATCTTCGTATCTCAATCTTTAGCCGTGTAACCAACTTTGAGGGACATTTCCTGAGCAAGGGCTGCAAGTCCCCAAGTCATATCTGCCAATGCCTGAGGGGAGCAGATCATTCTCGAGATGCTCCACTATCTCCCGAAGCTGGACAGCAGCATGGTGGCCAACGGGTTTGGCGATGTAGTGCGGGCTGAGATCCTTGATATTAATATGGAAAACACCGCTACTGTCGCCAAGCTCCTGCCTCATAAGTAGTACTGGCCTTGTATTTTACCCTATTCATTTGAACTCTTAAACAATATGAAGCAAAGCGCCGATTCACCCACAGGAGGACAATGCCAAGATATTCATACAGCGCCCAGTGACACTACAACAGCATCTAAAACTATCAAAAATGACGTGGAAATCCCACATTCAGATAGAGGATCAATGACGAGTGGCATGCCCTGCCACACCAAATATGGCGCCAGCATCTTTCCCTCGGAGGAAGCCACATGCCCCTTGACAACAAAGGAGAGTTCGGTATGCAAGACGTACTGCTCACGTTGGCCGAATTGGTGCATAAAGAGAGGCAGAGCACGTTGAGGTGCCAAACTAGGCAGCACGTAGAGTACAATCCCAAAACAATCCCTTGAGGCAACTGGGCTCTTGGCAGCGAATACCGGGACAACAGACTTGGAGTTCACTAAACAAGGGTTGGTGTTGGCTTGGACAAAAGAGCCAGCTCAGCAGCCAAGAGATGGTGGGTATCGAGGGAGAAGGCAACGAGAATATGTTTAGTTGCCATGTCGTACACACTACGTGTTTCATAGTCTTACCTTTATCGCTTTCATCAATACGTACACTACCAATATTGTCGCTTACAGTTTACATATAATGTTTATCAAAGTTACCACCGCCAGTAATGCTCTTCGCAACGCACAACAATGCGATGTCAATAGGAACCAGGACGAGAGTATCACACTCGATCTTGCGCAGAAGTTTTATGATGTTTTATGATGCAGGTATTTTTTTAATATATGAACCCAATGGCAACCCGCTTGCCACCAGTACGACCTTTTTGGGTAGCACGCTGCCTGTAGTGCTTTTCGCAGCCCACATCAGTATGTGTTCTATGGGACCCAGGCAGATTCTACTACAATGGAATATGCATACGAGGCAATTGGCAAACAATTCTATTGAAAACATTCCGATATATTTACACTCTAAAACCAGTACCATTTCTGTAATGCCAAGACCAAAAGTCGGATGCCACGAATGGTGTAGACCTTTCACCCACTAGCATAGAGTTCATCAGTCCTTATATCGCATGAGAGTAATTCTACATTGAGCCAGTTGGCATATTAGATACAGTGATATGTTCAGGGTATGTAGCTAAGCGAGTACTCTGTGAAATCATTAACAGCTCCACAGGATATAAAAGCTGCTACGAATCTACAACCACTAAGCTGAACCAAATTCTTAAAGCCAGCCGTTTAATCCTTAAAAACTGGATAGTCCTCCCAATACTGAGATGGCAGAGTAGACTATATATGATGAATATCCGAGGTCAATAGCAGACCACCTGAACGCACCGACATCGCATACCAAATTATACATTATACTCAGCAGCATGCTATATATGAGGGGTATAGACCTAGTCAAGAAGGATCATTTAGTTAAGCAATTTGCTAGCCCAAAGAAGAAACATGCCTTAAACGCAAAAATAGAGCACCACCTATTGACATTCGGGCAATCCCATGCCCTTCACCACCATGTGCAGACCCAAATCTCTACCTGCATAAACATTGTGGGCCGGAACGACCCAATTCTCCCTTTTTTCCTCAACAATCTTTCGTCATATTCATTCCATAAAGCTCATAACTACTGGACTTTGAAGGTTAACACCAACTACTCGGTGGCTGTGACTACCGGCTAAATCTAACATGCAGTCAAGCCAATAGGGATAGATACTTCTTGTGTACTATAGGCAATAAAAGAATACTAGAGAAATGCAGTTGAATAGTAGGAGAAAATGAAGAAAAGTTCTGCCAGCAGGCCCTGTGGCCATTCCAGTCGCCCACTGGCTGTGCAAGCACAGCTGGAAGGAGAGACATTTATGCTCAGTTACAATACATTGCGTATAAACTTTTGGTGTTGTTATTTCATTCTGCTTTTCCCTCCAATATTAGCCATTGGCAGAAATACTGAAAATAGCTAAAACTATCTGTTTCTTCTATCCCAGCACCGCTATCTGTAGCCTTCCATGGGCAAATTAGTCGGATGTCAGGATAACAAGAATGAAATCTAGAAAGAATACAGAATGCCTTCACAATCGACAGTACAGCAAGTTCACGATGCCTATCCTCATCTCCGGATTTATGTAGAAATGTACAGTCTCACCCAAATGGCAAAAAGAGGGTAATAAAATAGAGGCAAAAGTTCCGCAACGGGGAATCGAACCCCGGCCACGACGGTGAGAGCGCCGGATCCTAGCCACTGGACCATTGCGGATTTGAGACGCTTATTTAACGACGATTATCGCTCAAGCTGATGATGTTATCGCTCGGTGGGAGTGATAATATGCTAGCAAAGGAGCTAGCGTTGGAAGAGCTCGAACCGGAGCTCAGACGTCGGGGAGAGAAGGTCGGGATTGTAACGGGTTATATTGGGAAACAGGTTCTGAGTCAAGGAATATTCGGGGGCTTGTTGTTCTTGTCTTGTCCTGTCGGTCTGACTTCTCCATATATATGGAGTAGTCAACGAGTGTCTTGGCTACGCTTTAGGTATAGCATATACGATAGGAATTCCTGTGTTAGGATCCGTAAGAGGAGCATAAAGGGCGGACTTGTTCCGTAGACGAGGCAGTGTACTTGTGTTTATATTGCGAGTGGAACCTTGTGCGTGTGTGACGTTGTCTTGACCCGGGTCTTGATCTTGACCTTGATCTTGCAGGTGGGCTTCGTCATGTTCATGCTCATCCGAGTTGAGCATAACAATGATACTATGTTCGTAGCAGAGGAAGCAACGGAGTGGAACTCGGGGCTGGATAGACTGCTCGCGGACGTATCTGAGTCAGATAAGATGGCAGGAGGACGGAATCGGGGAATCTTGTCAGGTTTGGGTTGAAGTTCAAATAAATAATATTCAAAGTTAAAACAGGGGTAAAATGGGTTGAAACAGAATATACGAGTAGGGAACTCTAGTAGACACTGGATGATGAATTGTCTTGGAGTCTTGTCGAATCGAAGCATGTATATGCTTCGATGCACTAGTGTTTTGCTAGTGACGTTGCGTTGCATGAACGACGGGAATACCGGCCACTGGTCTTTGCGGCATAAAGGTACTGCATTGTTGTACCACATGCAGACTTGGATCCGTGGGAGCCGGGTCGGGTGATGATGTGGGAATTGGAGCCGAGTCATCATGTTCATGCTTATCGGATTCGAGCATAACAATGAAATGTTGTGTCTGTAGTGAGTAGTGTTTCCTCCTGGTCGGGGATGACTGCTTCCACAGAGGGTTGGGGGCATTCGGTCTCGCGGTACCTGCGCCCCTTGGCATACTCGCAGAAGTGGGCGTCATCATAATAGTGCTTGGAAAATAAATAGATTGAGATCACAAATATAGAAAGTCTGTTCGGCGGTCGTCTGTCGTTCTCTGTCTTGTTCCCCCTCTTGTCTTGTCTATCAACAATCTATACTTTTTATAGTAGGATATTACCCTGCACAACACAGCGACATCGACTACATTTGTCAGCATCGGGCACTTATGCACAACTGTGGAAGGTTGCGACATACATACCACCCATATATGGCGTATCGGGTGGTGCAGCAGCAGCCAGCCATTGGCGATCACTCGGTCATTGGGCCTTCGGGCAATTCGGGGACTCGACTCGGAGCTTCAAGCCCAGACATCGCAGACGCACGACAGAAATGCACTAAATTTTAAATGATACATAAACATATGGATAATATTGGGCTTATATTTTTCATTTTCCATTGTTTCTGAGTCTGTACTCGCTAAGACCACCACCACACAGGCACACCACTATATATGCTTATATGTCAGCTGCACCAGAATGTAAATCTTTCTAATATATGGTTCTTTAATTGCAGGTGCTAGTTTTTATCATTTTCAAACTCAGTGAATGCTGTGAACAAGCAGCTGGATGACAAAGTCATGTTAAAATTACCAGCCACATATATATCAACATACAAGCTAGTAGTATGGTGGCCAAGTGTTCTTCTATTCATAGCTATAGTACACTAGTTAATATGTTTTCTTTCAATAGTTTTAATCTAGGACATGCAAAATTATATTGAGAGTGCCATCACATTACATGTTAGGCTAGTGATTATGACTTCTTCACTAGTTGCAGGTTCCTCAGCAGAGTAGACTAGTATGTCTATCTCAATTTCTAGCTGCACCTTTCCCTTGATGATATGGTATAGGGTTGGGCAGTGTCATTTAATGTGAACTAACTTACAACTATAGAGAGTGTGCACTGTTAACCTTTCTTGGCAACAAATCCAATAGCAAATAGTCAGATTGATTATTGATCTGCAGAGTCATACTAAATGTATATGGTGAGTTTAGAAGCTATGAATGTAGAAGGTCTATTCCTACCAGATAAGCAGCAGAAGCAGAATCTTATATATGCTGATTACCAGCATAGACATGTCATAGTTGGTGATGCCATTGTATCATAAATATTTGTCTAATGATTATATTTATTTATAACTACTACCTGGTGATGAACAACAAACCTCAGATTTGACCTTTGTGTACTGTAGATAGCCATCATTGGAGATCAGTCAGAAATGGTTAGCTATTTAATAATTATTAATATTTTTGTTGTTTTCTTGTT